GTCCTCTCTGTCCCCCAAGAAGCTTCTTCCTCGCAGTCGATTGTCCAATCAGTTGGTCGCATTGCGATTGTTCACTCGAATGCGCTTCCAACCACCGACCGAACCCTGTGCCTGAACAGAGGGTCCTTACTCAATTCAGTGCATTCTTCTGGACCCAACCAGATGCGTCGCCTCCCGCGCAGCAGCCCATACATGCGACGGCCGGAACGTTCCCTCCGGGTCAAGAACGCTGCCCGCATATCCTGCACCACTAAGAGCTACCCGGAGACCTAACAGGTGGTTCAAAAGCATTGCCCGGATGCGCAAGAACACCGGCACGGCAATGAACAAGCGACAGGAAAATGTATCCATACCCGGGGTAGCTAGGCTAAGGATCCCGAACCACCGTTCGACACAGTCATACGCGCGGCCGGGGATTGCGGCTTGCCGGTCGACGGTTTCGCCACACACAACCAGGGCTCTAGCTTGACCGGTGCCGATCTTTAACCCTATCGGCACCGAGATCATCGTCGCATTGTGGCACGCATCCTCCAACAATCGTCACAAATCCCACATCATGATCTAGGGTGAGATCATGGCTAGAACCCTTCGAAGTAATACCGTCCAGGGTCTTTGAGGAACGTAACACAAACCCGCGTGATTCCGCCCAAGTTGCCATGATGAACAAGTCCAAGTTCTCTGGTAGGCACATATGGCTAAGCAACTGCGCATACAAGCCAGCAATGCTATCAGCCCACGCTACAGGGGTGTCAGAGACTACTCGGCCATCATGCAGAGCGTGCCGTATCCTCCTTTGAACTATTTCCAGGCACCTTGTCGTCCCCAGCCGCGGTACGAACTTCATCCTGACGACATCGGCGCGCTATTCTTATTTGTTTCAGCCGCTTCGGCACCATGATCCCATTCTGATTTGTGGCTTTTTGAGCATTGTCCTTGGAACCAATGCAGTCATGTATGAGCCAGTGCGACTTAGAGAGGACGACAGTCGACCAAGACATCAGGAGCTATCGCATTTTGCATCCCCTCAACTACTTGCGTTATCTCGTCACCTCATCTGATCCAGATACAAGACTATAAAGCAGTAGTAGAATGTGCAAACGCATCGCGTTCACGAATCTCCCCTCGATCCAGCGGCCATTCAACCCCTCGGGGAACTTCACCCCTATTTTGTCCTTGGCCAATACTCGACGCCACACTCAAATGTTGTGGGCCATCAACCGTGGCTTACAACTGGTGACATCGATTCGACGTCTGATTCGAAGCTCAAACCAAGTCGCCAGCAAGTCTGGCTGTCTTGTCGTCGAAACATTGCTTAGTCGCAACCTGGACCACATTCTGTCTAGTGCAGTGAAGCCTGCAATTGCGAACGCTAGGGCTCAATGCCGGTCCAGCAAAGCCTCAGCTACAGATACCGTCTGAGCATAGGCAGAGGTCATAGACATTGGCAGCTCCGTGCCTCAGCACCCGACATTTGTCGGCCGTGCACTCCGGCTAGTGGCGACACATCAAGACATCGCCTTGAGGAATTCTACGTAATATCAGTCGCTGTGTTATCCATGTCTCGAAGCCTAGCAAGCACCTAGCGTTTGCCGGCCGGCTAGCCTCTCACCGTATCATTAGATTTTCACAACCATCCAATCATCGCCGACAGGCACGGAATCAATGCGCCGGGACGACACCCACACATGCACCCAACGATACAAGTAGGTATGGTTGTCATAGCGGCATCAAACCCTTGATGTAACAAGCCACATGAGAAGGGCCCTCAGCCACATCTAACTCGAATACGCAAGAACGATCAGCAACTCTCATGCAATCTGACAATGGTTGTCGATCGGCTACTCGGTATTCCTGTAAACTCTTACCGGCTTAACGCTGGTGCATACGTAAGCCCTAGGCTGTGTCAATGTCATTGAAGGCAAATCCCCATCTGCTAGAAACCAGCTCAAAAATCCCAGCATGGTTGTCATTTTAGCATCATTCTCGCAAGCGGCGTGCGCCAATGAGTGAATGTGCCCTGGCTTAATGAAAGCTCAGTCGGGCCATGCTGGAGCGAAACACTCCTGTGCCTATCAGCGACACAACCAGGGTTGCTAGGGTTCAGCTCTTCAGGCCTACACCGTCGCGCCTACAGCTTTCCGGCGGTTCTCTGTCGCTGCGTCCGGAGTACGCCACCGGTGGCAAACAGATCGCCTGTTTCATTCGTGGCCGAGATATTCGGCGGTGTTGTGGCTTTGTGGGGTTCGGAGAGTTGGAGAGTAAGCTTCGACGATGATCCTATCTCGAAACTCACTGGCCCACCGCGGCGTCGCATCTCATGAGGGACAAGCTTGTGCTAGCTTCCAAATTAGTTGCTCCGACGTTAGCTGTCACTTGCCTCCTTGCCTTTCTGTCCCTTGGGTGCGTGTAAACAATTGAGATGGATAAGCTTTGGTCATGCGACTGTGGCAATGGCAGCCCTCACTGTTGCGGTGCTAGGAGCTAACCACCGCCGTACGGATATACGCGCAGTTTCGTCGTTCGTGCTGCCAATGACACTGGAGATCAGCCGTCCTCACGGCCGGAAACCCCGTCATTAGTCTGCAACCCCAGCAGCCTCATTTCCGATGTGTTCTCGGCCTGGTTCCTCGGTCCCCTTATACGTCGCGGCTGTAGGGTGAGGATGCGTGCACACAGCAGGCACGTCACCTCCCGAGGCAATGCCACGTTTGGTTGGTCCTGTTGCTGCCGATCTCATGGACTCTTGCAAATCCCGAGCCCGAACAAGCGTTCAAGTATGGGACGAAAAGTTCAACGGCGGGAACCGAGACAGCGGACGGCAACGTCTATTCGTCCCCGAGGCGTTGTGCCTCGCTAATACGGGCCAGCCCGTGATCTTACAAGGACGATGGGCCAATATCGAAAAGGGTCCTGAGTGCCAGCATTTCCGGCTTCGCCTGCGGCTCTAGCGTGATTCTGCACCTGTGACGATGGAACGGAAGTCGCTCCGCCCGCTGCGAAGCGTCTCAACGAATCGGTTGCCAGCACTGGACGGGGAGATGCGAAAACGGCGCAGGAGCGTCGCGATAGCAGACTCTAGCTTCGCTACCAGACTTCTGGACTGTGGTTATTGATCACATCAAACATCGACGGGCCTCACGAAGCCACCTGGCGTCAAGGGGCATCGAGGAACAACCAGTCCATACTTTTCATATTCCGTGCTCATGCTTGTCTCTACCTGGGCTGCCTGTTTGGCGTATATCGCGGAGCTCTGGACTCATAACGTGAAGCACCAATGGATGCTTGACAGAATGCCACCTGGCGATTCGTCGAGTGAGCCGATGCGTCGTGCAAAGCGAGTTGCTCTGCACGCATATTGGATTGCTTAAGCTTATCTGGATGAGTACTAACCCCTTACCAGAGCTTCTTGATAACACCGCCTTCTTTGAACGTCATAGGGGGTTTCCTCTTTCAGTCACAGATAGAGATCATCAACGATACAGACAAGCAAACCGAACACAAGGTTGGGGCGATGGCCAATGGATCAGATGAACAGGTGCCTCGTTGAAATTGCTACATCCCTGGTAATGTACAACGCCCCTCCCCATCATGAGACCGCCCGACCGCATTTAGTCCTTCTTCAAGGGGAGGAGGACCTCTTCAATGCCGTTCTTGGTGATAATCATCATTTGAAGGTGGTCGCCGACCTCGATGTGTCTCTCGACCGCTCCGTCAAACGCATCCTTGACAAGGATCTCGGCCTCCTTACGCTCCAAAGGAACGCGGGGGCGCTCCTGCAGCTCGTGTCCGACGCCGCTGCCCGGCACATACTGGTTCTTGAAGTTGACCTGGTTGTCGAGGAACGGCGTGATGAGGCTGGCGGCGGCACCGCCGGCTCGGGACTGCTCCCTCTCGTAACTGCCGACGGGGTCGTAAGAGAAGACGGCACCGACACCCTCCTCGTCGAGGCCGCCAAGGATAGCATAGACGTAGTAGGGGAAGAAACGCTTCTGGTAAAGGATAGTGGAGAGGCGCTTCGCGCAGGCGGTGACGCTCATGGGCTTGCCATGGCGGTAACGGTAGATCTTGCAGATGGTATCGAGACGGTCCTTGAGGGCCTCGCCGTCGGCGGCGAAGCCGACCACGGAGAGCAGGATCGTCGCGTCTTCTTGTGTTGACGTGGTGCCGCCGATCTTAAAGACCTTGGGGGTGTATCTGGAGTTGATGCTGTAGCCTGAGGTGCTACGGGTATCGCCGGCCATGATGGCGAAGTCGGCGCCGGCGATGGCCAGGGTCGAGCCGCCATTGTCGGTGTAGCTGTGGTAAAAGACGGATTAGCTGGAGAACACTGCGGAAGGACCGCCCGAGGCGAGGGGAGTTCCATACGGGTTAAAGCGGTGCTGTCTGAACTCGCCGTTGGCCGTCTTGGGGGCCTCGGAGAAGGAGTAGTTGGGCCCGTTCATCAGGGGATTTTGGCTGAACATAGCCATGGTTGCGGCTTATTTGAAGAGAAAAAAGGAGATTGTTCGTAACTGGTCGTGAGGAGCAATGCCGGTCGTCTATGAGGTTCTCGTGATGCGATGGATTTCGTTGGTGGTGGGGTTAAGAGACGTCGTTGCTGTGATGGAGATTCGAGGCTGCCGACTGGTGAGGTTGAGAGGTCCCGATTGCGTCGGAGCACGCGTCAAGCTGGCAGCCTTGCTGAGCTAGGTGGGATGGGCAGGGGTAGCTAGCTGGATGATGACTAAGACGATTTGAGGTCGAGGAATGGGAAGGTACGTGCAGGGATGTTGTTGCTTTCGGATGGGAAATTTGGAGGGGGCTTGGAGAACGTACGGGGGATGAAGGGGACCGTATCGTCACTGTGCAGCTGCCAGCGAATGTAGACACGAAGTTCAATCTAGCTTTCCCAACCCGCGAAAATGCTTCAGTAAATCGCGAAAGTTTACCAAACACGTCGGATCATCGACTACAAGTCTCTCGTTACCGGGGCTTAGGACCCCTTCTTGTACTTTCTCAACATGACCCGCGACATTCGGCAGCGGGCGCTGGAGAAGATCGCGTCTCTCTCCGCTGCCAGCCCGCGAACGTCATTCGATCGTTCCGATCTTGATCGGCTGTGCAAGGCTACCCAGACCGCTGGGAAGGGCGTCAATGGCTACTCGAACAAGCAACCGTCTTCATCTCTCGGGAGATGTCCCATGGTACTGTTCCTCTACCTCGTTGCCTATTATTGGCGTTTAAGTGCAGTCTTTGGTATCGAGAATCCTCGCTAACGAGCCCCTGAATATCGCAGACAATCCGTGAATTCGAGGTCCTGCTGTCGCTATGCAAAGCCGCGCCCGCCATCCAGACTAGCCAGAGCGCCCAGAAGCTTGCGCACCAGCTGATTCCCTACATCCTCGAGGCGCACATTCAAATCTTCGTCCCCTCACCCTTCTTCAGAAAGGTCGAGCCGTCGCCAACTGAGGCTTTGGCATTCCATGTTACGGCCGCGCTGCTTTCCCTTGGCTCACACTACGATGACCTGCACGAGATCGTTTCGGACAACATTTGGGCCTTCGTCAACGCTTGCACCCATGCGGCGGACCATACGGTCCCTCCTCATGCTGACGACGAGGACCCGAACCTCGAGGACGCCATCAGGACGGCTACGATTGCCGTCTCTTTGCTTGGCTTTCTTGACGCGGCCTCGGCGCAGGTGGACTTTTGGAGAGCTGGAGGCCGATTGGCCTTGTTGCAAAGATTCAGGGATATCCTGTCGGAATCGTTCTTGATCGCCGTGGAGACGGCCTTTTCTACCATCAGGAACTCGCAGTCCTCGGATCGTCATGCCCGAGAGTGGAAGAGATACCTGCGCCACTACTCGGCTGCTGGACGACCTCTGGGAGCTATCCTACTGCAGAGAAGCTACATGTGGCTTCTTGTTGCCGGCACATCACTGTTGGTGACCGACGCGTCGCTCTTGCGCAGGACTCACATCCTCGACCTGCTCATGTCCGGGGATGGGGATTTCAGACCAGGCTCTCCACGCAGCCCCGATGCTGATTATCGGTCCCTTGACTTGTACACCACTGTGGCCGTAGACCAGATGAACTACCTGGAGGCTGGCGAGGATTACCTCAGGCTTGGGTCTACGTGGCAGCAGAGATTGGCCTTCGCTGTCAAGTCGGCAGCCCTCATCAGCTATCTCAACTGTTCGCTCATGAACGAGGAGGTGGCAGACATTGACGTGCTCATTACCTGGTTGGAGGAGACGCTTGCGGATCCCCTTCAGATGGCAGACGAGAACCTGGCGGCAACCGTACTGAGATCGATTGCGTTGGCTTGCAAAATCTCTAGAGGATACGCTGCGACCGCCAGCCGCCTTTTGCCCCGGTTCATCGTACAAAGCGCACCGAACGCTCGCATTGTTGCGATTGCATCCAAAAGCCTTGCATACGTGCTGCAGATGCTCTCTCACGATGCCGTGATCACTACTCTGTACACCCTTGGCAACGTCCTGAGCCCGGGTTCTGATAGATCCATGACGAACGGAACCAACGGCGATCTCGGCGTGGATGGTGCTCACAATCTCTACGCCAACCGCCACTCTACTGGCAGCAGCATCTCCTTGGCTATCACGGGCGAGGAAGAGACGGCCATGGTCTACGGCAATGTGGTTCAAGCTATCTGCGGCATTGCAACAGCCTGTAACGACGAGAAGATCACTGCTTTGGCGCAGTCCATGTTGTTGCAAAAGATCGACAAAGTCAACAGCAGTGTTGACGCTCAGATCATCAGCGGCGCCGCTGCCCTTGCTTTGAAGGGTGGACAACTTGAGTTCCGATCGCTGCTGAAGGTGTTTTCCAGAATCTGCCACCTTGGAGTTGTTAGCCACAAGGACTTTCTTTTGGCCGCTGTAAGAACCTGCCACCCAGGTTCAGAGTAGGAGATGCTAACACTCAACAGGTAATGAAGGCACGCACACACATCTCGGCAAACCTCCACCGCGGGTCGCCCCTTTACGACATCTACTGGGAGCATTTGCTTGAGAGCATCATCTCCATGGGCGATGTCCATCAGTCAAACCACACCAAGGAAGCAGACGTCCAGCTGGCCGCGAGGGAGATCGCTGAGTTGCTGCACCCATTGGCTGTCTTCATGTCCACCAACGACTTGGCATTCAACTCGGTGACTGATGATGAGTCGCACTCCATGATCCGAGACGCCTGGTTCAACATTGTTGTTCATGGTTTCACAACACAGACCGACATGGGCAAGAGATACCTTGACGAACTTCGGATTATGGCTGTACACTCTCCTCCTTTGGTCGCCGAACAGCGGGGAGAGCAGATTGAGAGTGACATCGAGCTGAATACCGTCTTGCGTCGAGGCTTGACCTCCGACCGAGAGTCGATGCAGAAGAAGCATCTGGCCGAGTTGATTCCCAACAAGGCCACAGAGATCAAGGGGCTGAGCTACCGCAAGATCATCTTTTTGCACGCCGCCTACCTAGTCGAGAGCTTGCGCGCCGATGCTGGCGATTGCACTAAGGCACTCTCCTACTTTTTGGAGCCTAGCATGCGCAGGGGAGAAGTCAGCAGCACTATGGAGGGCATTTCCGCCGCGGTGGTTGACAAGTACCTGCGCAAGACCTTGGGCGGTACGGACGCTACTTTTTCAGCACAATATGCCGCTAGTCAGCTCGCCTCCATCTTCTGCGGCTGCTGTCACCGAATTGAGCGTGTCCAGCAAGCTGCGTTCACCTGCGCCGACCGTATCATCAGCCAGGTTCCTTCTGCCCTGTGTCACCGGTCGTCGCTCTTTGCTCTGTTGGAGCTCTTGTCTCTGATGTGGTCGAGTTGCCTGGAGGCAGAGACCGATGCCTATGCTCCACGATCGAAGTTCACTTCCGAACTTGGAAATGTGTCTGTCGAGCTATCAGATGACTACAACTTCCGTCGTCATACCTTGGAGGTTCTCAACCGTAGGGCCAAGCAATGGGTCTCCAGCGTGATCAGTCTGGCTCCCTTGGACATCAAGGGTCTTCTCCAGACGTACCTGTCGGAGTTTGACGACGAAGGAGCGTACGGGCACATCTCTCTGGGTCGCTCTTTTGCCATGGAGCTCGGCTCTCTCATGCCCTCCACCGACCAGAGACTACAGTCCCTAGACCGAGTTGGAGATTGCAGCATCAACACCGGCTCCGACTTCATTGCTCAGTACACGACCCGCCAAGAATACCGATACGGCGAGACCCTGCCCGAACGTGGCAACGAATTGACAAACTTCATGCAATTGAACCGTAGAGCGTCTTTCCTGCAGTCATCAGTCTCGACTTCCAGCGACAGTGCCAACGCGGCCACAGCCCTGGCACACGTTGAGGCCCGCATCAAGAGCAAGAAGACGACCGCTCTCAGTGAGGTTCGCGAAATCCTGCGCCGAGCAGCGGCCCTGCTGTGTCGCAGTGACCGCGATGAGTCTGCTGTTGCACACTACCTCGTCAGCATTCCATTCACCATGTTTACGAAGCAATCCATCAAGCTAGGCGTCTCCTTGTGGCTGGGTGTGATGAACGAGAGCCCGCGTCTTGAGCCAAGGCTTCTCACCGAGATTGCCCAGCAATGGGAGGTGACCATTCAGAAGGGCCTGGGGCTTTTCAGTCATGCCATGTCGTGAGTTTTGCTTTAAACTTTGTCCCGAGCCAGCTAACAAACATGCAGACACCCCGACCCCTTCTTCCTCAAGGAGGAGTTCGCGCCTAGTGACTTGGAGGCTTTGGCCAAGCGCAAGCAACAGGTGCACAATCTGCTGTCACCACACACGAGACTGCTGCAGTTTTTCGCAAGTCACTTCAATGCCACCCGTTTGGGCAGTCCCGATGTCCAGCGAATCTTCCTGCGCATGCTCGATGTCACCCTGGATGCTGTGCGGTCATCGACGTCACACCCGATGGCACGAGAACTGCGGTTTCAGATCGTGTTGTTCGGGCTGAAGGTGCTGCACGTCTGTACGACCATTGGCGCCATCGCGCAATGGCGATTCAAGGAAAAAATCCTGTCGGCCGCGCTCAGCTGGTTCCGATTCGCACCAAGATGGTCCTTTGGCAGCAACATCCTGCAGCTAAAGACAGAAATTCGTCTGCTGACTGACATTGTGGCTGCTCTGAGGAACGTTGCGTTCATTGGGGCCAATGCTCCGGATACCATCAAGTCCCTGCAGGCCAAGGAGCAACTACTTGTCCTTCTCTTGGAGAGTGAGCAGATACGTCTGTCGGTGTGGGTTCACCCGCTCGGCGAGCCAGTCAAGCCCCATGGACAGTCTAACAAGGCTGCTATCGAGGTGAGTACTCATATATCCCTTTTTGGACATGTCACTAACATTCGTAGACTGCTCTTGCACCTCTCATCAGGGTTGCCTGGGCCGAAGACCCGTCTATTGCCATTGAACTCGTCACACGATTCCCGTATCCTCGAGTTCAGCGCGATGTGAGATGGTTGTTGATCAACTTCCCGCAAAAGGCCATTTCGGAGCCGGAAGGCCTGCCCATCCTTCTGGGCGGCTCTTTGCCCAACGACGTCAGCTTCCAGCTGAAGGTAAGTCCAACCCCTAACTCGTTGCCGCCTGTCAGATACTGACCGCAGTAGTACCTGTTGTTCTGGTCGCCTGTGAACCCCATTACAGCTGTCACGTACTTCCTCCCCGCCTATCGCAACCATCCATTCCTGATGCAGTACGCCATGAGAGCATTGGAGAGCCACTCCAGCGATGTGACCTTCTTCTACGTTCCGCAAATCGTGCAGACACTGCGATACGACGCATTGGGTTACGTGGAGCGGTACATCTTGGAGACGGCCCAGTTCTCGCAGCTGTTCGCCCATCAAATCATTTGGAACATGAAGGCCAATGCCTACAAGGATGATGACGCAACCATTGTGAGTTTGCCGAAACCCATGACTAGGCGCGGCGCTAATATGTGACAGCCTGATGCCATCAAACCCACGCTTGACAAGGTCATGGAGAAGATGATTGCAAGCTTCAGTGATGTGGACAGGACATTCTACGAGCGCGAGTTTGCCTTCTTTGACGAGGTCACGGACATCTCGGGTAAGTTGAAGCCATACGTCGGCCGGTCCAAGCCGGAGAAGGCGCAGAAGATCGAGGAAGAACTCCGCAAGATCAAGGTTGAGATTGGTGTCTACCTGCCAAGCAACCCCGATGGTGTTGTCATCGGTATCGATCGCAAGTCTGGCAAACCTCTGCAAAGTCACGCCAAGGCGCCCTACTTGGCCACGTTCCGCATCAAGAAGAACAAGGGCAGCCTCGAGGATGTCAATGACATGCTTGAGGATGCACACAAGAAGAATTCTTCGCCGCCCATGCCGGAGAATACCATTGAGGTGTGGCAGTCGGCCATTTTCAAGGTCGGCGACGACTGCCGACAGGATGTGCTTGCTCTGCAGATGATTGCGGCTTTCCGCGGCATCTTCCACAACGTTGGCCTGGACGTCTACGTCTTTCCGTACCGCGTCACGGCAACGGCCCCCGGGTGCGGTGTCATTGACGTGTTGCCCAACTCGGTGTCCAGAGATATGCTAGGCCGTGAGGCCGTCAACGGCCTCTACGACTACTTCATTTCCAAGTACGGCAACGAGGACTCGCTCCGCTTCCAGCAGGCGCGCAGCAACTTTGTCAAGAGCATGGCGGCCTATTCCATCATCTCTTTCCTGCTGCAGTTCAAAGACCGACACAACGGCAACATCATGATCGACGACGCGGGCCACATCCTGCACATCGACTTCGGGTTCTGCTTTGACATCGCCCCCGGCGGCATCAAGTTCGAGCGTGCGCCGTTCAAGCTGACGACGGAGATGCTGGCGGTCATGGGCGGCAACCCGCACCACCAGGCCTTTAAGTGGTTCGAGGAGCTCTGCGTCAAGGCGTTCCTCGCGTCGCGGCAGCACTGCGAGAAGCTCAGCCAGATCGTACTCCTCATGATGGACTCGGGCCTGCCGTGCTTCAAGCCCGAGAGCGTGCAGCACTTCAAGGAGCGCTTCGTGCTGGAGCGCAGCGAGCGCGAGGCGGCCGACTTTGTCAAGGACCTCATCCGCAGGAGCGCCAACAGCTACTCAACGGGCGTGTACGACCAGTTCCAGCTCCTGACCAACGGCATTCCCTACTGATCTGGGCTCCAAGGATGAGGAGGTGGTGGTGCGGTGGTGTGGTGGTGGTCATTGTTTATCTAGTTAAGCTTGCTTTGTATCGGGACCCCTCGGGCCTTGTTTTTTGTTCATTTCTTCCGCTGCTGCTGTTTCTTACTCGGACGAGGCTTCCCACGCAGGACCCTCGTCCTTTTCGGACCGGTTCGCCAGCGTACAATCCGCGCCGCCGCCGCCACAAACAAAGACCGTGCAACAGGCAACTGTCTATCTCTCTCTCTCTTTCTCCCCCTTTCTATTTCGCGCGCGCCTTCTCTCCCTTCCCTCGGTAGAACGTCGACGGAACAGAAATAGTAATGTAATGAACCAATCAGTGGGGAGAGTATTGCATTGATTCTTTATTGCCCTTGTCCTCGCTCGCGCCCGTCTTCCTTTGCTCGTCTATCTCCCTCCCCCCCACCCTCCTTCACTCGCTCGAGATTGTGAAGGGAGGGGGGGGGCGCATGTGGTTCTCCTTCTCCAACAAGAACAACAACGAAAGGTGACCCTGTCGATTCCCCCTCTCCCTCCGGCCCGCGTTGCGACGGGGGCTGCCGCAGATGAGACGATGCATGCCGCCTCTCCTCAGACCAATCAAGACCCTTGGAAACTAAACAAAACAATGAGAAAAAAAATTGGTCAAACTCCAGCCGCTGGAGGAATGCAAGATATCCACTCCGAAAAAGATGCACATTTTTTCGTTGTTGTGAACCGCCCACGCCGTTTCCGCTTGTTTTATGCTTTGTTTTAATTTACCCTGTCCTCTCTCCCGCCTTCCCGTTCCGTCCCGTCGCCCCCTCTTCCCCGCTTCGATATGATCTACAAATGCTGCCGTTACAAAACCACCGGGGGGCTGGGATTTACAAGACTCGCGGCCGGTTTCGCTGTGGTTCGAGTATCCAACAGTTGTCTCTGTGTGGCCAAGACCACTGCTACTGATTACAAATGACTGGATTATTGGGCAATGTGCGTGTCAACGTTATACGTCGCATAGTCGACGTGCACAAAGGCGCGGTCGACGATGGGCACAGACTCGAGGAAGTAGGTCAGAACCTCACTGAGATCGTGGCTGTCCTTGAGCGGCATGTTGGCGTTGAGGACAATGTCAACCTCGACGAACAGCTTGTCGCCCGCGTGGTAAGCCCGCAGGTTTTGGATCTGCCTGATGGACGTGGCGAAGCGCATGGTGAGGTAGAGCACTGTTGTAGCATGACCTGTCAGTTACAGAGTCTCTTGGCCCGATGTTCGAGCATGAATCGATGCATCCACAAGCCCCGATCAACCAAAAGCAAGGGCACGACATGGGTGTGGTATAACAGGGTCCAATTATAGATATGAAATTGTGGGGGAGGCGAAACGGCAGGGGAAGCAAATCGAGCAACCAAAAAAAAATCACACGAAAAGGGAAAAGGGTCACACTTACGGAGGTTTCTCTCGTCCGACGTCGCCGAGAACCCCGTCAGGTTTCGAACGTGGTGCATCGAGGTCTGGCTCCAATTGACAATGACAACAAGGGACAACAGCAGACCGCCGAGGGCATCGAGCCACCAGATTCTGGCGAAATAGCCGACGATGGGGAACAGGATGGAGCCGGTGTTAAAGATGACATCGGTCATGGCATCGTCGGCCCTGCGCGGAGAATTTTTGCGTTAGCCAGTGCGCCTGGTTAGTACGATTGATTGTCGATCAGGAGGCAGCAACATCGACGCATTGCAACGACAAAGCGATGAGGTTGCAGCGAAAGAGGAGAAGGGGCAAAATAACGTACAAGGCCCGAACGCTCGAGTTCTTGATGAGACGGCACCAGAGCCAGCACAAACCCTTGATGACCACGGTGCCCACCATGATGGCAATGGCAGGAATGCCTCTGTTATCCCCGCCAAGTCAGTATCAGAACAGCGGGTAGCAACGGCATCGGGTGCAACATACAGTTGGACGATTTCATGGTCGGGGGACATGAGACGATTGATGGCCTCCAGCCCAACCTGGCAGAAGGATGTGACCATTACAATGGAGAAGACCAGCACGCCAAGAGGCTCGAGACTGTGACGAGTCAGCATACGGCGCCTCCTCATAATGCAGCGCAGAGTGAGTTGACGCAAGGGGTAATTGATGCTCACCGTCGTCTACCCACGGGGTAGGAGTGCTGGTCATTCTGGCTGGCGGCGATGAGCCGGGTTGTCGTCCACACAATGGCGGTGCTGAGGAAGTCGAGGACGGCATCGACCAAACTGGCGAGCACGGAGACGGAGGGAACGGAGATGACGACGAGGATTTTTCCGAGGAGCAGGGCGGCATTGGCGATGAAGTTGACCCAGATGGCGAGCGTGACAACGGGGTCGCTGCTGTCGAGGTCGCCGTCCTCGAGCCAGGGGATCTCGGGCTTGGGCTGATCGGCTAAACCTTCCTCCTCGTCTGTGCCGTTGAGAAGTGGGGTGGATTCGGTGGAGCGGAAAATGTCCTTGGGTTTGCGTTTCGCCTTTTGCTGTATGCTGTTTGCCGAACTGCTCTGCTCCGTGCTGCTGTTTTGGACTGAAGCAGGGCCACTGGTGCCGTAGGCGAGGCCGCCGCGCGAGGGTGGTGAAGATGGTGTGGGCGACTCCTCGGTGATGGTCTGGGGCACGTCGACGGGACGGTAGGCCGAGGCATCGAGAGCCTGGTGGTACTCGTTGAGCAGGTCGTGGGGCACGGACGAATCCAAGAGCTGGTCGATGTAGAGGTACATGCGAATCAGGTCGTTGTTTCTCTCATAGTATTCGCGTCTTGGAAGGATTGGCAAACCCGCGTCAGCATTTCTGGTTCCGTCCGCTCCGAGAAGTCGGATTGGTTGGCGGAGGGCGAGTTGGGGGTGTCGCGCGGCGCATCACATCTCTCATCTCGCACTTCATGTCGCAGGGCTCAGGAATCCCAACGGCGCAAAACTCACATATGCTTTGGCATGCCCGCCAGCTCGGCCTCGGTCTTCCAGTAGCGCTCCCACTGGTAGCGCGGGTTGCTGTTTCCGATAAGGCGCATGCTCCTCATCTGAGGGCCGAAGATGAGTTCACTGAGGCGGCGTTCCTCGGCGGCGGATCGGTGGTGGTGGTCGTCGTCCGAGTGGTGCAGGAAGCCCAGCAACGAGGTATTCTCGTGGTCTTCATCGTCGTGACCCAGCTGGTGGTAGGCAGGGCTCTTGAGGGACTCGCGCAATGTGGCATTGGAGCGGTTCCTGATGAGCGAAACCAAGGCGCCGTTGCCTCTCGTGGCCAAGGGGTACGGGTCGGCGTCGGGATTGAGCACCGAGGGACGCTTGAATGAGCCTACCCGAGGACTGCTCGAACGGTGAGGTTCCTGCGGCGAGCTCATCTTGGGCCGGAGGAATGGAAGGGATGACGGAGGTTAAGTTTGGTTTGGGGGGGGGAGACGTCCGGCCGAGGGAGGGACTGCACGTTTGGGCAGAGAGGAAGAGAAAGAAAGGAGGGGAAGGGGGGAAAGAAGAAATGTTAGCCTGCACGATGCGAGGGAGAAGCCAAGATATTAGATGAGATTGATAATGTCGTGGCCGGCGCGCGCAGACAGCTTATTACAGCGTGCAGAGAAGCACCCTGGCCTTGTTCTTGAGAATATGGAAAATCAGACTCCAGTGACAATGGACCCGGAGGGTCTGAGGTGATCAGAGCCGAGAGGGTCCCCCCTCGCCTAGAGCTTCCCTAGGTCCAGTGGGGGCTATGATTCGACGGTTGGGGAGACGCTTGGGGGGACGCGGTCGCACGGGCGTTGGCAGACCCGACCAATGTTGTATCGGAGGAGTGGCTACTCGCGTTTGAAGCTGCCGGCGCGCCATGGATGCAGCTGTCTCCTGCCCATCTCATCTGTTGCCATCATATCATCAAGAGGGTGCTACCTAGTAACTCGTTCAGTCTCCTGGCCGAGAAGGATGGAAAATAAGGCGGGCGCCTGGGCACGGCAGTTTCGACTTTCCTCTCCACACCCCAAGGGAAAGAAGAAAAAAAGGTTTTGCCTAGTTCCTACCGCCGTCCCCCGCCAGCTTCGTCTGGAAACGGGAACGGGAGCCACCTCGCGCCAAGTTGCCTACTGAGTCGGTGTCGGCCCCTCAGCAACGTCTACCCGTTGAGCGAATGTGCCCCATCCCGCCGCTCTGAGTGGGCGAGCCGGGCTAAGGAGATAGATGTGCAGTACGTGCCGAGAGCCTGAGCCTTGAGGACTTGGTTCAGCTGGCAATTGCAGAGTCCGTGGGGTTAGGTGTTAGGTACCTAGCACCTTTGAAGTGCCGGCCTGGTTCATGACTTCATCGCATAACCACGCCATAATTTTTTATTCATTTTTTCGCCCACCCGCACATACACAAACACACAAACACACACAGGCGCGTGCACGCGCGCACTGCGTCAATACCTTCCTGGCCCATTTCCAATGTGCCCGGCTACAACTGACCGTGTCTGAAGAAGGAGGGGAAGGGAAAACGGTCCCTGGGTTGGTCATGGCCTCCGACACAACTTGCCCTAGCCTGCCGCCAATTCGCACCCCATCCAATGTCGCGCAGCGCAACTGACTAAGTCGGGCTGCAGCGGTGGTGCGCAAAAAGCGCACCAACACGGAAAAGAGGGAAGCTCTACTCGAGCCAAGATTGGATCAAACAGCAACTGTTTGCTTTGCCTTACCTTTACTTTAACCTCTTGAGACTCGTCCGAGGCGCAGCGCCCTCGGCTCGGATTTCAAAGGCGACAATCACGCATTTGCAGAGTCTCAAGTGACAGGAGCCCGTCCGTCTCAACTCCGGCATTGAGGGGAAGGAATTGGCATAACATAATGAGGTGATTTCTCTTGTGCCGCTGTGGGCTTGGCATTCTCGCATACCCGACGCCTACCCGATTTTTGGGTCTCGATGGTAACCTGGGAAGCGACCGTGTTTGTCGGCCAGTACGACGTCGAGGGTTGGTTTGAGTCTTGTTGTCTGAGTGCCAAAGACTCAACAGCCCCTTGTTCAACTCCGAGTTGTCAATTACTTCTGGTCTGCACCTGCTATTGGCCGAGGCTCCTGCCTGTCTAGAATCTAGTGCTTTTTGGGGGGTGTGGCCCCGGCGCGGACCTGCAGAACACAGCAGAGCCGCAGCTCGTTTGCAGCAGGTTTTGGCGATTTGTAGCCCGCCTTTGTCTGAACCTGCCACTCCTCAGCACCGGTCCGACTTCCCGACTTCCCGATTTCTCTTCTTTTTCTCCCCCTCTCCTCTCCTCTCCTCCAGTACGATGGGTAGCCTGTCAACTGCACTATAACGAGTGGTCGCAATGCCGGCTGCTGCCCGCTACCTAAGTAGACGCGAGACAGGAGTTGACAGAATTTAGGCCGATCAAGTCCAGGCTCTTCTTCCTATATCAAATGGTGGTATGACCTCTATATTTTGGTCATACTGGCTCCCTCAAGCCGGAGGGCCACTCTCCTCAGCTCAGAGGGCTGCATTCTAACCCAGGCACGCTACCTGAACCTCATTTCATTCGCCTGGCCTCCGGAAATTGAATGTCGCCAGATCGTCATGGATGACATGCCGGGGGGGAGGAGTTGTGTACCCCTTTGACTGGCGCACCTGATGCCAATAATCCCGAGTTTCTGGTAAGAGCCCACATCAAGATATAGCACTTGGAACCGCTCGGGTGTGGCCGGATTCCTCCGGGAAACCATGTCCTTTCCAACGGAGCGCACACCTCGATGGAAAAGAAGGCTGCGTTGAGTAGGCAAAACTTGATGCTGCCTACGGACCAATGCGAGCATATCAAGAGGAGCATTAGCAACTCCAACCAGACATCGGGTGCCATGTCCTCGCAAAGCTGATGACAGGCGAGTCTCTTGCCCCTAGGCTACTCGACTCGGCGCTTTTGCTGCCATCAATGCTGCTTCTTCTTGGCTAGGATCTCCTGAACGACCTTGGCCGTGGCTTTCACAATGATCTGGTGCTCAACGCTGTGCATGCGTTCTTCCAGGTCTGCCAAGCTGTCGCTTTCGCGGACCTCAACCTCCTCGACCAGAATCTGGTAAAATCGTCAGCCAGGACACAGGGGTAACACATCTCGGACGAACGAACAGGCTCTCCTCTGTCTACGGCCTCGATGACGTAGTGAATCATAGCCCCGGTGCAGTTGTTCTTCAATTTGCCGGCCTTGAAGTCGTCGTATGCCCTGCCGATGGCGTTGGCACCGTCATAAGCGCCTAACGGCAGTCGTCAGCAAATGGGTCCTGGAATACTATCACCGACAACACCAGCCCCCCCCCCCCCCCGCCAAGCATCAGGGCGGACGCAGAGCAACGTACCGGGTAGCGCGGGATGCAGGTTGATGACGGGAACACCAGCTGCGTCAAGAGGCCGCAGGAAGCTCGACGTGAAGATGGCCATCCATCCGGCCAGAACGATGAGATCCGGCTTGTCCTGGAGAACAATTTCGGCCAACGCCGCGTCGTAGCGGGCGCGGCCCTCCTTCAGCTTAGTTTCGTCCTTCTCGCCCTTTTGCGTGAAGCCCCCCGAGACTTGGTTGAAGTATGTGGTGGGGATGCCCGCCTTCTCCGCCCTCTGGACCGCGAAGGCGTTCTTCCTGTTGACGATGACCCTCTTGATCTTGCTGTTGGGGATCGTGCCGGCTGCAATGGCGTCAATGACGGCCTGAAGGTTAGTACCCGATCCGGAGCAGAGGACCACAAGGCGGCAGTGCTCGCTAGCGTCCGTGGATGCCATGGTGTTGTGAGGTGTAAACGTGAGAGGCTTGGGTGAGCTGTATCTGGTGACCTCAGGTCAGGTGAAACAGATGGCAACTTTTCCGAGTGCGTTTCACGGAGCTTCGCAGTTTCTAGCCTCTTGGTTCAGGAGATCTCTCGGATCAACAGGGTTTGTCTTTTTTGTCTCTTTGTGCGCCGTCGCCGTCGTAACACAGGAATTTTCACTTGAAGTTGTGCTTCACTGGGGAGGGATAAAAAAAAATTCAAAATTGCAACCACCGATCCGGAGGGGTTGTGAAAGGTTGGAGGGGTGGAAGCGGGGTGGGAGGCTCTGCAATTGGCCGATTCGTTGGTGTGGGCAGCCCAATCAGGCGGGGAGCCAACCAGCGGCAACTACTCTGTTAGCATGCAAGCTTTTGGTGCTCTTGGTGCTCTTGGTGCCGAGCACAGCAGTACACGTTCGACAGCGAGGCGACAACGGGCCTGGGCGAGAAAGCAGCAGCGTCGACTCCGACAACCGCGGAAACACGACAGAGAGCCATGATACGTAATGAGTCAAAGAGACAGGATTCTGTTGGTTGGATGTTTTACGTCGTCGCGTGACGACGTTGACTGCTCCTTGGGCTGCAGACGATGCCGGAACATGCGTTGTAGATGGGGAAAGGGTTGGGGAACAAAGCTGGGTAAGGTAAGCTTGTCGAAGGAACGGACAGACACACGGATAGTAAGCAAACAGCTTTTGCCTGAGAAGACAGGTGTCAGCCAGAGATGTTGGGATGCCATTAAGAGTCATCGCCCAAGAGGCTGGAGACTTCCCAGCCACATGGCAAGGCCTGTTCATGATAGAATCATGACAGGAACCAGGTCGATGAGAAGGAAGAAGGAAGAAACCAAGAGACAGCAACCGTTGAAGGCCGTATCAGGCCCATGACACTAACGACGGATGGGGCCGAACATGCCCATGCCCAGCCCAAAACAGCCAGAGTCTAGCCCGGTGTACCAACAGCTCCAGGTCGTTCCGGAAGGAATCAATGTTCCCACTGGTCTGATACTCGGGGCAACCGGGCAGCGTAATTACACAAGACCCAAGAGCTCGTATGGGTTCGTTGGGGGAAATCGACGACGAGCATAGCCCCGAAAGACTCCCCCCGTTTCATGAAACTCGCCGCTCCACGCAACCAGAATCGCGAGGAACAGACCTTAGACAATTCCCGAAATGTGCATCCGTGTCGGCATTCACTTCAGCAGGTCAGCACCCCCTGCTGGAGCCCGAAGAAAACAGGCTGAACCATTTTGCTCACAAGCTTTATTCTACCCGGTTGCATTGTGAACTTGCGTGTCGCGCTTGTATCCAGCCCCCGGTTCCATTCTCTTGTCGCGAGGGGGCCAGTACCAAACGGGCGATGGTTCAGGCACAGGCTCAGGCACAGCACGCGTTGCCCATTGCATCGTCAGGGGCAGCTTGCCGCCCATTCACGGCCTCGACAACGACGTGGACCAACCATCCGCGCACAAACGGCCATCGTCAGAAGTGTGCTCCCCGACCTCTGCCGCCTCAGACGCCCAAGTCCTGTCGAACAAGAGAGAGGAGAAAGCGGTACACTAATGGCTCGAGTGCTGAATCCTCTCTCCACCCCATTCCTACGACGGAGAGCTACAAGACGCCGTTTGACCGTCAATTCATGACCTCGCAAGGGGAGCAAACTGTCCTGAACGGTCAACTGGGATGTGGACGCTAGGACTGGGGGCGGCGAGCCAACCGATGCGAACCAAGCCGGACCAAACCAACAACGGATGTCCAAGGCGATATGAATCTCCCCTTTGAGCTCCGAGCCGCCATTCATTCGGTTGCACCGCCAGCGGACAGCGAGAACAGTATGGAGCTTTACGTCCGTCAGCTATTAACAAGGGTCGGATACCACAGTGTCACTGTCATCCATTCGTCCCCCACTCCTCTTCGAATTGCCTTGATCGTGGTACCGCAGTCTTGACAAAGTTGGGTCGGGTATGTCTTTGATGGATTCGGTTTGCGTCGTGAACTCGCATTGGATGGCCTTGTCTCAAATTGAATTTGGGCCGTGCCCGAGTTCAGACTGTTTGTTCCATTGATCGATTGGATTTGGCCAAGTCTCTGGGTCTCGGTCAAGTTTACCCCAAGTCCGGTGTGTTGCCTGCGTCTGCAGAAAACCTAGTGCACGTAGGACTGAGGCGGCGCGTGGACGGACGCAATGGTTGTCTTTTGCCCCTGGAGCGCACAGGCGGATGGATACCTCACGTCGCGGTAGGATTCAGCATGTTATATCCTTGGAGCCCGTATCCATCTTGCTGCAAGGTAGTAGCAGATGGCAAGTCGTAAGGTGCCCATGACAAGTCACGCCAATAACAGCAAGTCAAGGCCATGTCACGTTTTCTTCTTTTTCTTCTTCTTCTCTTTGTTGACTTTTACAGGCCTGCCGCTGTTTGCTTACATCATTTGTGGGCAGTCTCCGATGCACCGAGACAGCCGATAGGCAGAGACAGGATTCGGTCCGGTAGTGTCGTGGTCATAGTCCGGGCTTGACTTCCTGTCAGATTGCAAGGCGGCGCGAATCATTTTGATCTTGCAGGTTTTCCTCATGTGCGGCCGATGATCAGATCGGGGCGGGCTTGGGCGATACGAGGCATGTGTTGCGGAAAATAGAAATGGGAGGAAAGTGATTGACAGTACTCTGCATCTTCCCTGGAATCAAGTGGAGAGGCGTGAGTTGGTCCGTTCCAGGTTGAAGACCCCCATCAGCAGCCACTTCCAGGTTCGCCGGACTCGATTACCGCGTCAGACCCTGCGACGGGAGACTGCCCGTCGGGACGTCCCTTTTCCTCGCCTTGAACATTCGTTTTCTGTCCGCATGTTTCGCCCTGCTCTTGATGGGTTGCAGCAAGTACGTTGTGTCGCTCACTTGTTGAGCTGCTCAGGTCTGGCATGTGTAAATGACGAGAACAACCCGAGTACGTACAGTACTTCGATTTCAGGCCTGAGGTTGCCCCCTATAACGCAGCCAGTAAAGGTTCACCACTTGTGGGCATGTGAAGCTGCCACCCGACTCAATGGCATGCATGTCCACACCCATCACTTGTCAGCCAGTCCAGCTCCCGCGCAAAGTCGGCGGGTGGAGGGAGGGAGCCACTGTTCAAGCTTCCAGGATAGTCTTCAATGTTTGGGGAGACCTTCTGGGGCTACGAGGAGAGTAGTGCCGCGCTAGAGAGGCCCCTGGGGATTTTCTCCCGTCTTCTCATTCGCTTTTTTATTACTCGAGCAGCTCGCGAAGGCCAGCGCACCCAAGATCCATCCCTTGGGCAGTGTATTGGGGTCGTCTCATGCAGACTCCTATTCACTCGAAGGGTGGAATATGCTGGACAATCTGGAGGAAAAGAAGACGATAGAAATTGCAAAGATGAAAAGTACGTACCTGGCTAGCTTCTGGGAAACCACACCCCCCAAGGCGTCCCCTGTCGTCTTTTTGCGTGATTGCGGGAAAGTGCCAGCTGAGCATGTGGAATTCAAGGTACCTATGGTCCCTCTGTATGGCAATTGTCCTATGAGCGTCGCGGATCAGGACGGAAGGTGCCTTGCAGTATCCATGCTTCCTTCCATCATCCATCCATCCACCCGCCGTTCCGACTCCCAGCCTCCACTCCGAGCCTCCAGCCTTTTTTTCCCTCTGCGGATACGGAGACTCTGACTGGCTTCATTCGGTTGCTTCATTCACGCCCCCCTTCCAACTTTCGAATCGCAAGCATCACCTTCGCTTTTTCTCCAACACAGCGAATCGGCATTCGACTCTTCGCCCACACAGTCTCGAAGCGTCTTCTCAATCGTCTTTGGAAGATGCGAGGTCGTGGCTGCCGATGGAACGGCGTCCCACCTCCACTCGTGCGTCAACGGCCATCCGCGAACCGCCCTCGTACCTCGTGGCCCCCTCCCCGTTCTTGCGCAACGCCGCCTCGCTGCCATGCCAGACGCCACCTTCGAGATCACCATGAATGCGGTCGAGGACATGGGAAGGGAAAAGCACGCCCGCATCCCTCAGTGCTCTTGATCTCCTCCCAGCGCCCGGATTCGGCCCACGTACTCTTCGGTCTGGGCATCTTGGTTTGAGATTCACGCGACATAACCAACACCACCAAAAAAAAAACAAAGACAGACGCTACCAGGAAATGGAACAGGCATGTCGCTCGGCCCTGCTAGACCGCCTGCCATTAGATCAACACATTGTCCTGGCGACAGGCCGGCCGGGTTATTTGGGCTTGCTATCGAACCGGCGCCCCAGACTTCAAGCCTCTGTAGGAACGACCGAGCTCATGTCTAATCATGTCTAACCATTTCATCGTGCCGTCATGGCTAGAGAAGCAAGTGCTCTCTACATCATGCTTCTACTCCGTGCAATCATCCTTCACATATCGGCCCTGGACAATATCACGGCGGCTATGGATACAGAGACATCGCCGGCACAGATGTATATTTGCGCTTCTGGCAAGCTGACTCCGAGATGGGCCTGACAGACTGAGCGTGATCGGGGCTCGGATGCCATGGCGAACACAGTAAAGCCGGGGCATTTGTTTGGGTGTCATACGCAGATTGGGCCTTCTGTGGTAGAGAACGCAGCATCTATTTCCTGGAGTGGTGCGGGCCCTTCGAAAACTACCACTTCTCACCTTCTCACGGCGTCGACAAGCAACCAACCATCCATTTCCCTGAGTCTACAGCCACTCCTTGAAGCCTCATCTCACCAGTGCAGAAGAAAGAATGAGACACGGCACGAGCCCAACGGACGTTGTCGTTGCTGGAGACCGTTGTCTTTACCGGCCTGGGCAAGGACGTCTTGTCCTGCACTCATTTCCAAATTCGATGGCGGCGGCTCCGAGGTTAATCTAAAACTTCATGACTGCACGTCCTTGCTACCGATGCTGCCGGCGGATGGAGGTCCAGGCTTTTGCAGTGGATCAACCAGCACCCTCGTCCTACGCTGCTCTCAGAATACAGAGCATCTCGCTGAACCTGCGTATGCTCGTCTGTTCGTTGAAGCTGCGTTCGTTCAAAAGTCTAAACCGCCTGATCGTCTGCGGAAGCACGTTCGGTCCGCGTTTTACGGTACCACTGACATGACATGCCAAAGCTTGCTGGTGTTTTCCCTGAAAGCTTCAGGCGGCGCTTTCCACCCGATGTTGAGGCGTTGTGGCCCCGGGCAACGAAAGACCTGCAGGCTGCAGGACGGGAGGTTGGGCTGGGAGCCCTGGTGCTGCAACTGGATGGCGGGTGCAGCTGAGGAGGGGTACTGCATCGGTAACAGGGACCTTTACGGCGGGCGACGCAGTGCAACGTGCAAGTAGTCCATACCACGACGCTACTCTGCACTGCATGAAGAACGAAACAAGCCGCTACGAGGATTGCTAGAGGGAGTGGTAGGGTAAGGGGGCAATGAACGATTGTGTCGGCGCCACTCAACGATGCTAGACCCGATGGGTGAGGCGATCAAAGGCCCAAATCGCACAAAATATCACCCAACACACTAAATTTCCATGCTCGGAAGAGACAATGGCGAAATTCCTCGGGGCCTGGGACCATGAGGCGCCGCAGGGAAAGGAAGACGGTACACAGCGTAAACGCAAAACGCTGCTCGAACTGGACGGAAAGCAGAATCCCTACCATCATCATCATCGTCGTCGGCGGCGGCGAGGCGTTGAACCTCATCTCACATTTTCGCGCGTGTTCGGTCATTTGGGTTCACACGACACAGGCCCGGGCCAGAGTTCAGCAGAGCAGCGTGCCGACGAACTATTGCCGTATCCAGTACGGGCGGCGGTGCAGGCGGTCTCCGGGCCATCCCATCCCAAAGCTGCCCATCCAAATTCAATGCCACGCCGTCAAGCATCCCTCCCCCTCGTCCCTTCTCCGCACACACCCCCTTCCCCTGGATCCCTGACCCCGAACCCCCTGGGCCCAGAGAATTCTGATTTCTTCCAGGGCGGGTCAAGAAAAGCGCGGAGCGAAGAGGCACAGGAGAGAAGGTAGGACAAGCATGTTGTCAGCGGGCCATTTGGGCCAGCCAGGCTGTGTGGACTGGACTGGACTGGACTGGACTGGGAACTGGACGGAACGGTGGTGGACTGGGTCGACGTTCGCGTGAAGCTCTGCATCAAGCCCACCTTTCCCAGCAACTATTGCTTGGTCTCTCCACTCTCCTAATAAAAATAGGCCCTGCTACTGGGTGTGCTGGGGCCAGGGAAGTGCCTCGAGCAAAGGAGACAGACCACCAAGAGGAGAATGGACCGAAGAGAGACGCAGAGGAGGAGCAGGAGAACAGCAAGTACGGGATTACAACCGCCTTTGAGATTTTTCCTCTCCTGTTCACGTTCTTTTTTGGCATACCCCATCCCCCTGCTCGGCCTTTACCCTGACCTGCCTTAGTCGTGCCTTGCCTTGCCTTTGCCTAATTGCTTTACCTAGACACACCAGTACTTACTGATCAGATCGCCTCCTCCTTTCCACATTCCCACCCGTTCGCTCCAACCTCCTGTCGACTACTTCACCGACCCTCGTTGTTGCTGTCATCATTTGTTGCATATCCTTTCGTGTCGTGTCTATCCCGTCCCACGACTCGATCCTATTTTGTTCATTCATTTGCCCTTCATATTCTAATACCCCAATTTCCATCCTACCTGACCGGTTGACAGCCCCCCTAGCCCTGCCCGCTTGCTTGTCCATGATCATCGGCTTCTCTGGCCTTTTACAGCCCGGCTCCAGCTTTCTGCATCTTGTTTGCATTTGGATAGAAGTTTGAATGAGATCATATGCCTTATGGGTTCACGCTCTCGCATACGCTCTGTAGACTAATAGCCGTCGCCTCGTCTTCTGACGGTCGTCGTCGTCGTCGTCTCATTCTGTCTCGTCCTGTTCGACAGATCCTCCTCCGGTAAGTCATCAAGCCCATTTCTCTCGTCATCCCTCATTCCTCAGCACACCGGCCCAAACCTATACATAGCTGCATTCCCCCCCTTTCGTTTCGCGACAACGCGGCGCGCGCGGGAGAAAGCATCGCACTGGTAGGCCAACCCATCGTTAAGGCTGCTGGCGAGCTCCCTTACCGGAATACCCTCATTCCCCCCGTCTCTCGTGTCTCCACGGGTGGCCACATAGCTCCGATTTGCATACCCGTACCCCATACACGGTCACGATACCTCGCGCAGGCACATGCGCGCACCACAATCCAAAGTCACAACAGCTGATGTTGGGGATTCTTCCACTACGCAGAATCGCTTACCGCAATTTTGTATTACGCTCCGCAACGCCCACTGACACGAGCCGCAAGCAGAGCCCGCTCGAGTCTCAGCTTCCTGTCGTCATCCCACATCGGCTGACCCGCCTCGTATCGCATTTTTTTGCGGCCCCGACCCGAGGCGAAGGACGAACCCAAGGCTTAATCTTCACGAACCCTGCTCTACGAACTACTGCGTGTAAACACGCGCATCGAAACTATTCCGTCGGGGAACATCGATTTGCTGTTACTCCACATGCCTAGATTCTCCGTCTCTTTCGGCAGGCGGCGATCGACCGTCGACTCGGATGAGTTCCATGAAGAGCCGGTAGCAACAAAGGAAAGGCCAACGTCATTCCGTGTCTTAGAGAGGACCGAAGTTGGAGGACAAAAGTCGTTCGACGGTGGACACAGGCTAGTCAAGGCGACCACGACAGCAATTCCGCCAAAGAACAATTATTCGGATTTGTCTCTCGAGGATAACAACATGTTTGCAGACGTCAAGAACAACCGGTATGTGCATCCACCCATTTTCCTTGAATCACTTCCCCTTTCCCATTTCAAACCACATTCTTGGCCATGGATGAGGAGGCAGAAGGAAGTGGGATGCGGAAAGAAAAAGAGAGACCCGGAGTGCAAGAGAAGGAAAGAAAGAGAGTAAGAAAAAAAGGGTTGGTTAGCATTCCACAGCGGCATGTCTCGGACTCAGCGGTGTATTGTTGGTCTGCTTGGTCCTCTTCCTCTCAGTGTCTACACTATCCCCCCCCCCTTGTCTGCCCTTCATTTCAGGGCCACGGCAAGGATTGTGTCTAACGTCGACTGACTCAGCTTAAGGGGAAGTGGGTCATCCAATACCACGAAAACAACCTCGACAGATACTTCTTCGCGCCACAGCAACGTCTCGACCACACCGTCTTCGGCTGACCTCGGCCACCAAGGGGCTCAGGAAGAATGGAAATCCTCGATTAGAAAATCTCACACCGACGTGCCACCTCCCAAGCACAGCTCTGGTGGATTCCTCAGCAAAGCCGGCAGGACCTTTTCCTTTGGCGGTCAGAAGAAACAACAAGCTGCAGCATCCTCTGTTGACGATCATCCCCTTCCTCCACTGCCCCCGCCGCCCAAGGCGCCATCGGACGACGACTACAGCCGGAGACCGCGAGGCCTGACAGATTCCACCGACAGGACCGCCACGCCCCCAAAGCTCAGCGAGGAGGATTTCGCCCTTGACTTTGGCAGTAATTTTGGTACCATGTTCAAGGGTTCCGGGTTCGACAAAAGAGCCAGCCAAATGACGCTCCCCAGTAACGACAAGTCCAACTTGGGACCTCGTTCCCTTACGACCAATAGGGTAAACCAACCCCAGCCCTCGCCCATCAAGATTGATCACTCCGCCAAAGTGGAGGCTTCGCCCTATTCATGGAGCAGCCAACACTCCAACGACAACCTGTTGCACAACTCCGGTTCCAACTCCCCTACCGACACTGAACGCACATCCGTACCACCACCCGTTCCCCGACACGGCTCGCCGCTGGCCTTCCGCAATAATGTGCCATCAGACATCATCGAAGATGAAGATGCGAACCTCCTCAAGGACTCGTTGGCAGCCAGCCGTTTCCTCGGCGGTTCTGGTCAACCCAGCAACCCATCCCCACCCGGAAGGTTTCGCAGAAATGAAGACACATTCTCGACAGCGTGGGAGGCAACGGATGGGAAGGAAGAGGAGAACATGTTCGATAACAGTAGGGCACAGCCATCGAAGCCGCCCACGAATAACAATCGTTACACGTCCAGCAGCAACCAAAGTACACCTCGCAACAAAGTCATGACTCCCGCTGAGTTCGAAAAGTACCGCCGAGACAAGGAACGCGATGACAAGACCAGCGAAACAGCCAAGGCTTCTAACGACAGCCGCGATGATGACGAAGATCAATACGATGATGACGAGGATGATATTGAGAAGGCGAAGATGGCTGCTAAGCAGAGGAGGAAACAGGAGGCGCACATGGCCGTCTATCGACAGCAGATGATGAAGGTTACGGGCGAGTCGCCAATGTCCGGGCCTTCCGGCCAGGCTTCCCGGCCGAGTCTCTCTGTGTCACTCAGCACGCCCAATCTGCCGAACATGGCCATACCTCCGGCCTTGATGACGGGGAGGTCTGATGGTTCCGAAGGAGAGGAGGACGAAGAAGTTCCGCTTGCCATTCTGGCTGCACACGGCTTCCCGAACAAGAACAAGCCCCCTGCCCGGGTCACGAATATGGCATCCAATCCCGACTTGCGGTCATCGGTTCATTTGCAGTCTGCTCAGCCCGCCAGACCTGGATCCAGCATGGGTGAAGGAACAGGACCCAGGGGAAGTAGCGGCGGACACCTGCCCGCCTTTGCCAGAAAGCTGCCGCAAGATCCATTCTTGGGTGCCGGTCTCATCAACGCCCCTCCCGAGAGTCTTTGATGTTCGGCGGAGGCTCGCCTGCACCTGGCGCTCAGGCGCCCCCTGTCCCCATGGGTGGCCTGGTCGGTGTAATCGCCAGCGAGGAACGGTCTCGAGCCATGCGCAGAGGCAGCCCTAACATCGAGGCACAGAACGTCAACCCCTTCACGGGGGCCCCGGTCGACCCCATCGCCGGTATCCCGCCTCAGATGATGTACAACAACATGAACGGAATGCACGCCATGGGTGGCGGTATGGGTGGTATGGGAGGCATGCCGCAAATGCCCCAGATGCCGCAGATGCCCCAGATGATGCTTACACCAGGAGACCAGGCACAAATCCAAATGACCCAGCAGATGCAGCAGTTCATGCAAATGCAGATGCAGTTCATGCAAATGATGGCGACGCCGGGCCAGAACATGAACGGAATGAACGGCATGCAACGACCCATGAGCCATGTCGGTACCCCCTCAGTTCACGACAGCCAAAGACAGTCGTACTTTGGCGACTCAATGCTGGAGCCTCCCCGACTCGACCCCCGAACGAGAACCATGAGCATGGTGCAACCCAGCTCCTCGTCTTGGATTCAGCCTGGAGGAGGATTTGCTCCATCTATTCACGGAGGCATGGGTGGTGGCGGCGGGTATGCACCCAGCATCCACGCCCAAGGTGCAGGGTATGCCCCCTCGATCGCACCCTCGGAACGCAGCAACGTGGGCTTACCAGGCCGTTACAGACCCGTAACGCAAGCGCCCCAACTGGATTCCGGCCGACGCATGTCGGTCATGTCGGGAGCCATGGGATGGGACCAGCCGCCCAAGGTCATGCAGCAACAGGAGACAAAGACGCCTAACAAATCGAGCGGCAATTCGGACGACGACGATGAAGAGGGATGGGCCGCGATGAAGGCCAAGAAGGAGAAGAAGAGGGGCCTTTGGAGGACTAAGAAGAGCATTGGCAGTGAGATTGGGGCACTGATCTCGTAGAGCGAAGGGAGGAGACGGAGACACAAGCATGATACTTGAAGAGGGGGGGGTTAGGACGAACAGGGGGGAATCGGAACATGCAAAAAACAAAAAAGACTGGACATATTGGAAAGATAAACACAAACACTCCACGTCTATAGAGGCGTGTTTGATGTTTCTCTTCACATTGGGGTTGGTGTTGGCCTTTTTCAAAAAACCACCCTTCCTGCCCTGTGTATATTCTAGGAGACCTTGGTTACTGGGCATCGTTACGGTGGTGAAAGAGCAAGATGGAATGGCTTGGTTGTTGATTGCAAAGTCCTGATAGACAGCTCTTGGTGCAATAATCTACTAATGTTGGAGAGAGAAAACACGAACATGAGCGCATGATATTCTGTAAGGTTTCTGTCCCTTTTGTTTCTTGCTGGCTGTGTGCATCCCTTCCATGTCGTCGTTGGAGCTTAAGCCAAGTCGCTGGACAGTCCCTCGATCACCAAATTCTATGGGTCAATGTCTATTCATATAAAAAACCCATACATAGCATGGAGGCTTTTTTTTTTTTTACATCTTTTGCTCTTGAATTTTTGGTTTTATTTTGGTTCGCCCTTTTTTCTTTTTCAAACGTCTAAATGTGGTCTTCCCCTCACATCCGCACATTCGCGGGCTACGCCCAACTTACTCGATCTTACCCGCGGCCCAGGCCTTGCGCTTGACGCCGAGCTCGACGGCAGCGAGGCCCCAGTCCTCGCCGTGGTTGTGTCCTCCCGTGGTGAGGCCGGCGCGGGCCTGGGCCTGCTCGTCGTTGAGGACGGTCAGGACACCGAAGACGACGGGGACACCCGTGTCAAGGCCGACGCGCATTAGGCCGTGGGAGACGGCGTCGGCGATGTACTCAAAGTGCATGGTCTCACCCTTGATGAGGACGCCGACGGCAATGATTGCGTCGAACGGGTGCTGAGACTCGACGGGGAGGGAGGTCAGGTCCGTAGTCGAGGAGCCGAGGAGGTCGCCGGCCGAGGTGCCGCTCCCGGATTGTGCGGATTGGACTTGGGAGGCTTGGTAGAGTCTGCGAGGGGGGGAGGCGGGTTGGGTCAGCTCTGGCTCGCTTTGTTTGTTGGGGGCCATGGCTTCCTCGCAGGGCGAGCGCAAGGAGACCAAGCGGCGAGCTTGGTTATGGCTGCGCGTACTCACCTCTGGACAGCGATGGGGAGCTCCCAGGATCCCGGGACGGACTGCAAGACGATGTTGGACTCCTTGACGCCGCAGGCGAGGAGCTTCTCCTTGGCGCCCTTGACGAGGGGCTCGATGATGGTGGCGTTCCAGCGGGCATGGACAATGCCGATGCGCAGGGCGCTGCCGTCGTGCTCTTGCGGGGTCGGTCCCTTGATGCCGGACATTTTGGAAGTCTGAGGTTGTGAGGTCGCGGTGGGGAGGGGGTATCAAAGTAACGCAATTGGAGGTTCGCCAGTGGTGTTTGTCGCAAAGGGTGGTGCGCAGCGTCGTCAGTGATGTGTTGTTGTCTTGTGGAAGGGATGGGCAAAGCTCGAAATTGGGAACTGGAAGTTATGGATACGTCCGTTTGGCTTATGAATCGCTTAGCACAACCTACGTTCTTTCGGTAAGGCGGGCGGCGGTGGTGGGCTGGCTCAGGAACGAGGGCCTCTGCGATGCGGGGCATGTGGTTTGAGGTCTTGCGTGCCTGGGAGCGGGATAGCAACAGCTGCGGGGCTTTGGCGTTCCCTTGGATCTTGCCGCGAACCCTGCAGGGCAAAAGGCTCTCTGAACTGGGAAGGAAGCTTTGAGGGTGTGGTGGCCGTGGTGCTTTGGGCTCCACCAGCTTGTGGCGTCTTGTGACGGCTGGCAACGGCTGGTGCTTTTTTCTAAGAACGTTGAGGCAGAGGAAGGTGATGACTTACATGACTCCTTCCTAAGGTCCAATGTCTGTTACCTTCTTCCAACTTCGAGAGAGGCGGGCTTTTCCCCTCCTCCATGGCTCCCTCACTTCCACTTTGTGGTCGTCGCCGCTGAGAGCTTCTTGTACTATACTGTTGTCTCAATCTCCACCATCTCGGTTCCCTCCTTGGGGTCTCGCTGTATTGTTGATCTACCTGTCGTTGTCTGCTTCTTCTCGAAACCTATACTATACTCTATACATCATGTCCATCTCTAAGCTACCTCAAAGTACATGCCTCCTGCTCAGATCAACGACTGTCGTCGCTTCCCCTCTGTCGGTTGTAAAGGAGCTCGTAGACAATGCTATCGACGCCGACGCCACAAACATTGAGATCAGCATCTCGGCCAACACAGTAGACAAGATCCAGGTCCGAGACAACGGCCATGGTATCAGCCCCGAAGACTACGACGCCGTTGGGCGGAGGTCACATACCAGCAAGCTTCGGACCTTTGAAGAACTTCAGTGCAAGGGTGGCAAGACACTTGGTTTCCGCGGCGATGCATTGGCAAGCATGAACACTTGCTCGAGGCTTTCCATTACGACGAGAACAAGCCAGGAAAACGTTGCAACTTTGTTGGTTCTCAAAAAGGATGTGGGAGGAATTGCAGACAAGACCCTGGTTTCGGGTCCTGTAGGGACGACAGTCGACGTCTCCGATTTGTTTGCTGGCGTGCCAGTCCGAAGGCAGCTTACAATCAAGGAAAGCAAAAAGTCGTACGGACAGATCAAGGAGCTACTTCACACATACGCCCTCGTTCGACCACACATCAGACTCTCGCTCAAGATTCTCAAAAACAAAAAAATCTCCTGGTCTTATGCTCCCAGCAGGGGGGCCAGTGTCAGAGATGCAGTTCTTCAAGTCTTTGGTTCTGATCTAGTTTCGCAATGCGTTTAGAAAACGTTCAGTGGAACCACAGATGCAATTCCGGGGGCTTTTCCAACGAAACCAGCCACGCCAGCATCCGTACTACGACTCGAAGCCTTCCTTCTGAAGGCTGATGCAGACTTTTCGAGGATTTCTAGAAAGGGCTACTTCATCTCTGTTGACTTGAGACCCATGTCTACTGTCAGAGGAACTATTAAAAAGCTTGTCGACATATACAAAACATACATACGCCATGTTGTGGGAGTCGGAGGAGCCTCAAAGACCATCACCAAACCTTTCATACGACTGAATATTGAATGTATCCTTGGGAGCTACGACCCGAATGTGACAACAGCAAAAGACGAGGTCCTTTTTGCCAACGAGTCCAAGGTACTCTCCCTTTTCGAGGAGATGTGCAAGGAGATGTACTTGCCATCGGAACATGAGGATGTGACAGGGGTTGTTAGAGAAGGTGCCCAAGTGGACAAGTCGCAGAGCAGAGAAAGGAGTCCATGGCTTCTGTCCGACGATGAAGAACATTTCAACGAACTCACCCGAGTAGCAACAATGGATGGCGCAGCAGGAGGGAGAAGTACTGGCCTTCTGTCAGCTGGCGATAAAACGGAAGCCCACTTCAACGAACTTCTCCAGGAGCTCACGCCAGACCAAGCAGCCAGTGTGGATAATGACCTTGCCGGCCTGCTGCCACCTAGCAGCGGAAATTATCCTACAACCACTGACAAAGGGGACCTGGGTGATTCTGTTCACAAACACGATGCAACAAATCAACAATGCCAACCCGCCCTCGTCGACAATGACGCTGAGGCACCTTATGGTAGCCCTTCAACCACTACTTACAATCCCAAGCAGTCAGTGTTCTCACACGTCGACGGAGAGGCGACGGGGATCAGTCATTTTAAGGGACGGGACCAGTCTTCTCCCGAGAACACAAAGTTGCAACACATTATTGAACCAACCCAGTCAATACTTCGGACCGGTTGGGAAGTTGATATGACAAGAGATGAAACTGGAAGCCCCGAGGGTAACAACCAGCCAATCCTTCTTGATCCACCCCGGACAGACTTCATTGAGTATCTGCAGTCGCAGCGTCTCCATCAAACACAACGCGAAGAGCCAAACCCGTGGTCTATTGCCAAGAAAGCGGCGGAGAAACGTGGCGCTCGTGACGGCAGTAATTTTGATTATCCGAGTGACGCTGAACGAGGAGACGACTCCTCATGCCGCAGAGTCCCTCGCCAGCATCCACCGCTCCCCAAGTCTGAGGAGTTGACACGGAAAGGCTTTGACATGGCCCACTTGAGTACGGAAGACCAAAGCCACCAACAGCTCCAACATTACCGACGCCACCGAGCACCTGTAGCACGAATGCAGGATGCATACGAGGCAGGTGATTTTGAACCATCGATACTGCAACATTCCGCCGCCTCACGAAGTGGCATTCACAATCTGAGACACCAAGACCAGCGAAGAATTACCAGAGATGAACAGCCATTCCAGCCAGCCGGTGAGACACATAACGTTGTCGACCTAGACGTCCAATATGTCGGAGGCCCTGGTGTTCGCCAGCGCGCATACGCCAAAACGCCACATCCGTTTGCCAACTTTGACCAGGAGAGTGCATTTGGCACGCCGCCCCCTTCCTCAAGCCCATTGCGGAAACCGTTCTGGGTACCTGCTCGTGTTGAACCAAGAAAACTACGTCAACAAAAATCCAGAGCTCGTGGCGCTCCCCAAAAACCTGCACGAGCTGTGGATCCCAGGGCGGATGGTTTGAGACAAGGCAACATTACCTTCAGCGCGAGAAAGGGCCAGGAGCCGCTCAGACTCCATGACACCGAAGGCGCCTGTTACGCGGCGATGGAAACGAACTACGATGGTCTTCAGAATAGTTATGTTATCTCCGAGACATCAAGACGTTCCCACCGCCATGGTAGTGACGGCCCGTCCCAAAAAGAAATGGAAGAGGCTCTGGAGAGGCTTCAGGGGCTTCGCCCAAGGACCGAGAACACTGAACGCATGGCAGCCCGGAGACTGGGCGAGGAACGTGGCAGATCTCCGACTCGGAGATCGACTACTACCGCGCCTGACACCTCACCGCGAAGCTACTTGAGACGAAGACTGGCATCCAGGTCCCAATCAAGGAATAAAACACACAAGAGGATGAGGTCGGAGATGCTACCTTTCGAGAGGCTTTCCTCGGAAACCTACACGCATGTGCAGTCACTTGCATTCGAGTCACGCAAGGTACGAAAGCAGGTCATCGATGCATCCGACTACGATCTTTACGTCCTCAGAGGTCAACAGGAGGCCGCGTTCCCATTGGAGTTGACCGAGATGGGAGACATCAGCAACAGGCTTCAAGAGGTTCTCGGGGCATGGGCATATAAGGAGCATGGTGTCGAGTTGGAGCTTGAGATTGATATTGGTGCATTGTCCGAAGGAAGGAATACGGGGTGCATGGTAGAATGAATGCAGTTAGGGACGGGTATACTGGCGCGGATCGACTCGTTACTATTTGACAAGAAACTAATGCAATTAGGGGGGCGGGAGGTAAATGGAGCCAGGCGTATTGTAGATATCCTAGTGTACATGGCTGAACTCGAATCGCTGTTTGCTCGGTTGATCAGCAACCTCTGCTCTTCGCAATGCAGTCGACCGGATGTTCGACACCAGTATCGGTTTGTAAGACAACCAATCGAATGGTCGTCCAGCATACCATGTCCACGATAACTTCCTCAGAAGGCAGCCCGAAAGAAGCTAATGGGATCACATCCAGTTGGGATTTGCATGCCTGGCCTTCGACACCCAAGAGCCTGTGAAGCCTTCCGTCCTTCACCTAGACGCATCTTGCCGCTGACTCTTTTACGCGTCTGGTGTCCGAATCACATATCTTGAACGGGTCATCATCCGGCACCTTTTACCAGTCGAACCGTCGATGTGCGAGCCGGGCAAGATGCTGGCCTTCCTTCCGACTTCACGTAGACACTGATAGATGAAACAATTACAACGTGGACCCAACCGCGGCACTTGCGGGGCCGGGGCTCGATAGGTCCCCCGTCAAGACTGTCAAGCCGACTCATCTGGTTCGACGTACGTCACCGACCGGGGCAAGATGATGGCGGGGGAGAGAGAGGTGTGATTGACGAAATTTCTATCCTTTTTCTAGTCGCTCGACGTGGACAACGATGAAACGCGAGGCCAGAAAACTCCCATGCCAATAGATAAGTGTACGCACACTGTGTAATGACTGGGTCTACGTGTACGATTACTTACAGCTTTCTAGCCTTTGTGGACCCACTGCTGCTGCTGCCCTCCGGCTCCAGCTCAGCTATGCATAGCATGTGCTACCGACAAGACAAGGAGTGCGGGTGGTTGTAATGCCAACACGGCCATCAGGCCACATTCGCGGACACCGTGTTGCCTTGTCGTGTTGTGTTGACATCCCAGAATAGATGGGAAATCCTATCAAGCGTTGTCGTTCACGCTTTCTGACCCGCCAGCAGTCTCGTGGTGCAGTTACGCTCCTCGACAGGAGCCGCCGAAGTGTAGAAAAGGGGGGCCTGACTGGGGATGGCAGCATCTCCATGACGCAGCAGCGCGAACCAGCACGGCAACGGGTGGGTCAGGGGAGGCACGTCGTATTCATGCTGCGCCGGCCTAGCTGCTCTCAAGGGCCGCAGTAGTCGATCACTTTTGCATACGACCAGCACCCTAGTAGCAGCCTCTGCGGCGCGTTTGACGCAGGACAAGTGGTTGTCATTGACCCGGGAGACGATTGTGGCTTGCCGTAACGGTGCGCGTGTGAGGGCGGCCAGTGACGGCGCTCCACAGCTCCGGTCCTCTGGCGTTTTACGTGTCTCACTCCTCTCGTAAGGGTAGGGCTGGACTGGTCTGGAGGCCTTGTAGCATTGGGATGGCAGACAACTGCCAACGGAAGAGGGTTAGCTAGGCGATGTCGGCTCTGCATAGGTTTAGACATATTCGTTGTTAGCACAGAACGTCGGCTGGTTCCTGAGCCTTCGTAGAAGTCTCCATCTTGGCGATCAACATGTGAGCATGCGGTGAGAAACGCAGTTCGGACGGCGCGCAAACGTCGATTGGAGTCTCCCGCTGCGCCAGTCCGGTCTAGGCTGAATAGCCCATTGAGGGTGCCTCGGACTTCCACCGCCTGTGACCGGTTGTGGACCGAAAAGCCTTGGATCAGAAGGTTGTCATTTCCATTCGTATCCATAGTGTTTCATGATCTGGGGCTTCTGAGGGAGCATGAGCCAAGAAGAAGGGCGATGGATGCTGATGGGGATGGATCGCTAAGTGAAGGCATCATGATCCCCACCAAGGCCGATTCTAAAGCCGGGCGGAAGCATATGGAAGTAGCTCTGCCGTTCGGAATGGCGGTGGACGACGGGGGGGTGGAGACGGTCGAGCGCCGGCAGGGCGGTTCTGAGGGTGAAGGTGACGTTCCATATCCGGGTGTCAGCCGTCAACAGTGCATGCTTGCACAGTTCCTAATGAGCCTCTCGGCTGTTTCCATTTTAGAACCGTCGGACTTGTGACTGGTGCTGAAAATAGCTGGACCGGTCAGGACCTACGAAAGATGTGGTGATTGGCTCGTGCTGTAGTTCGTATTAGGAACGTGAAGTAATCTGATCCTTATACTTTGTCGTGGGGGGGGATGGCGGAGGTGGGGGCAGTCTGATTGGGTGATTATTCAAAAGACGAGCTGTGAGCAACTCTTGTCGCAGTTGATAAATGGCAGCGTCTGCTAGGGACGCCGTTTCACTGGCGAAGCTTGACGAATCTTTTCTTTTGTTACTTACGCAAGCGTCATAAGGTTGGCAGGGTAGCGGGTTGTCAAGTTTTAGTAAGTTGGTCCTAAATATGGTGCTTGGGAATGGACGGCGTATCGAAGCCGAGAGTCGTACTGATGATACGTGAGAAGCGTCAATGGACGCTCAGCAAGGCGGGCGGATTAGGTATGCTGTGATGGAGGGAGCAAAAGTACCATGGTCATGGTCTGGGTTTGCGTTGTACGAATGAAGTGTCGAGTTATGCAAATAGGGGTATAACACACCAATTGTTATACATGGAGAACCCGTCAATCATAATTGAAAGCTGGTCCCTGCCCGCAGGTTTTCTTGCTGGCTGTTCGGGTTTCTGTGGTTCGGGCAGCGGAAAGGTCGACAGGACCTCCTAGTCATTGGTGATGCAGGTTTTTCCCTGGGTCCGGGGCGTCGCACACGGTGCCGCGGGCTGGACGATCCCTCTGTGATGCGCGCGAGCTAGTAATCCTGCCTTTGTTAGTAAGGAAAAGCATCAAGCAGCAGAGCGGCTGGATTGCACCCACAAACACAAGCATCGATCTAAAAAATAAGAGCAGCGATTACCGTAGGTGACGGGTTGCAGAAAAAAATAATAAGAGAGCCGAATCGATATCCCCCGTCTCCGGCACATCCCAATTCCAAGGCACCAAGCAGCTACTATGTAGATAGGCGTTATACTGACCAGTGGCCTGGGTTTCGTCTGAAGTCATAGTTAGTAATGCCACATCCATTGTTTATTTGATCATCCCTGTCGGTTGGCCAATGCGCGCTTGTCTTCATCTCCGTCTTTTATTGTCCATGAGATGCGAACAATACTACATTAGGCACCTAGGCATGTCGGCAGCCGGACAGTGAGACGATTAGGGAAAGGGTTGTCGGCCAGGCTTGCCGCATGCTACCCTATATTGCTATTCCAACGTAAGGATCATACCGACGTAGGCTGGCAGACGGGCTCAGGCAGGCCATTGTGGTGGCACTCGCATGCTGTTTATAGGTATGTATGGCGAGGTAGAGTGACGACAGCGATTCAGTGTTTGGGAGTAATCAGCGATAACGAGGGTGTGGTGTTGTTCAGCGTTCGATGTCTCAACAAGCACGCGACCGGATTAGCTATCGTCCAACGTTTGTGGCCTTTGGAGCGTTCGTTCAGAGGTGGTGCCTTGCTAAGCCGTTTCGAGGCCGGCGTGTGCTTTCCAGCGTGAGACGGCGCCAGCAAAAGGCACGACGGATGGCACTATGGACGATTATCTCAAGCAGAGACATAGGTCTCATACCAGCTGATGGTGTGGAATGGATCGGGCGAGACAATGGTAGCAGTAGGTACTTAGTAGGTTGGCTCATGCGGAATACCATCGGCACGTCATAAGGTGGCAGTACTGGGGTTTCAGGCCGGGCGCTAGACAAGCACAGCCATGGAAGGAGCCCTTTCCCCCCTTTCAATCCCTTTGCGACGACGACGACGACGACGACGACGGTGACGACCTATCACGTTCGCATCGGATTCGAGGTCGATCTGCACTGACAGATTGCGTGTCCCGTGTGCGCGCGTGTGTTCGTAGAGCGACCTTGCTTGAAACCTTTTTTTGTTGGTATCCGTAGCATGTTCGTGGGTTGTGCCGGATTGAAAAGAAGGGTCCCGCGTCCAAGCTGCGAGGTGCGGACAAATCGTGGCCGTGCTACACGAGAGTTGGCGGTCGTGGGCGACAAGACGGATCGAGAAAATACAGTAGTTGGGTGGACTCACGGCGGCTTCCCATCTGGGCAGAATGACTATCTCGTACCTAACTCGCAGTCGCTCCCAGTCTGGCTGACATATCTGAAGGCGAAATGGGCCAAATACCTAGGCCAGACGGGCAACGACGGGGCTCAGCTGCGCCTTACTGGGTGGAGACAGGCAAATCCGACTGGGGATGTCCAACGGGCAGTCAACCGGCAACTCTGAATACGCCCGGGGACCCCTTGGACCTGTGGCTTTTTGAGGAGGGAGGACACCGGATGGGTTGATGGAGAGGAACTGGAGTGGAAGAAGGAAACAGAACCCGGAGAGCAGGCACCCAGCAAGCTGGCTTTCAGCGGTAGGACCGTGGAGGAGGTACATGCACCAATGTATATCTACCTTGTGCAGGGCAGGGATGGGTACTTTGAGGCACCTCCTCTGCCCGTATCGCCCACTGCTGCCGGGCTTCTCCTAGCAACCAGCCAACGCACTGATGAATTTTCGATGGCCGACAGCGCCGAGAACCGAAGGGATTCATGCTGAGTACACCACTCGGTATCCGTAGTATGTGTGAGCTCTCCGTGGGACGGGACGGGATGGCATGTCATGGCGGAGGCCAAGAGGTAATAGAATAGGACCCCAAGGCAGAGCGTAGAACCTGCGATTGCTATTTCGGAACCTGAAGTGAAGGATGCTTAGCCACCAGGGGGGCTTGCGGATGCATCTGGCGCGAGGTGCTGTTCTGTTTTCCATGTCGCACTTCGACTTTTCGCACGTATGTGCAGTACAGAGCTTCCAGGCTCACAGAAACAAGCCCCCCGAGAGGTGCGCCCCGCTACTGTATGTACGTGCGCTGAGCTGGGCGACCGATCCGCACCTGAACGGACATGGGTGAGCGAGCATGGACAGGTGATCTGCAAGGTACATCCTCCAAAGTCCCCTCGAGCAAAAATGGTCCAGAACCCAAAGGTACCCGTACTTTTGCTCCAAGTCTACCCTTTCCGCAGCACTTTTCCCTGACCGTCTTGCGTTCTCTCGCGCGACAATATCCCGTCTTTCCTGCCGGCCTGCTGCACCTGCGCCGCCGATACCACCACCACCATCAGAACCACACGCATACGTCGCTCGCTCAGTCAGACACACACACACACACACACACACACACACACACACACCCACATACACACGCAAAACATTCCTCCCTCTCCCCTCATCAATTTTCATCCATCTTTCACAGCACACGCCATCCCGCTGCCCATCGATCCCGCCGAAGGCCACCGGCCAGACAATACAGCTACAGGAAGCAAATCAAAACAGTAGAGCATCACCGTCGAGTTTCCGATACGATACCCGCTGAGACGAATCAAAGTAAAGTGCCCGGCAACGGCACCAGAGACGAGCCGACTGCTGCAGCTCCCCCAAGATGCCGGGATTCTAGCACACGACTCTCGTGTTTCTCTTCTCTGCCTCTGTGCGTCGCTCGCCCACCACCCCACCGCGCTGCGAGCCTTCCATCTGCAGCGCTTGTCGACTACGCTACAAAACGATACGCCAGTCCGAAACATGCGAATGCCTCCTTACGCTCCTCCAAGAGATCTGCCCCATCCCGAAAGTGTTCCAAGACATGCAGCTACCGCTCGCCCTGAATATGGAAAACCTGCTCTTTCACTGCCATTCCAATCCATGAAGTCTTCATCCTCGCTGGAGAGGCCCGCCACTCGCTCGCTTCATCAAGGACCCCGATATTCTTCACCACAATCGCTCACTATGGATTGTGGCCGTACTTCTCGAATACGGCCACAGCCATCTAGTAGCCGCCCGTTACCTTGCCGCTCGTTCGCCGCTCTTCTGCTCGTTCTTCTCGCTTGCCTGCTGATACGCCCCGTGTCCGCCGTCCTGATCCCTTTCGACAACTGCCTCCCCGATAGCTACAGGAACTACGAACCGCTGCCCCTGCAATGGAGCCCCGTTTACGTTGACGCTCGCTTCGACACCGAAAACCCGGACCACTCTCTTCAAATCATCGTATGGGGCAATGTGTCGGGTTCGTATTACGACGTGAAGCTTCCTCCTGCGGGCGATCCGCTCTGGAACGATTCTAGCTATCAAGATGGCAAAATCCTCGACTACACCAAAGCAGGCAACAAAGTCACCACTCTCGCGAGCAAGGTCAACTTCTTGACGTATGAGCCTTTCAGCAATGTCTCCAGCTTCTGCAACTATAGCCTCGTCGATGGCTCCTGCCCTCTTGGTCCGGTCTTCAACTCGACGCCCATGTAAGACTCCCTTATGCCGTGCAATCTAAGCCCGACTAACCTCACTGCAGTACGAACCCGTATGGCAACTTGCCTTCAGTAAACATTACAACCAATATGGGCTCGTCGTATGCCTTCGCCTCGCTTGCTGCGACTCTCCAAATCATCTATGGAGACGACTCGGCTAGGCATATCGGCTGCGCTTCTGCCACCGTAACTCCGGATTTGGGCGGTACCCGCGATCTTTTGCGTTACTTACCGCTCGTTGTGCTGCTCTTTGTTGGATTCGCAACCATGTTCGCCTCTGTATTCAGCCCGTGGGGGTCCACAGACATCTTCCACTGGACAACCAACTATGGACGAGACGCCGATCTGTTGCGCTTGGTGACGCCCGGGTTCGGGGACTGTCTTCAATATATCCAGTTTGTGGCTCTCACCGGTGGGCTGACTCTCAACTACCCAGGGTTCTACCAGCCTGTTGTCAGTCAGGCGAGTTGGTCCGCATTGATGTTCAACGAGAGCTTCGTGAGCAAGTCCCCGGGCTGGCAGTCGATTCAAGATGGTATCTACGTGACCAACGGCTCTTACGGACTGCACCGCTACGCACAGATGGTGGGCATGACCGATGTTGAGGATATCTGGGCTGGAACCATGGTTTGGGTTTGCGTCATCGTTGCTGCCCTGTTCGTCCTCATTCAGATTGGTTTCTTCTGCCGCTGGGTCCTGCGGTTCATTAGTGACACCCCTGAAGAGGACCTTCGGGCCAAGAATATTCCCTTCTCAGTGGGGAACGTTGTGCGGATAGTTTTCAACTACCTGCTGCTGCCTATCGTAGCACTGTCTACCTTTCAGCTGGTTGTTGCCAGTCAGTCTCGCGACTTTGCTGTGGCATTGGCCGTCATCACTCTTCTCATCTTGGTGTGCTTTGCCGCATGGCTCCTGTACTTGATCTTCAGGACTAGGCCAAGAGCCGTTCTGTTCGATGATCTGCCGACCGTATTGCTCTATGGGCCACTTTACAACACATACTCGGACGAGGCGGCAGCCTTCGCGCTCATTCCGGTTACCCTTACGTTCATCCGCGGCATTGCAATTGGCGCCGTACAGCCTGTCGGGATTGTACAAATCGTTCTGCTCGCCATTTGCGAGGTCATCCATGTGTTGACTCTTCACGCATTCAGACCTTTCCAGTCTCCGACATCCATGAACGCCTACCACACTCTTTTCTCGGTTTTGCGCTTCACCACCGTCATGCTCATGGTCGCGTTCGTGCCACAAATGGGTGTCACCGAAGGACCCAAGGGGTGGATTGGCTATACGATTTTGCTCATTCACGCCTGTGTTTTAGTTCTCGGGTTCTTTCTGAACGCCCTGATTACGATCATCGAGGTGACGGCACGAATTCTTGGCGCCGGAGGTGACGACACCCGCGGCCTCACGCGCGGTGGCCTGTCAAAGATCTTTGGCATGCGCCAGTTGCAGCGTCGGACTTCCCGGAGAGGCCATGGCCCATCCCGGATCAGTCATCTGTCAACAATGGGTATGCTCGATGCCGATGAAACGTCAAAGGCTGGATATGTGATGCGTGGTGGCAGGTTAAGGAGCGAGTCGGCAGGTAGCGGGTTCCTCCTCCGAAGCCAACAGCGCAGCTCTTCCGCCCTTGACAGCATCGACCCATATACCGGACAGGCTCGTAACTTAGATAGCGGCAGTAACTTTACCCCGACAACGCCCGGCGAAGTTAGCACTTTCTCTTTCCTGCCGTCCCCCGCCGCCGCCACTCGGCCTCCTGCGGCTGTTACTGTCGAATCTGCAGACCCATATTACCGACCGCCGAGACGCCGTGGCGACACACTCAACGGCTCATCTACGTCTCTGCCACATCGGGCTTCCGTCGCTGACTCCCGCCGATACAGTCAAGGTGGCGCACACCTCGGAGACGCTGCGGCAGACCTGGAGGCCCAGTTATCGAGGGGACCGACACCAGCTCCGCAGGCCATCAATCTCGCCCCGAGAGCAGATTACTCGACCAGAGAGGTTGACTTTTACTACGGTGTTCGAGGCCCCGCCCTTAATTCGGAGGGTGTTGGCCGTAAACTGAGGACAGGCCCCGCTGACCCGACAAAACCAATGGCTACAGCTGCAGGGTGGTTCCGTACCATGTTCGGTGGCAAGAGCAAGGAGAAGGGTAAGGGATTCGAAGTAGTGCGAAGCTCAAGGATGCCGCCAGCTATGCGCGCCGCAGCCGATGCGGAGTATGATGCAGAGGCTCCACCAGAAGGCATCCCGGTGGCCATGGGTGTCTTGAGAAACGGTCCCATCGAATCCGACGACGACGAACCGAAAAACAAGACAGCACGGAACCACGCCGACAATGGGGAGAACACTGAAAATCTGCTCAACGACGACGGTGTTTCGGTCGTATCAACTGAATCGGAGATCGAAGCGATCGGCATGCCGAAAGTGTCTGACGCGCCGCCGACCCTGCCGGGAATAGCGAGCTCGGGTAGCTTCACGTTGCCAAATAGAGTTCCATCAATAGCAAGTCGATCTGCTTCACAGAAACACAGACGCCAGTCGACGGAATCCGACATCCCAGAAATTCCCCGGAAGAGCTCGAAGAGGGACTCTGGTGTGCCCCGTGGACACTCCCCAACCCCTTCGTTCAACCTGATCCCGCCAACCTCTCCCGCGGGCCCCTTGAGGGGCGGACAAGCTGGAGACATAGCCGCACAGGGTAATCTTTCATCATCGCCAAACTCTGGGCGACTACCCTTTGAACGGTCAGAATCGCATCAGAAACGGCTGTCTTCCAACGGGTCATCTCTGGAAGAGTTCAACATTCGCAGGACGTCGAGCACTGAAAGACCAACCAGCTATGGCGTTGTCACTCAGCACAGCATTAGCAGAGTTGATCCTGGGTCTGACCAGCAGGTTGATCTTTTGGGGAGCTCTGCCGAGCTCGTCGATGAGTGGGGAACTCCCAGCAGAGGTTCTTCGGCAAGAGGTCGAGCTTATTGAGGGAATGAATTCTCCTCACAATTCTCCTCAACAACCAATGCACAGTCCCTTCTTTTACTTACTCATCACCGTGAGAGAAGGTATTTTCTTTTTTGATGTACACGATGTATAGATCCGCCGCAGTGGACTACTCGAATTGCTTGGTGCCGAGAAACGCATATTGGGCTGGAATTGGAGTTTTGGTTATTATGTTTATGCTTTGGTCCTTATTAGCGATGGCGTCTTAAAAATGGGACCAGGCTGGTATCTAATGCGCGGCCTATTATTGTCCTTAAGGGGTTTACTGTTTTTATGGACAGCGCTGGCCGACAGGGCCAAGAATTGTAACTAGTCACGACACTGCCTTTACAGGGTTGTATAGTCTCCATCCAATACTTTAATGAGCGAAGCTCCAATACGGCATGCGCTATTCGTAGCCGTTGGAAAATATTAAGCACCACAGCCTCATCTTCGGGAGCACCGGACTGTACCAATGCGAATATGCGTCATAGATTCTACCGTTATGCAAAGCTGAGGTACCCAAGTTGACGCCTCTTCAATTAGCCTCCAGAAGAGCGTACCGTTCAGAGCAAGTCGGATGTGTCAGGTACAAATTGACCATGCTGGTACGATATCTCGTTCATGCCTGGGAGAGTGCTTATGCCCGCCGCACTCGCCCAAGTACTGTGAGGATGCCAAAGACTTATACTAACAGGTAGTAAAAGGGTCGAGGTGGAGTTGCGGGATCGGTGAGCTGAGCTGTCGTTGTCGGTGTGCAACCCCGCCATCGATATCACCGAACTTATCGATAAGATTGCCGTGGTGCGATAAGAATTTTTCTTGAAGGCCCAGTTGGAACCCACCACGGGCGAGCGCTGGCACGACTCACCTCTCATTCTCATCGCTCACTTCAAACAACTCTCATTCAAATCTATAAAGCTTTTGCGACCTTCCCTCCAAAGATCAGACAGCGCATACAGCATTCAGCACGAGCCGCCCAAAAGAGGAAGAAAGAAAGATCGCACAATGGCGCCAACACGCCCCAACAAGAAGGTGAAAAAGAGAACGGAGAAGAAGCCTGCCAACCCCGCCCTGTCCCTTGCCGAGGCCGCCACAAAACTGCAAGAGGGTGATCTGGAGAATGCCGTCTCAGCTGCGAAGAAGGCCCTCGACGGCACGGGCGTGGGCGGCGACTATGAGCTGGCGGCGGTGAACCTCCTGGGCCTCATCGCCATTGAGATGGGCGAGGTGGACGAGGCGCGGGCCTACTTCCTGCGGGCCGTCGAGCTCGACGCTGATGGCGCCCTCGACGAGCGCATAGGCGGCGGACCGGAAAAGTTCCTCTGGCTCGCGCAGCTCAGCGAGGAGGGCGGACAGGACAGCGTCAACTGGTTCGACAAGGGCGCGCAGTCGCTCAGGGGCCAGATCCAGGCGCTCGAGGACCTGCCGAAGCGAAGCGCCGAGCAGGAGGCGCAGCTAGAGGAGCGCAAAAGGAAGCTTGGCGGTACGCTGTGCGCCGTGGCCGAGGTGTACATGACGGACTTGTCGTGGGAGGCGGACGCGGAGCAGCGGTGCGAGGCGCTCATTACCGAGGCGGGGTTGGTCGCGCCCGAGTCGGCGGAGACGTGGCAGACGGTGGCGAACGTGAGGATATCGCAGGAGAAGGTGGACGAGGCGAGGGCGGCGCTGGCGAGGAGCCTGGAGTTGTGGGTGGACCTGCCGCCGCTGGATCCCAACGTGCCGGACTTCCCGACGAGGATCAGCCTGGTGCGGCTGCTGCTCGAGGTGGAGATGGAGAAGGAGGCGATTGAGGTGCTCGAGAGGCTCGTGGGCGACGACGACCAGAGCGTGGAGGCGTGGTACCTCGGTGGCTGGGCCTTGTTCATCATCGGTGAGAAGGTCAAGGCCAAGGGCGAGGGCCAGTTGGGCGAGGACGACGAGGACTGGAAGGCCACGTGGGACACGTCGAGGCGGTGGTTGATGCGGTGCCAAAAGCTCTACCAGGAGCAGGAGTACGAGGACGAGCGGCTGGGCGAGCACGCCAAGGAGCTGTTCGCTTCCATCAACAAGGAGCTCGGCGACCTGCCGGCGGAGGACGAGGATGACGGATGGGAAGATGCCGGCAGCGACGAGGACGAGGCGATGGAGGAGTAAACTAGCAATGGTTTTGGAGGCGAACGAAGACAAGATCATGACTATTGGGAGGCTCGGCTGATAGAATCAAAATCATGGAGTTTTGGGAGTCGGAAACCGGGGTGGGGACAACAAAAAAAGACGCCAAAAAGTCGTGAATCTTTTTCCTTTTCCTTTTCTTTTCTTCTTCTTCTTTCCCTTGCAGTCATCAAGGGTTCATTCATCGAGGCATATAGATGGAGGTATATACCAGAACCACATTCGTTCCTTTTCTAGGTCCCGAATTAAAAACGCCAGTGAAATGCACTCTTTTCTTCCCTTCATTTCATCAAAACACTAAAAGCCGCCGCCTTACGCAGCCTCGACCTTGAGCTTGTCAACCCCCTCCACCAAGCCCGCGCCATCTTCCTCGTCCTCGTCAATAACCTTACCAACCAGGCCGCGCTCCCACAACTGCTTCCCCGTCAGCTTGACGGGCTCCTTGATCTTAGCCTTCTTCAGCTCGGCGAGGCGCTCCTCCTCTTCCCGCTGCTTCTGCTCCTCCATCTCCTTGATGAAGTCGGCGCGCCACTTGAGGAACGTCTCGGGCGTGACGGGGGTGCCGTGAAACTTCTTGTTCTCCTCGCGCTCGAGCGCCGCGGCGCGCTCCTCGTGCTCCTTCTCCCGCGCCTGCTTGCGCTCCTCAATGAGCGCCTCGGCGGCCTCCTTGAGTGCCGACACCAGCGAGAAGACCATGGCCATGCCGAGGTTCTCTTGGATCGTCTCCTCGAGTCCCTGGAGAAGGTGCTCTCGGTCCTCTGAGACGTTGAACCACTCGTACGGCGCGGCATTGGGTACGGACTGCAGGTCGAGCGTGGGCGGCTCATCGGGGTAGGCTTCCGGGTAGCGGACCTGTAGGAACATCGTGGGCGGATCGTCCTCCTCTCCCGGGACGTCCAGGGCGATTTGTATTCTGAACTCGGTTTCCGAGATATCTGTGGTGGTGCCCGTGGTCAGTGACGTTGTTGCTTGAGGTGGCATGGCATGGCATGACATGGTGGGGTAACGGATCGCAACTCACCTGTGATCTCCTCTGGGAAGATGGACTCGAGCACCTCGCGCTCCTCGACTTGTTCTTCACGCCCCATTTCTCAATGTGTGCAGCTCTTACAAGCTTTCTTGATTGCTCAATAGAAAAAAGTGATGGTGATTTTTGGGGTAGAGGGTCGTCCTTGGAGATGTAGCTGGCGATTGAAAGATGCCGTCGATAGCAGAGGTACGTACATGCCCCATGGTGGGGTTGTGAATTCGATCCAGCCTAGCGCCTTGCTGACCGCCCGGCAATTCAAATAAAAATTTCAGAATTTCCCAAGGGACTTTGCGACCGCTGTAAGTTCCCACCCGCCCAGTCGCCCTCTCTTTGTACCCTCCCGAGAGAAAGTTCACGTATTGCGATTCCGCGGCTGTCCACAACCACATCTTTCCCACCCAAACAGCCACGCACTCTCTTCTCTTCATAATGGCATCTTCCAACGGCGTCAAGAGAAAGAGCGCTCCCGCCGGAAAGGGTGCTTCTGACGGAAAGTTCTCAAAGAAGGCCAAGATCGACTCGAAGAAAAAGGCGGAGCCTGTCGAGACCCCGAGAGCGACAATGAGGACGATCTTGACGACAACTCCTCAGACTCGGATGATGGAGGTGTCCAGCTGAATCCCCGTGACAGGGCACAGCAGGCCCAGGCCAAGAGCAAGAAGGAGGGCGCCAATGGTGCCGACAAGAACAAGGCTTTCGAGAGAGGTAAGAAATCAAGGGGGAATGATGCGCTTGCTGCAAGACTGCAATTGCAATTGCTGACTGACGTTTTTGCAACAGGCCAAAACTCTAAAGAGTCCCATGCCATCCAGAAGAAGCTGGCCCTCGAGCGCAAGGCCGCGAAGCCCTTGGCCGACGAGCTGGCACGAACCAAGAAGATTTGGGAGAGACTGCGGAGGAAGTCCCACGTGCCGTCTGAGGAGCGGAAGCAGCTGGTCGATGAGCTCTTTACCATCATCACCGGCCGGATCAAGGATTTCGTCATGAAGCACGACGCCACGCGCGCTGTCCAGACCGCTCTCAAATATGCCACCGCCGCGCAACGGAAACAGATTACCCGTGAGCTGCAGGGAACCTATACCCAGCTGGCTGAGAGCCGTTACGCCAAGTTCCTTATTGCCAAGATGGTCGTGCAGGCCGACGGCGAGATCAAGGACCTCATCATCCCCGAGTTTTACGGCAAGGTGCGCAAGTTGATCAACCACCCCGAGGCGTCATGGATTCTCGACGACATCTACCGGCAAATCGCGACGAAGGAGCAGAAGGCCATCCTTCTGAGAGAGTGGTACGGGCCTGAGTTTGCTCTCCTCGAGCGCAGCAAGGACGAGAAGCCGACTTCGGACCTGGCCGAGATCCTTGAGCAGAACCCCAGCAAGAAGCAGCCCATCCTGAAAAGTCTGCACGACATGATCAACTCGTTGGTCCAGAAGAAGATGACCGGTTTCACTATGCTGCACGACGCCATGCTGCAATACTTCCTGAACATTAAGCCCGGCACAGAAGATTTCAACTTGTTCATCGAGATGATCAAGGACGACGAGGAGGGCGACCTGCTAAAGAACATGGCATTCACCCGCTCCGGATCTCGGTTAGTGGCGTTGCTGTTGGCCAACGGCACCTCCAAGGACCGTAGAAACCTGCTCAAGGCTTACAAGGATAACTTCGTCCTGATGTCGGGCGACGCCTTTGCGCACATTGTTATTCTCACTGCCTTTGATGTGATCGACGATACAAAGATGACGTCGAAGGCCATCTTCCCTGAGCTGATTGGCGACGACAAGGAGAAGACGACAGAAAACATTGTCGTCTCCACAACAAATCCCTACGCGAGGGCCACCCTTCTGTACCTATTGGAGGGCCAGAGTAGAGCCCTTTTCCCCGCGAACATGAGCGAGGACCTGGCCATCCTCAAAGAGGTCCACGAGATCCGCCAGACAACCAGTAAGAAGGACGCCGAGGTGCGGAGAAAGGAGTTGGTTGCTGTCATTTCGCCGGCGCTTGTGGAGGCTGTAGTGTCTGCCGCGCCGGCTTTGGTAGCAGACCCCTTTGGCTGCCAGCTGGTTGCGGACGTTCTCCTCTCTGCGGAGGGTGACAAGACGGCCGCCCTCGAGGCCGTGGCAGCGGTTGCTGAGGGTGACCCGAGCGCGGAGCCTATGGAGGTCGAGGGCATCACCACTCCTGTCCACGTTTCGCGGACACCATTCGGAGGTCGGTTGATCAAGACGCTCATCGCCGGCGGCAAGTTCAACAAGGAGACCGGCAAAGTCGAGCCCGTCGAGCCGCCATTGAAATTCGCTGATATCCTGTACCCCGTCATCAAGGACTACGTCCTGGACTGGGCGACAGGACCGAGCTCCTTTGTTGTGCTCAACATGCTGGAGGCTGAGGATTTCAGCCACGCGTCCGAGTTGAAGAAGACGCTCAAGAAGCACAAAAAGGCCCTCGAGAAGGCGGCGACGGAGGAGACGGCCGAGCAGAAGGAGGCCAAGGAGGCCAAGGCCCAGAAGGAGAGCGAAAAGAGCGACAAGGGCGCGAAGAAGGGCAAGAAGAGCGGTGCCAAGTCGGATAAGCCCGTGGGCAACCTTGGCAGCAAGCTCCTGCTGGAGAAGTTGTAGGGCGGTTTCTGTACAAAATGAACCCGGATTGGCGAGCAAAAAGTTCTTCCTAATGTTTTCAAATACCCACACACGCGTGGCAGTAGGTATGTATGTCGACAATGGCGTGCAATAGGCTTAGTCTTGGGGGGAGGCATCAAATAAATGGAGTTTGGTGGTTTAAACGTATCTTAGTGAGACACAGGATCCCAAGCGAGGTGCCATCTTCGTGAACCTTGCCAATTTCGCAACCGTCCTTGAGATCTAACACACACACACACACGCAGAGAGAGAGAGAGAGAGAGAGAGAGAGAGATCTAGCTGGGCAGTGATCGAATCTTCCCGTCGGGTAGAGGGCCACTGTCTCGGTCCGTGATGTGGTGGCAAATGCAACGGGCCCGCTGCATTTGGTCTTGTCCCACCGTGTCCGTTTCCGGACGTTGTGGCTCTAACACTTGCGTCGTCGAGTCGTGAGGGGTGAGCACACGACTTCTACTACTCGTCTATAGAGAGCATTCATCCGGGAGCAAACTCCATGCGGTAGACCTACTCCGGACACGGTCAGGCGGACAGGCATCAAAGAGAGAGAGAGGGTCGGCTACCACTTCTGTAGTGTAAGTTGGCGTTCAATGCAACCTCTAGTTTGGACGGAAGGTCGGCTCTGGATCGGTCTAGGAGCGCACATTGGTGACTGTGGTACTGCCTTGGCGTGATCATCTGCCCGAGTTTGAACGCTCTGAGTAGCTGCTTTGCCCACAGGAGGAGAGAGAAAGAAACACCTAATCGATTGAATCCTAGGGTTTAAGGTCCACCCAGGTGAGAAGAGTGTCAGTGAGAGAGATGAAGAGGAGGGTACGTTGCAGGCAAGCACAAGTTGAGGTAGGTAACACCCTTCGCCCCCTTCCTTCCTTCCTTCCTTCCTTCCCTCTCTCCTTCCATACATCTGTCCAAGGTGACTGGCTGTCAACTACCTTGGGGCCTCCTTCTTTTTCCCTTCACTTTTTTTCCTCTCGGATACAACAATTTAGCTCGTTGGTGAGGCGCCTTAGCAGACGCTGCGGTCTTCCTGCGTCACCTAACAGAAGTGCATTCTCTTCCACTTCGACTTCGTACTCTCATCGCCGCTCATTGGTTTACCTCATTTCGACCTCACTCAAAGCCATCGCGGCTTCTATGGTGTTGTACAGATCGTTGAGCCGTTGACCACGTCAATTCTCTTACGTTGCCTGCTGCCACGCACCTAGAACAATTCTTCGCCAATAAGCCACTGTCTACCGCCGATATGCGTATCTCGATTATCGCGAGAGGCAAAGACACTTGCGACGCCGGCCTCTCCTACTTCGAATGCAAAGAGGGCTATCGTGGTTGTTGCCATTTCAACCCATGCCCTGGCACCAACTGCCCGCGCGAGTTGTCAGTGACGCAGCCAGGCAAGATTGTTGCATCTGTCGCCGCGCCTGTGCTCGTCTCTGCCATCGACCCCTTGCTGTCGAAGAGACGCACGATCACCATGACCTCGACCATCACGACATACAAATCTAAATCGATGCAAGCCACGACCACTACCGTCTTCCTGCCTGACGCAACCGGCCCTGGGGGTGCTTGGTACACCGACCCAAAGGGTCGACTTGTCTCGACCGTATCCTCTTTGGATCCATCCCTGTACCCTACGGTCGATTCATCCCCTAGCGTCCCGTTCACTCTCGTCGAGCCGCAGGTCCTTATTACATCAACATCGACCGCTGCTCCCGAGCCCGGCTCCGGGAACAGTGGCCTTTCTACTGCAGCACAGGCTGGAATCGCCGCCTCTGTCTTGATCGTGCTTGTGGCAATTATCGCCGCCTGGTTCCTCTGCACCAAGCAGAGAAGGAAGCTCAGAGGTTCTCGAGAGTCCATCAGGTCCATCAGCAGAGACGGCAACAGCAGAAAAGGAAGCACAAACGGCTCAAAGGAGGATCAGAGCAACCCGCCCATTATCACCCATCCATTTCAACCTAATGGCCCTTCTTCTTTTGGAGGTAAGCGGTTGTCAGCATCTTGTGCCTGAAGTTCATGAAACTAACCACTCACAGGACACTATGAAGAGCCACAGACTCGCTTCAGCCGAGTCAGTAATATAGGCTCAGAGAAGATGATGAACCACCCGATCAGCCCTGATACTCGTAACTTGGCGATTTGGCAGCCGCCGTCAGCTGTGATTGCGAGAGTCAACATAGTCAGTCCTGGTTTTACACCTCGTACAGTCAACGCTACTCCCGACTTTATTTGCCGTACTGCCAACACGACTCCCGACTTCACTTCCCGCACTGCTAACGCGACTCCCGACTTCATCTCTCGCCTCGGCACGGCTACCCCCGAGGTTCATGGCCCACCTCAGCAGGCGGCAATCGCGGAGTTGGCTTCCCCTGGTCGACCCAAGGTCGTCGAGATTTGCAGTACTCGCAATAGCGTGCAAATGTACAAGGCGTACCACCCAATGGGCAACTCGCTTTATCCCGTCGCTGAGACCTCGCCGAGCTATCTCACTGGCAAGCTGAACCCTATTGAGGATGAGGGTTTTCAGGACCGATATGTGAATTGCTGGACTAAGTGGGATCCTATTGCTTGAGGGGTGCCATTCGATGCTTCTCAAGGGACACCAGCCGATGCCGCTGGAAAAATGGTTAATGCTTCTTGAACTCGATGGTTGGTCAAGGGGAGGTGGTTTGGGATTTCAGCAGGCGTTGGACGATACCCAGGATTGCTTTTTACATACACGATTTGCCTGATGCTGCTGGTTTCTGTCAGAGTAGATTCAAATCGGATGGAACACTTGAAAACAAGAACAACGTTGGAGACAGAGGCCATAGGATTACCCATAGCTAGACCTACTAATCTTTATCTCTACTCCACTCATCAAAAGAAGCGAATTCGATGCCATGTGAGCAGTGCCTACAGAAGTCAATGCAGACGAAAGTAATCTAGCTTGGGGGAAAGTATGTGCATAGCCTTACTTTGCCGAATTCATGGGTATTTTGGTATTCAACAGATACTTAAAAATAAAATAAAGACAATCTGATCCCCTCCCTCCTGTGTACGCCAAACATGCAGTATATACTTCTTGAGCAGAAGCGTTTCCGTGACCATTTCCATTTTTATTCTTCTTTTTGTCTTGCCTGAAATAAGCAACAATTCCTCACTTCTCTCGTCCGTTGATCGTATGTGCTGGCAACATGAGAGCAGGTCATTCTCCCAATATCACCACACGTCTTTGCTGGAAATGTGGTTCTCTCAGCTACTGCCGATTCGCGGTATTGAGGATGGAGAGGTGTAAGCCCTTTATCGGCTTTGGAGCTTGCTGATCTCATCGAGGAGTATTTGCAAATCGTCGTCGCTGATCTTATCTTGTAGAGAAGGAATGAGTGTCTTTGCTTCCTCCGCGGTTTCGCAGCAAAGCGACCCTGTGTTGGATCAGCAAACATTGCCCTTAAACGAAGATGATGAGATATTGCCCGAGGCAAGGCGACGTCCTGCCTACCTATTTGTGCACGCTCGAACTTGGCAAGCTGCTTGTGTGCGCTGAGCAAGCGCTCGACGGCCTCGACATTCTCCTTCTGGCGGAACCGGGAGAAGGCATCGAGGTAGTTAAGGGTCTGTGTCAACATTCTGCAGAGAAGCAAAAATTTAGCTGCCTGGGTTCTTGAGATAGACTTGTTTCAACTTTGGCAACAAGCATCGCGTGACGGTAGGTGCATCGCGGCTTACTCGGTTTCGTTGATGTTCTTGCGGTCCATCTTGCGCTTCGTCACGAGCGCGTTGATGACAAGAGACGCCTCCGACAGGGTGAGGGTGTCTACATGCTGGAACTCGCCGAGATTTAGGACGGTCGAGGCTTCTTCGCTGCCCGGGGGAGGGGGCTTTGGTCGCGAAGTGGGAGCGTGATGCGACATGGTGGTCGATGTTTTGCGATTTGGTCGGGGGTATGGCCAATTGGGGCAACAAGAATCGACGACGTCGGATAGATTTACACGCTGGTCAGGCCGGAGATGGTGCGCAGGTAGAGGTTTGAATGGGAAAGAAGGAACTCGTGGAGCGACCGTTGTCGGCGGAAGCTACAGCGGAGTGAGAAGGAGGGTGGGTTGTGGATGAGGCTGAGAATAATTTCCCAATGGACAAGAGGCAGGTTGTTTGTCTGAGAAAGCCCACCCCTGCCAGCTTTGGTGCCGGCCTTGTCGTCCTGTACAGCAGGTCCCTTCCGTCAGGGACGGAAGAGAGAAGGTGTCCCGCTGAGAGTGTCCCTCGGGGCTAGCGCAGGCACCAGTAGGGGGCGTCGACCCAGGGACATTGGTGTGTGTTTAGCAACCCAGGTTTGCTGGGTGCACCAACTGGAACAGCGAGGTACAGCTTAACACGTCTCCTGCCCGAACCTGATGCCAAGTGGAATATTGAAATCAAGTGTATGAACGCGATCTTCAAACGTTAATGAGAACACCCAGAAATCATTTCCTTATCCCTGATTGAAAAGTCAACAGCCGTGAGTGGGTTGACTTTCGAAGCCATGTACGTCCTTCTCCCCCGAAGAGAAGTAAAGAGGTCACTCACTAATCTTGACAACAGGACCGTCTTCGCGCTCATCGTCATCAATAAGGCCGGTGGCTTAATTTACAACCGCACCTTCCACGAGGGCGGCCTCAACCAACTAAGTACAAATGACTATCTCGTGCTAGCAGGCACTTTTCATGGGTAAGTGGAAACCTCAGGCCCCTTCATCCGACCCGTTCAAGTCGAGGGTTGAGCAGACACTCACACACGCATCACCAGTGTCCACGCCATCACCGCCCGCCTCAACCCCCTGATGAGTCGGCAAGATGCTGCGGCGGCAGCGACAGCCGCCAGCGTGACGGCGGCGGGTGGTATCCCGACGCGGCCGGAGCCGCCAACGGGGCTGGAGGTCATGGAGACGGAGAACTTCCGGCTGCAATGCTTCAACACCATGACGGGCACCAAGTTCCTGCTGTTCACCGACACGACGCAAACCAATATCGACGTCACACTGCGGAAGATATACGATCTCTACAGCGACTATGTCATGAAAAACCCCTTCTACCAGCTAGAGATGCCCATCCGGTGCGAAATGTTTGAGCGCAAGCTGCTGTCGTACATCAGGGAGATCAACAATCGATAGGTTCCGACAAGAGTCGCTGCGGATGACGAACGCAGGGGTGGGGATTCAGCAACGGAGTCTGATTTCGTTTGGGTTGGGGAACAATCACTATTATGAGACGGCGTTTGCAGGAGTACCGGGCCTTTCTATTGAGCAGCATGTGCCTTTAGGACCGAGCCAATATTTCTATTTTACATACTCGAAGTAGGGGTCAAGCAAAAAGACGGTTAAGGCGGACAGGAACACTCTACGAGGTGTCCATCGTGTCGTCGTCTCTCTTGTCGTTCTTCTTGCTCGACTCCCCATCCTTGTTGAGGAGGGGCGCATTCTCGCCTTCCTCCTTGATGTCCTCAAGTGATCCCTTCTGTCCGGCCTCGGCCTCCTCACGTGCCTTCTTCTCCTGCCGTGCCTTCTCGTCCTCCATACTCATGCGCAGCGCGAGGGCGAGCTCCGGGTCCATGGCGGGGTCAAAGTCGAACTCGCCAAAGTTGCCGCCGCTGCTCTCGCCGCCACCGCCACCACCACCACTTCCACCAGCAGAGTCACCGAGCAGGATGGGGCTCGAGATGAGCTGGTCGCTGAGAAGCTTGCTGCTTGGGGGAATGACGACCAAGTTAGAGCCCTCGCCACCCTTGACGCTCTCGTTGAACGCCTGTAGCTTCTTCTGCGTATCATCATCGTCCAGATCGCCAAACAGTACGAAGTCGACCGAAACGTTGCCCTTCTTCATCTTCTTGGCCAGCTGCACCAGTTTCTTCTCTTCCTCCTCGATGGGCGAGCAGACGAAGACGATTATCCGTTGCCGTTGGGACTTGTTCTGACGGTGCTTCAGGGCAAGCTGAAGGGGTCAAGCAAGTTAGTAGAGGGGACGGAAAGAGGGCAAAAGGGGATTTTGAACTTACGCCGGCGACTTGAATGCCCGTAGCCAGGTGTGATGTTCCCTTAATCTTTGTTTTCGTGCGGTGCAGGCCGTCCAGGATCTTGCCCTGATCTGTCGTGAGAGTGACCAATACCTCGGGACCCTTGCCTCCCATGCTCATCAAGCCAACCGAGGACTCGGGGTTACCGTTGGTAATGGTCTGGAAAATGACGTTAACAGCATCGGCTTGGGCGTCGTATCTCGTGGGTTGGTAGTCGCCATTGCGACTGCTTTCGCTGTTGTCGACAACGACCATCACCGCTTCGAGGACCATCTTGACGGTTGAGGCGAGGAAACGGTGATTAATTGGGAAAAGGAACGCTTCGTGGGTTTGATTTAGTTGTCGCTGTAGTCGACGTCGTCGAGGTTGTTCAGGATGTGTAGAGACAGACGTGGTTTACGAGATGTTGAACGGGCGAGCTTTGGATGGCGGAGGGAAGCTAGGTGGAGGGCCGGAGAGCTCCTGCGTAAGGCAGTTCAGCCTGGTGACGCTGGTTGCGTACATGTAGTGATACCTTAAAGCCGTGGCTGCCTGGCTGCCTCCGCTTGTACCGAGACTTCGGAGAGCGCTCTCTGACAAATTCCCAGACAGGCAAGTACTCCTGTGTGGATCCCACAGCGACTCTAAGTATCGAGCTGTTTGTAAGTGCCAGATGGTACAGTCTCATTCGTTCTGCTAACTAGAACAAGTTTTCTCAAGTCATACTATGTACATATAACGCAAAACATAAGACCAGCTTAAAAATTGATGCAGTCTACGATATTGTAGAAAATGTTATATGCAGGTCAATCAACGCAGTATGGTCGATAGAAACTCACAGGTTTAGCCGATCCAGCGCCGCGTGCCCCTGTAGCGAGTTTGGAGCGGGACCCCCTTGCTGGTGCCGGGAACGCTTCAGACAGGCTTATGTAATGCTCTTGCCCGCTATCAGGTTTGTTTACTTTCTAGCGTACTAGCCACTCACAACAGAGCCTCCGCCCCATCACCCTAAGCTTTCAACATCCTTCACGCTTTCGTCGCGATCAGGCACGTTGCTCCAGCGCCAACCACCATCGCCCATAACCAGTGCAAACCTCAACAGACACTATGCCTCCCGCACGAACGAAGAAGAGAGCTTCAGACGAAGTCGAAGAGCAGCCCACGATGTCGCAAAAACATAGAGTCCCTACAAAGGCTGGCACGCCTCCCCTTCTAAGCAGCAGTCCCAGCAAACGGCAAAGGCTCGGTATCAGCTTAGAGCAGAAGCAGGCGATTATTGATAACCTACAGTTGGAGAGTGAGTGTGTGACTCGTGACAACATCTAGACGCGTCGTCTAATAATCTGATAGTCACCGATCGCGCCAGGCGGCTTCGCGCACAATATAACCAGCAGGCACAAACACTTCGATCACGTATTCAGATGCGCGTCAACCGCGTTCCCAGATCCATGCTCAAGATGACTATGTCCGACTTGGTTGCTAGAGCCATCGATCAGCAAAAGCGCCTTGAGGCAGCTTCGCGGCCACCACCTGTCCCTGAAAAGGACTTTCCTCCCCGGACGAGCCCACACAAGCTCGCACCGCCAGCGCGCTCTGCTAAGCGACTGAGGTATGTTCTTGATTAAACATAATGTGAACGTACACTGATGGTGTATGGTAGCGATGCTATGGCAGGTGGAGACAAAGAAAACGAGCAGGTCCTCAATCCCAAGAAGAAGCACCGTACTGCCCCAGCGCCTCTGAGCTCCTCTCAGATACTGTCGCCAACCTCATCAAACACTAGATCGCTGGTACGCGAGCGACCGCCTTCCTCGCCATCGAAGTCTTCCCAGATCGCTCGGCCTACATCATCCCCCGCGAAGCAGCACACAAGTGCCCGATCGGCGCTCTCGAGCATGGTTGAGAAGGCTAAAAAGACTGGCCGCACAGCACCTTCGCGTCCTTTGAACGCCTCGACAACCAGTTCCAACGCATCTGCACCTGCACCTGCTACAGGCACTGTGCCACCCACAAGGACGCGACGAGCCAACACGACAACGGCAACCAAAGCACCATCGCGGCCTGGAACGCGAACGGGCAAACGAGTGAGCGACTCCAGCGAAGACAGCACAGGAACAGTTGTAAAGAAGACGATAGCGTCGACTTCCGCGAAAAGAACTGTCATGGGAACAATCAGGAAGGGTGTTGGCGCGGCAACAACCAGGAAGCCGGCAGCGCCCAAGTCGGCACCAGCATCTGCCGCGGGAACCACCAGAGTACTGCGGAAAAGAGGGTAGCTTCTTCCGGATGAATCAAAGAAGACACCATTAGGTATTCGGCATTACTAGTATAAGGGACAGGTGCACGGCGCACCTGAGCGTAATCACTTGTGATTGATTTACACGGCGTTTTGGGAATAATGACAGAGATGATGACGGCTAGGCATACTCATAATCAACTGATGGATTACGGCCTCCTAATGGCTTAAGCCGGCGCGCTGGCCTTCTTTTTCTTGTCCTCCACCAGTTCAATATTGTCCTCGGGTATCTCCTTGTACTTCTCCAACAAAAACTCCTCAATCTCGTCACTAACGTCGCCTTGTACCACGATCTCCTCGCCGCCGCTTGGGGTCTTGGTGACAGATGAGCCAGTCGCGAACTTCTTACCGAACTCCTTGGCGACCTTTTTGTTTTCCAGACCGAATGACTCCAGGCCGGAGACGGACGTGACGTACTTTCTCTTGTTGCGCTCGATTCTCTTGATGGTGACGACACTCTTGGCCAACTTGTCGGCTTGTTTGGCCTCGGCAGCCTCAGCCTTGGCGGCCTTCTTCTGTGCGTCTTTGGCGGCTCGCTTCTGGGCGTCAACGGAGAGAGATGCAGTCGCTGCCTCTAGAGCCTCTGCAAACAGGTGATGAGTATCTCGGTAATACCAGGCAAATTGACGTGGGGTCCATACCTGGCGACCATATTCTGGCATACAGGTCGGGGTGATGCTTCTCAAGCCAGTCCTGGCACTTCTTGACAGTGCCGCCATACTCGCAGTACTAAACCAAGGACGTGAGTATGCGTTTTGGCGTTTGGGGGGGTGTTGTCGAACGATCGAAACATACCTCTGGGGGAAGGGTGCAGACTATACGTGGGGTGTTAGGTCAGAATTCGCGCCTCGAGTATTCTTGGGTTACTGCTGCGCATCGTTGGAAACTCACCGCCGCAGTAGGTTACATGGCGGCCTTGAGGCTCGCCAGAGGTTTCTGACTTGTCATTGTCGGCCATTACGATTTGAGAGGGCCGGTTTCGACAGTGGAGGAGTCGCTTGCAAAAAGATGTCAAGCGGAGGAATCAAGGACGTAGGAGACGCGTGCCTCTCTGTGTTCTCTCTTCCAAGGACGGCCGACTGCGGGGTCGATTGAATCGATGGCGGGGCATGCATGAACTGCCACAGCAGACCACCTCAAGTTTGAGCGCTTAGGTAACGAATTGTGGCTAGAGCCTCCCAGAGCTCCAGCCACAAATATTCGACTGTCCACCGACCCGCCGCCGCGCTTCCCGATCCGCTTCCCTCCGGCCTCCGTCTCCACAAACATCACCAACACATAACTCGGTCTGCAAGTGATTCGACCTGCATACAGGCTCGGCGCGCTCATCCCATGCACTGTATCCATACAGGAGTGCTTACAACATGAAGGCGCCGTATTTTACACTTGCCGCAGCACCTGAATCGAAACCAGGCGTCACGACCATCGGACCACTGATATCTTCATGTCGAGCGTGCCTGGCCTCAGTTGAATCACGGATTAAGCAGTCAAGACCGAAATTCCACCAAAGTCTTGCATGATGAGTCTCAATGAAATCCATGCGACGTTCAATAGTTTCTGCTCCGCGAGGCCAACTCAGAGACCTGTTCAACTCGGCGACGGAGCTTGGTCGAGTGGTCAGCCGTCCAATCGAGGACTCTGCTAAGCGCCCGCCGAGCGTCTGCCGTCGTCATTGGCCGGTGGCTCGACAGGTCTGCATTCCCAATCAGGATTGCTCGCACCTTCTCACCTCCCGTCTTCGCGCGCGCCAGCCACTCGCCGCTCACCCAGACCATGCTCGTCTTCTGTATCCCAAAATTAGATGCGCTTCTGCGGGCGCCCATTGGGTAGAAGTCTAGCCCATGGACAGATGGCATAACCTTTTGGGATGGACGTGGGCTCGTCGTCTCTCCATCACTGCCTCTCACGCGCCGGCAGCACATCCCCATTCGGGCCAATGCACGCTCTGCAGCAGGCGCGCTGCATGATGGGTGCTACCGAGCGAATGCATTAGGTTTGCGATGCTATGCTGTCTTCACCGTCTTGGGTGGGCGCAGTTCACTGTCCCGTGGTGCGTAGTGCGGATAGCGTAGTTCGCAACCCACTCGGGCCACCACCACCAGGTTAGCCGCCTTCCGCCAAATGGAAGAGCAAGGTCTCGCGAGACTATATCACTCGCTCCCGGCCAACCGCCGGGCCTCCTCTACTCTCGTCTTCCCTTCTCTCATCTCTTTCGCCGCGTCCTTGCTATTGCAAACCCCTTTTTGAAGACTTCGTTGATCGAAGCAGCCTGTCGTTTACACGATTTTCTTCCTTTGCCCTTCATATTCACACAAAGACGCAGGCCGTCCTTCGACAGACTGTTTTCTACACACAACGTCGTATTTTGCCTATATTTATACCGTTACAGCACATTCGACCGCAAGTCTATATCAGGATATCTGACTTGCATAGGGGAAAATGGCTGAAGTTGTTCACTTGCCCTCGTCAACATACAGACCTCCCTCCCCTTCGCAGGCTCGGAGGCCAGGGAGGTCACTTAATACTATAATGGAGGAGGAGAGCGAGGATGTTCAGCATGCCATCGATAACAGGCAGCTCCGGAGCCAAACGTCGAACCTCAAGATTGAAGCCTGGTTGTCACCGCTGAGCGACCACTTTCCCACACCAAGAGGCTTCCACTTCCTCTCTGCCCCAATCTTGCCATCCTCACCATCAACCGTGTCAGCCGACGAGAGTAGCTCGCCTTCTACATCATCGAACCCGTGGAACAACAACAGAACAAGCGTAATGACCGACGTCACCGAGTTCGACGACCTGTATGATGTCACGGATGAGGATGAGCCCACTGAGCTGCGTCGAGTACTGTCGCGCAAAGCATCGGTGAGGAGACGCAACTCTAGCCGTAACGAGGCGGCAAAGCAGACTGCGACTGGCGCTCGTAGAGCTTTGCCACCTTTGGTCATCCCTGGTGGTCGAAACACATCGACAGAGGACTGGTCTGCTGCCAGCCTCAAGAAGGCTATCGCATCGCCAGTACCCCCTACACCTCCAACCCGTGTTGAGATGTCTCCTCAGGTCTTTTCCTTCATGCAAGCGAAGCAGGCCCAGGAGGTGCCCACCATTTCGGCCCCGCCTTCTCTTGATGGGAGCTTGAGTTCAGAACAGTTGGCGCAAATGTCTGCGCCACCAACCCCTATCATCGGCAGCGACAACGGCAAGGAGGCAGACTGGTCAGGCGTGCGACTTCAACCTGGCGCTTTGGCGACTCTGCATGCCTTGTCCGGCGATAACGACAGCCTGCACGAGCATGACCATGACCACTCCGATCAGGTTATAGAGATTCCTCAAGAACCCGTCCCTGAGATGCGTCAACAACCTCTGCGTCTCTTCACAAACATCTTCCCCCAGCCGGCGCGCGTTGTCGAGCTCACCCCCAGCTCCCATCGTCGGTCTCTTGCCGATCTCACCAAGCTCGATATCCCTTCTCCTGGCGGTTTCTTTTCCGGCCTCTCGCCCAGGACAAGAACGACGTGGCACATGCCGACAACGTCCCCCGAGGATATGGTGCCCCCTACGTCAACCACCGCAGAGCAGTTCTACCGCTGCCCCTGGAACATGGATGCCTCGGTGCCTCCAGTGCCAGCTGCACCCGCAAAGGTCATCATCAACGATATCGCCGAGCAATATTACCGCAGCTCAGTGCCGACTACTTCCACCATCATTGAGCAGGTTGTTGAGGTTAGTGACAAGGAGATGGATGAGGATGACATGCCCACTGCTAGACCGATCGTCCCCACAAATGCCTCGAGCTCCTCTGTGACGCTGGCCGAGCCAACCTCCCCCGAGGTTGAAGATGCTCCAACGGAAATCGTCACAGTCTACGACCCCGAGTATGCGCGCAAGCAACAGGAGGTCGCCCTCTCCAATCTTGACCGCACCGAGCTTTGGCTCATGGCCCAGCGCGCCTACCTGAAGCCCGTCGAAGCCGACCAGACCGAGGGACAAGACCACAACCTCGGCACTATCCCGGAGGCCGCTGACGAGGATGTTGAGAGCTTCCCAGAGCAGGAGGTCACGTCGGCGCCGAGGAAGAAGATGGTCCGCTTCTCCGACATCATCACCAAGACCGACATCCCCCGCCGCCTGCCCTCCAAGCTCTCCAGGCAGGAATCCGCCTACTACCGCGCCTTCCAGGACTACGTCATCCGCTCCAGCAAGCAAGATGTCTTCGTGCACCAGCTGCCCCGCTTCGAGGCCCTCCAGGCCCAACGCGTCTGCCTGCGCGAGTTCCATCGCAACCAGCTTCTCGGCAAGTACCAGCTCAGCGTCGTGCCACAGTCCGCCAAGAAGCGCCTCAGCGCCAACGTTGCCCGCGGCGATGACATCCTTGTCGACGACCCGGAGAAGCTGCGCCGCGAGAAGGAGCATGAGGCCATGTCCCAGATGGCCATGCCGACCTGGCACGTCGCCGCCATCAAGATGCTCAACGGCGGCAAGCTCATCTCGGCGCCCGTCGGCAAGCGTCTCGGTCGCCTGTCCCGCATGGCCCCCGGCCGTGACGGTGTCGCCCGTGACAGGGCGCGCATCCTCGACCTCGGCGGCCAGTCGGCATGCGACTGGGCCTGGCACTGCGCGCTGCAGTACCCCAACACCAAGATCTACACCGTCACCACAAAGGCCATCCGCCAGCTGTCCAACTCCAATGTTCGCGGCCCGCCCAACCACCGGCAGGTCGCCGTCGAGCGCCTTACCCGCCTGCCCTTCAAGGACGACCAGTTCGACCTCATCTCAGCGCGCGAGCTGCACAGCGTCCTCAAGTTTGTCGGCGAGAACGGCGAGGATGAGTGGGAGACGTGTCTGAAAGAGTGTCTGCGCGTGCTGAAGCCGGGCGGCTACCTCGAGTTCTCCGTCCTAGACTCGGACATCATGAACGCGGGCCCCCTCGGCCTCGCCAAGAGCGTTGAGTTCGGCTTCGACCTCAAGACCCTTGGTTATGACCCCAACCCGACAAAGATGTTCCTCGGCCGCCTCTCACGCGCGGGCTTCGACGAAGTCCGTCGCGCATGGATGTGCCTGCCCATGGGCGCCCGTCCGCCCTCCCAACAACAAGAGAAGCCTCTGCCCTCGCTGCCCGCCGTCCGGGCCAACCCGACGGGTGAGGAGGTCAGAACGGTGACGATGGAGGCCATGGTCACCGGCAGCACGGACGGTGTGGCAAACGTCACGAGCATCGTCGGCGGCTGGAGCTGGGAGCGCTGGCTGCTGCGGTGCGAGATGGAGAAGGTCAGCGGTGAGCTGCGGCTCGCGGACACAGTGACAGCCGGTCCCGCCATGAGGGAAGCCGGCAAAAGCGTCGAGGGCGTCGCCGCCATCGTCGAGGAGGGGCGCGGCTGCGGCGCCGGGTGGAGGATGTTGAGCGGGTACGCAAGGAAGCCCAAGACCGGCACGGGGCTCATCTCTGTCGGTTTCGAGGTGTGAAAAGCTTTCCAGGACATATATTCTACACACACACTCATCCCCTTTGTCGTCTTTTCATCACCTCCTCTCTCTTCTCCTTGTTGTTTCGGTATTTCTTTTGTACTAGCACTCGATGATGGATGCGAGACGGGATGAGTAAAGTATCTATGGGTCACGGGCACGCATGTAAATATGGATTGGGTCTTGGATTGTGTAATGGAATTGCATGAGAGTCCGTGGCTGCGGTTTACAGGCGCTGGAGGCTTGTCCATTGAAGGAGTTACCGGAAGCTGCTTGGACGGCGATGCCCTAGTCCGTAGATATGCTGAAGTTGAATCACAAGATATCCAATTAGTGTCAAATGGTTTCCTGTTCCTCACTGCAATCAGCAAGATTAATCAGCTTCCAGGATCGAGGCATAATTACCACAAGTTGAAAAGCACCGTATTTCAACGGCCCTAGTCTACAGTAGCCCACTAAGACGCACCTGAGGATTAAGATTCGATAATTCGTAGTAATCAAAAAAAGATCAGGCCACCGTGGGCCATTGGTATCGTTTCATTAACATGTTATGCTATGTCGAAAGGTATTTCAAAATTGTAAACAATGGGGTATTCGGAGAAAGATAACCATCCTACACATGGCACATGATACAAATCCACCGCCGCATCTACCTGGCTCCAAGCATATCACTATGGATTCATATCCATCTTTTCGCCCACAGGCGACCCGGTCTTTACGTTGATGTTCTCGCCCTCGCCCAACCGGTCCCTCTCGTCCAACCCCGATGTCGAGGGCAACGCAGAAGAGTCTTTGGGCGTTTTCGTCGACATCGGCACGATGACGTTGAGGACGCAGTCGTCGAGATGCTCGTAGAACTCTTGAGCCGTAACAAAGTAGCCTTGGCAAATGGAGCATTTCGCGCCGTCGCCGCGGACGTTACCGGACCCGCTGATGATGAGTTTTCGGCTGTTGGGTGGTGTCTGTTCAACATTGTGGACTGACGTAAGGTGGCGCTTGAAGACATCGGCGCGATTGAACGCCTTTTCGTATGCCGTTCCTACTCCGGGGCAAAAGGGACACACCATTGTCCCCTTATAATGTGTCAAGGCGTGTCTGTTCTTGTCGTACTTCCGCGCGAACCCCTTGGTGTGGTACTCGCAAGTTTCTATGGGGCACTTCTCTGGCCGTTCTTCTTGATGAGTGAGCATGTGCGCCGCGAGATCCTTGAACACCCGGCCGCAGTCTGGGTGAGGGCAGCGAGTCCGGTTATCTAGTGTCTTGCTTGACGGGCTGCTCATCTGAGATGAAACAATTGTTTCCGCGGGAGCGATCATCAAGGGAATGTTTGACGGCGCTGCTGCCAGCATCGTTGGCCCGAAAGTGGGTGAACGTGCTGGCGGCGGTGGCGGAGGTGGTGGTTGAGTGAAATACTCTGGCGGCGGTTTGTAGTCGACCTCCTCCCCTCCACTAGAATCGTCCTGATCCTGAATGTCCACAGATTGCCGCACTTCTTTCATCCAGTCCTTCAGGATGGTCATAGGCGGCCAGTCCCCACTAGCCTTTCCGCCTCTATGCGGATTGAAGTGTGCTCTCCGGAGATGCGCGGCTGCATTGTAATATGCGCCATATCGTTTCTGCGTGACGCATGCTTTGCATTTGGATAATGGGATGACTGGTTGTGGCAAAGTCGGACTGTAGCTGTCTGGCTCGGTGCACACCCAACGCCTGACTAACGAGGCATGCTTGGCGTCGGTATGCCTTCGTAGTTCGTGCTCGCCCCTGAAACCTTCTGGGTATTCGTTACATTTGATGCAATAGACCCGACGCAACGGCGGCCGCTGGTATGTTGGTCGCCCTCTACCGCCTGAAAGCGGAGACTCCAAGGACCGCATGGGTCCCCGGGGGAATGTTGGACTCTCCCCGACCGTGTGCCTACGACTTAGGGGATCCAATCCCTGAGGAGAAGTGAGGTAGTCGGGGCCTCCAGTCGCACCAAAAGGGTCTCGGTCCGAAAGCGGGGCCGGGTGCGGGATCCAAGGATCGCCCAAAGCCCGGGGATCATACATGGGATGCCTCGCTTCTTCGCCAGGTCTGACGAGGGGTGGCAAGATGAACATCCCGGACCGCGGAGGAATCCTCTGTCTTAGAAAGCCGTTGAATGTGGCTGTGCCTTCCGTATCGCTATCTCCAAGGTGCATCAGGAAGTCCTTGGAGGACGTGAAACCCTGCTGGGCCCAAATATCCTTTCGCACAACCACATACAGCGAATCCATTGTGGCCCTGTCCCGATCGTCCAAGTCGAATGCTTGATCGTCGAGCAGCATTGGTCCGGAACTGGCGAAAATCGTAACCAAGACCTTGTAGAGGCTGTGCATTGTGTGTACGCCGTCTGTCCCTCTCCAAGTTGATGGCGTCTGGGATGACTGGCGTCTCGGCAGGTACGAAGCCATATCCACCAGTATCGTGCGGACAACACTGAAAATGCACAACGCGATAAACACGGCAAGCCAGCTTTTCGGGTCTTGTGGGACTTTTCTGACAGTTCCACTCTCGAAAGCCTGGAGAAATTGCGCCATACAGTTGTAGAGCAGGCGATGATGTGCATCTTGGTCGACCTCGTCAGTATATAGAGGTCGGTGCGGAGGTCCGGTATCCAGACAAATCGAAGGTTCTGGTTGTCCAAGGTCCCAAAATAGGACTTCTCGCAAGAGCACTTTCGCTCGATACAATACTGGGAATACGGCCTCTTCTATATCTCTCGTTGCTGCGATCAGTCCACTTGTCTTCAGAAGATGAAGGAAGTTATACGCAGTCCCCCCACCGTTCCAACTCGCTGTGAGTATGCTTAGAATCGGCGGCGGTCGCTCAAACGCTTCCCTAGAGTAATTTGAGAGTGTAGGGTTCGCCAGAAAAAGACTCGCGAGCTCTTCTGTCCACCAAAAGCCGTCATCAAAGTCGAGGTTCGACTTGACGGCATGCAGTATGTCCGGAGGTATACGATAATGGCTTTCCAGATGTTCGTTCATACTTCTCCGCTGAGTGAGTGGTGATGTGATCGGGGTGTGGGTTTGTCTCGGAGACACCGGCGCTGCACCTGTCAGATCAAGCCAGCATTCTTCTCGCGTCACTAACTAACCTGGAAGCATGATGTCGGAAAAAGCATCGAGAGGGCCGCGATGACAACCAATTACTTTCCAAAAGTCACTGCTGGGGCTGGGGGGGTGGTCTACACAATAGTAACAAGGATCATTGGAGTCGCACTGTCAACATTGGTTAGCCGCTTGACAATGAGTGCTGGTTGAGGATTGTGATCTTACCGGCTGCTTTGTTACCTTGCAGCGCAAACAAGGCCCGGAGTCTTGAAGTAACCTAAGCTCGCCAATGGACTGCAGTCGAGACTGACCAACCCTGCTGCGCTTGAGAGGGGGAAGTAAAGGGTCGACCTCGGAATCGACAGAACCTCGCCCAGGGCCGGAATGTTCGCTGACCATGGAATATGACTGTAAAGTGTCACGACGGTCCCTGGGCTGGTTTGTTGTCAACGGAGCCAGTTGGGTACCGGGCGACGGTTTCGGGAGTTGAAGCGCCAGCGGCTGCTTTCCAGCATCGGAACCCCACGGTCGGGATGTCGTGTGGTCGGGAAAAGGGAGAGGCGGAGTGTTGCCAACGGACATGCCTGAGTCGCGATGGGTATGGATAGTATGCTCTCGGGCATGATTGTCCCGATCATCCTTGTTGTAGAAGCCGTAAATGTAGTGTATACAACGCTCGTCCCAGCATTTGAAGGACGATGCGGATCGAGACGACGGCGACAGACTTTCCCTTGTTTTCCATCCACGGACAACCGGGTCGTAATTGGCAAGATTGCGATCCAACCAGGCCGAGTATCCTGTTGGCGCTTCGTCGTATAGCGATCGCTTAAGGGCATCTAGCACGCTGGGATCTGACAGATCATGGCCTGGATGAAAATTAGGCATTTGTCAGGAGGCGTCGTATTTCTGACATGCTCGGTATGGCAAAGCGACAACTCACCTTGCTCCAGGAAAGTAGCTTCGATGCACTCGCACCGGTATTGCAACGATCTAGCCTCCTCAAGCTCAGATAATACAGGGACAGTAGAAGAAAGACCTAGAGGAACAAGCCGACTGGTCAGAACTGGACCGTGTAAGCAGAAGGAGGGAGCTTACGATGGGTTTCGCAGTAGGCCTGCAAAACTCGCAATTTGTGACGGAGCATGTCAAGCTCCAGCTTGACGTTAGGGCCATACTTTGCGGGCAGCAAGGCGGCGAGCTTGGCTTGGATATCGGCCTGCTGATCGAGAAGTTGGCGGATGGCGCTATCGAGGCCCGGATCGGGGAGGTTGTAAGGATCGGCCGCCATTCCTCCCGGACCTCGAGGGCGTCCTCCTCCAGCCGGCGACGACACTTTGAGCGTTATCCGAGTCTGGAATAGGACAGGGCGTATAAGAGGCAGAACAAGTCGACATGAGTTTTGTTCCTCGTTCTTGAAAGGTTCGCCCGTCTACGCGTCGCTTCGACTTTTATGCATCAGAGAGAAGCTTGTGACGGCGAGGTCATGTTGTTTCTCAGAGGGTGTCTGGGTGCACACGTACTGAGCATGCCATCGACTGTTAAAGAGGGCAGTGGTGATGGTGGCGGTGGTGGTAGTGGTGCGTGTGTTGTGTAAGGTCAGAATGAGCTGTACACCGGGCGGCTGGGTTCATCGCTTTTCTAATGTCAGATGCGTATCCGTAGTCTTGTTTCCCCTCGCCTGTTTTTCTTTCTACTTTTGCAGATCCTCTTCTCTCTTTGGCGGATTACAGAGATTCGCCCTTCAGTTCATTTCCAGCCTTTGGCCTCTTCTGCACCAGGGGGTCGTCGGGGTCGAATGATGTGGTGTAAGGTACGGCAGGCAAGACTGGCACAACTTGCTTGTTGGGCGGGACCTGATCCGTCGAGTTCTGTTCCCGTTCCAGTTCCAGTTCCAATTTACACTAGTGACGGAGGTCTCGTCCCAGTGAGAGATCCTGTTTCCGATGCAAGCTTGGTTTTCTGTGCCGGGCTGTATCCTGTTTCTGTTCTGAGCTGGCTTTAGAAGGAGTGAGGATACGGCCACAGACGAGGCTAAAAGAAGGGCAAGATTTAGAGATTTCTCAGGAGGCAAAATGCGATGCAGCGCGAAGGCAATGTCGGTGGCAGTCGGGGGTATCGGCAGTCTTGGACAGGATAGCGAGTGAAAGCACCATACCCGATCGCACCGTTGGCCTCCTCCCTCATTGGGGTGATAGCTCTTTTTATTACCTTAATAACGGGCCAGGGTTGATTTGGGGAAGTGGGGCGCGTGGCTAACGGCGTTGATTAGATATGGAGAGCACACTCAATAGAGGGCCGGAGGAGACTGAGAGCCTGCGAGCCTGCACCGGCGACGGGACCAGGGTGGAGTGTGGTGAGTGATGGGGGAGAAAGGCAAGTAGGACACAGCTTGAGTGTGAGAAAGGGACCCCAACGGGGTTTGGGGACTTGGTGGTGGTAAGGTAAGGGGAGGGGTGTGCTGATCTGGAGGATGGGGACCTGACGAGGGACTGGATGGGCCTGACAGATGAAAGACCTGAGAGCGAGGTTGGAGTGTAGGTAATTGTACAACGCTGAGAGAGGTGTGAGGTGAGAGTTGGGGACGGGGGTAGGATGGGACGGAGGACCTCACAGAGCGGCGACAGGTCCGGCCGGGATCTGGGAAGGTTTCTTTTTGCTTGCGCAAGCATTGGATGGTTTGGGTACGCAGTATCCGCAGGCGAGGCAAGGCAAGGCAAGGCAGGGCAGGGCAGAGCAGGTACGGATATGGATGACCAAGAAAGAAGAAAGGAAGCAGGCAAGGTACGCTCGCTCTTGCCTCCAGTCCTCTCTCTCTCTCTCTCTCTCCCGTCCTCTCCTCTGCTCCGCTTTCGTCTCTTTTCCTTCCTCGAAACCCATGGACGTCGGTCTGCCAGGCGAGGTAGGTACTCTGTATCGCTTCTTGCCCAGGTATCCTCGTTGGATTGGATATCCAGTCGGGCCAACACTAAAGTGACGATACCCGCGTAACCAGTTAGTTGTGCTCCCATCTCTCCATCTGCCATTCAATCTGAAAACATGGTTACGTTCCGGGCCTGGCTCCGTTAAGAAGTTGAATTTTGCAATATTCCCCGCCAAACCCGCCTCTAGCATCACCTTGCCTCGCCTCGCCTCGCTTCTCGTCACTTTCATACAGATTGCCGCTTATACGGCGTTGAGCCACACACCCACCAAGATACGTACCCTCACTACCTTATCTTGGCCACGTACTTTTCAGATACTCTCGCCCATCTTACCAACATTAGAAATGGCTCCAGACATCGCTTTCTCTCACAGTCTCGACTTCCCCTCTTTACCGATACTACTACGAGATTGTTTATTCCGCCAAGGGGTGGCCCTGACTTTGGATGGGGCTTAAGGACACATCGGTATCCTGGGCTTCGTGGGAGGGGTGCCTGGTTTTGCCCTCATCTTCCATTCCCTTGCCTGCCGGTGCTGTCCTCCTTGTTGGTTTCTTGCTCTGTTCCACACTGACGGGCAACCAGGAATAGCATTAAGCAGCTGTGGACGGATTTTCTCGTCCCCCCACCCCAGGGTTTTTCATCGACGCATGCCTCTTGCTGCTGGCAACCTGCGGACGGCCACTAAGACGTACCCTCCAAAACATGACCGGTGGGTGCCCTGTGGGAGAGCTCGGCCGCCATCCGACCGATAGGTATATTCAAGGGTCCTGGGATCCTCTCGCCGCAGCTGCGCATCCGATCCACGCCCGAACAGACGCGTTGTTTGCCTCGCCTCGCCTCGCCTTGCCTCGCCTGCGTTGTCCACCATCTCTCAGCCAGCTTGGCTGTCGCCTTTCTTCACTCATTTGCCTCTCTTCTACTGTACATCATACACGTTCTTCAGCCTACAAAACTCGACCTGGAGCTTATTCAATCTACTCTTTAATCGTCCTGTTCGAATCTAGCAGGCACGACGATGCAGGCCAAGGTGACAGACGTTGCCCTCACACGCCTCGCAATTCTTATCAGCTCCCCTTCGGCTCTACCTCGCCCGTCTTGATATCGTGACGCCCGTCTTGCTACCGTCCTACCCTCCAACTCGCATATGTCACGGGCTACAGGCACTGTGCCCTCCTTGGGCCCCTGTTGAGTAGTTTTCCACACCCTCCAGCCTATCCTAGTTTCTCCCCTACCTGGTTACATTGGCCACTTGCTGCTTGGCCGCTTAGCTCCTAAGCTTCTTAGTAGCCCGCAAAGAAGGACTCTTTTTGTACGCTGCCGTGCCCGCGGCGAGATCTCGAGCTGCCTCCATGATGGCTGTTACATCACGAAATCTCGGCCTACTGCAGACTGAGGCGCAGAGCGAGCAACAAGGGGGGACTTGTGGCCGTTGGATTGTGAAGGGGGTGGTCAGCGGCCGCACACTTTAAGCATCGACCACAACTGGCCTGGCGTCCAGCCCCTTCAGCATGCACCTCTCAGCTACTACCTCGTCACTTCCAGGTAGAGCTTCCTTGCAGGGCCTTGTCTTTTGCCGCTTTATTTCCCGTCTCCGTGGTGGAGGCGCTGAGAAGGAGGCGCCGAGGAGGAGGATGAACGAGTAAACGTCGTGGAGAAACAAACCAGAGGACCCAGGAGCTCCATTCAACATCGATGGGCCCACGAGTCTGAGCGTGGGCATCAACGTGGGGCCGCTTGCGCCTTCTCCGACCCTCCGACCGCTGGCCGCCCCCCCAAGTTAACCAAAAGTCGATCAAGGGAAAGGGCAAGCATGAGACGAGACCAGACCAAACGGACACTTGCTTAGCCTTCTTGTCTGTCCGTTGTCACCGTCCTGTTTGTGTTACTTTCGGCTTCGTCTCGAGAGAGTCCGTCTGCTCCTCGCTCGACTGTTGACGTCTGCCAGCTGCATTAGCAGCAGTACAAGGGACCGCGCGCGCTGCCCTCCTTCGCCCTTCTTCAATCAGGGGCTTCAGCTGGCCAATTTTCAACCGACGAGTCTCGACTCCTGCCGTCTAGGTAATGACTATGTAGCTCATATTGCGCATCCACGGACGGCTGGGCTTGGCTGTTCTCTCCGTCACGCTGTTCGCTAGTTGGTTCGAACTGGCAGCATCGAGTCCCCTTCCATGTTTGGGGGCGGTTCTCGAAGCATCACGCAAGTGCAGGGGAATCCTTCCGTGGGCAAGAGATTGCGACATTTCCGCCTTGCCTGCCTGCCTACGCAACCGTACAACCTACGCAACAGCTCTCCGCAGTAGTCGCAGGGAAGGTCGCTGACTGGTCTTCTCCTCGACTCTCATTTCGCTTTTGTTGCCTTTTCCTTTGGGAAATACCCGGCGCGGACGCGCCCAGAGGGCGATTGGAGCAGTACCCACGGCCGATATACCCACACCCACACGGACCAAGTCTCCACGTGGGCCATAGAGTCCGTGGTACGCTGCTGGGGGCCAGTCCCGGCAGAAACAAGCATGTGCCGAGTCACCGTTACAACCTGCAGATAGTTGCTGCAGGCAAAAACGAGGAGGAGCCATAGCTACGGCTTGCAGCTCCCTAGTTGAAAGCAAGCTGTCGTTAGAGCGGCGTGAGACGTGCGATGCCTGCAACGACCGTCGCGCGGCGAATGGGGTTGGTCGAGCCAGGCATGCATGGCATGCAGTTGCGCAAGATCGAGGCATCACCAATGGTAGGGCGATGCCCTTGGAGCCCTTTTCATGGCTCTCCCCTCCCTCTTTCACCATGTTCCCCTCGAAGGGGGAAGTAAAAAATAACTGGTTAATCGAGATACAGAAATATGAAGTAGGATCAACGGTATCTGAATATGATCTCCTTCACACGCGACACAAGTCTTGACTACAAGTTCGTGGTCCCTTGCAGTTCAACCCCCCCGTTCGCGTTCGTGCGTCACAAGTTAATCTATGCCATTAATCTACCCAAGAGGACAAAAATTTCGTCCAAAAGGCTGCTTTAAGCGATCTAATGCCATGTTGACCGCAGCTGCGTCCAGAGAAAAGGAGGGTTCTCGTAGGGCCCACAAAGCTTTAGCAAGACCCAATCGATGGCGAAAGGAACGAAAGTTTGACAATATTCAAGAGCTCGCGGCATGAACTGCACTCACCATGGGTATTCCATGATGGCCTTGCACGCATGCTCGTTACTCGATCGCCATGCTACATGAGCCACGCCCTGCCAAACCGTCAAAACGTTTCTCGTTGTAAGGGCATTGCTGAGTTCGATGTGGAGGCTAATTGGTGACAGCAGGGGGGTTAGGGAAAGAAACCTTTCAAGCCGTTCCTTTCCGTGTCAGACGTTGTTATTATTACGGTACATACTGTCGCTCATAACCGTTCGCATCCCCTGCGGTTGTCAGGCTGTCAACAGTTCAGCAGCTTCCTCCCCCAGTCCAGGGTCGGTACACGCACACCTCGATCCTACATTTGCCCCAATTATCACTCTCGGACCTTTGGCTGGCTTCGGTTCGGTGCAGTGGGGGGGGAGTTCATCCTCGCAGCAAGCCAATTCGAACTGGTCCCGGTACCCAGTATCCTGATCATAGGATCTGGTACCGAACAAGATAGCATTTTACATCACAGCTAAGTCACTCAATTCGATAAGGCTCGTTGGCAGATTAATCTCACAAGCCGGATGCCAAGTCAAAGGCCAAGCAAGTCCTGTCCGACATGGTACACGCACGTTTTCGTAATCTCTCGTGAGGGCAACCAGTTGATTTCGTATAGCGCATCGGCCAGCCGTCACCCGTTGTTTCGATCGGCCAGTCCCAAGCCCGTCAGGAGAAGCACGGTTGGCCTAGCGGCTCATGCCTACGAAACGAAACCTTTGCAAAGGGCTGAAGGATGGGATGGAACTGCCGGAATCGCTGCTCCATTCCCGGGCTTCCTGGTCGATAGTGTTCTCGTCAATCTCGACCACCTGCTTTCACTCCAGCAATACACGAGCAGCCGACTGCCTCTCTCGGTCCAGGACTCGACAGATCTCGATCCAATGAACGGCTCAATGGCGTCTGTATCGGCGCCGCTTCTGCTGCTGCGTTGCTCAACAAGTCATCCGACTGCTAATGTTACGACGTTTGAGACTCAGCCCTAAGCGAAACACCCTTGTGACGCTGCTTGGAATAGGACGGACAGGGTGCGGGTACTCACTGGATGTCAGGGTCGGCGTCGTAATTGATTGAGAGTGTGGGAGGTGCGTGAAGTTGTCACCCTCACACTCTTCCCCCGGTGCCGTCCAACCTTAGCAGGCTCAGCTCCTCCTCAATCGACGGCCCACTTAGCCTCTGTGCCGGCAGCGCACAGGTGATCAAAGGGCAGAGGAAGGACAAGCCCAGACCAGACCAGACCCTCCCCATTGCCGTCGGAAGGGTGGTCAGTGCAGAGGCTGAAAATGGACGACACGAGAGGGAGAAACAGAGGGGGGGGAGGAGGAGGACACTATGAATGGAGGCATTTGGTAAGTCGGTCGCACACGGTGGAGTGGGCAGAATCACCTCGAAATTTAGCACGTGCTGGCAGGTTGCAGATATCACACATACAAGCGTGCGCAATTACGACGCTGGAAATGGTTTTGAGTGGTCCCCTATCTTTTATCTTTCTCAATTTCTTTCCCTTTTCTTTTCCCATGTCTCGCAGCTGCATCTACCCACCTGCTTGACTCGCTGTAGGCAAACATTTGCGACATGCGCACAGCTGTCCATGGGATCACAGCGCCGCCCCCAAAACCGTCCGGATGGTAAGAAGAGGGAGAAATAAAAGTAGAAGGGTGGGGGGAGGACAGGGACCACGACCGTATGCCGGCTCATGGGCCTTGCCTCACCTCACCTCACCTTGTCGGTCTGAAGAGGGATGGATTCTTGATCAGAAGGGGCGGAGCTACTGCCGAACAAATCGGAGGCTGGTCTTGATTTGGTTCGGATTTGGAGTCTTGGAGTCTATTCCCTCCCTCCTCCCCCTCTTTTCTTCTTCTTCTCTGTTTCTTCCTCGGTGCGGTGCAACAAGTGTAAGTCCCTGCAAGTTCTTATGAGGTCACCTCGAGTAAAGTATGATTAAGTGAGCACAAAGTATCGCGTCGGTCGGGGTTTGTCATCCATCGTCCCCTCTTTTTTCTGTTGATGACAAGTTCTCGATTTCTCTTATATCGTGGTAAATAAAGTAGTAGTGTGATGAAAACCCCATCTAAGGAACCGCCCCCGAAACGCCCCGGAGCTCTTTCCCGGCCTTCGTCGAGCTCATGTTGAATGACGCCGGCCCGTGTCGATAACATGCTTCGCTCCCGTCGATCCATTTCTGTTTCGCAGTTGAAGTTTATGTACAGAAATCCTTGCCAAACTCCCGCGACATGTTATTTTTCTTTCTCGGTTCTTATGTTTTCGCTTGGTCGCCGGCATCAAAACCTCCGTCAGAGGCGGAATCCTGGTCAGTCTAGCCGTATTACCTCGTCGTCACTTTACTCCACTTGTTCCCATCGTCTCTCGCGTAGGGGCATCTCTTTGCCGGCCGCGGCCCGGCTGCCTTCTTTCTCCTCCTTCCACGCCCAGTACTCGGCGAGGCGCGTCTCCGCATACGAGGCGTAATCAAAGTCAATCTCCGAGATGACGGCCTGGATCAGGGCCCAGATGCCCCAGTAGAACCCCGGCACACCACGGAAGAGGTCAACCTCGTCGTTGAGTTTCCTGACCTCAGCCTCGACGTCGACACCCGGGCTACCTTGGGAGTATTTGAAGTATGAACGGACGTACTCCTCGATGAACTCTCGGCGTTGGGACTTGGTAGGCATCATGTTATAGTCGCAGTCGAAACCACCCCACTCAGCAAAGTGGTTGGCGATGTCGAATGCAGCCGGGGAGGGCGTGGCATACTCGTAGTCGATAAAGGTCACGGTGGCTTCCTTTTTGCTACCCTTCGCAGGCAGGCTGCTTGGCAGCACAATGACATTCCCGCTCAAAAGGTCGCAGTGGGCAAACACGAGCTGTCGGAAAAGGGCAGTCAGCATTCAAGGTTAGCTTTGTTGGGTTCAGGCGAGTGTAACTTACACCATCAACACCAAGGCCGGGGCGCTGACTAAACTCCTTGATAATGTATTCCAACTCCTTCTGGAGCTTGTCTTGTCTCTCCCTTTGCACTTGGGTGTTTGTAGGCAGCGCCAGAATCCATTTCTGCATCACAGTCCATAGGTTCGGTACCGGCTTCCCGGGTGCGGCGTTCTCGATAATCACCTCCGGGTCTTCGTGGCCGTTGGCGCCATTTTCCTTGACTTGGCCGTTTGTTGACGTCGGATGTGTGATGCAGGGCACAGTCGCGTGCCACTGGGCCAATCGACTGGCAACAGCCCTGTAGATGGCGGGCTTCCGCAGATCCTCGGGAGCTGTCACGCTGCCCTTGATGAAGCGGTAGAGCATGCCATTCCGGAAGCGAGCCAGGAGCTCGGGGGCCAGCCCATACTTCATGAGAAGCTCATGGTTCTGGGCCTCGCGCTCGCGGTCGATGAGGACGGCAGTTCCATTGCCGTACGCTCGCAGCAGGATAGCCTCCCTGTCTATATCCTCCTTGGACCAGCCCTTCCGCTTATTGATCGCCTTGAGGAGGGTGTTGGTGATGCCGTCGGTGAAGCGAACGAATTCGATGTTGGAGTCGTCGGAGGCCCAGTCTGGTCGAACAGTCAGGATTAGACGAGTCGCAGATTGCTGGGAATCTTCGCTGTCGTAGAAAAGGGGAAGTGTTCGGACATGTGGCAGCGCCAACCCGTTAGGGTGGCCGTTGCTTGCACCTTGGGTCATGGTTTGACCTAAGGGGACTTGAATGGGGAAGGGGGGATGTGATGTATGTTGTGTCGAGAGGGCAGGGACAATACCGAGAGGTCAATTGTTGGATGGAAATTGCCCCGGTGGAGTTTGAGGACGGCAGCGACGGGGTTCTTGAATCGGAGAGGTCGTGCGACTCTGGGTTGTTTTGGAAAGGGGTTGAAGGCGGTCTGCGAAAGGTAGGGGGTAGTAAAGGGAGAGCCAGAGCAGAAGGTATTCGAGGGAGTGATGGGTGGTGATGGTAAGAATGAGCAATGCAAGAGACGCCGGGACGGTTGGTGGTCTAGAGTCTAGAGTAGGGGGAAGAGAGAATGAGGGAGCAAAAACGGTAGTAGGATGTGGGTGGGAGTTGGAGGATTGATATTCGAGAAGGGTCAAGGAAGTAATCGGCGGGGGGGGGCTTTTTTTTGTTTTGGCGCTGGTGACAATGGAGTCGAGCACGAGACCTTTTTCCTTGCTCGTGCGGATCCGAAAGCCGTGGGCAAAAAGTCGTCGCTAAGGTATGGTGGTAGTGAAAGTGAGATTGTCGTTGGGGAAATTACGGGTGGTGCGTCGTGGCTATTCTTCTTTTGTCGTCGGTCAAGGAATCGAGGCACGCAAGTGAAAGTAGGACGAGACAGGGTCAGAGAGACAGAGAAAGAAGGAGGTGCAGGCAGACACAGACAGAGAGAGAGAGAGAGAGCATGTGAAGGTGCAGAGCAAGCCACCGCCATCCTACGGTGTACATTGACTCTGCCTTACTGCTGCTGGGTACTGTATGAGGGCCACATGTAAGTGGATTGACCGCCGCAATAAGGGTCGTCGTCGAGCGGGGGCGAAATGGGGAGCGAGGAGGGGGGCTCTGTGGCACTCTCCCAACGCCTTTGCACTGCGACTACTGTAGGTGGTTTGCAGGGCAGATGAAGAAGCTCGATCATTCAGCAATTGCTGCAGTTATGGCTCGGATACTTGTTGGCCTTCCCTCCACCTGGGCGGGACGCGTGGCGCGAGCGTCACGGCATGGACCCCGAGGAGAGCGGCCAAATGAACGCACTGAACGAAGCAGTCCTCGACTGGAAGACGGATCAAGGTCCGGTACACTGGCGTTCCTCGTTCTGCCCTTGATCTTGTGCCTGCCCCCCTCGCCATCTGCCTCAATTCGATTGCTCGATGGCCCTCTACCGTCATTGTTGCCTCCTATGCATCCAATCCACCACCACCACCATCACCATACGGTACGGGATCCCCCCTCCCCCTCCCCCTCCACACCTCGTCACTTGTTCAAAGTCCCTTGAACACCCACATTTCAGGGCCTTGCAGCTGCCCGCTCATGCAGTGTGACAGCCACAACGGCCTGACCTGGATAAAGCCAAGGTCTGGACGAATAGGACACAATCTTCCATCCGCGTCTCGTCCGGTCATTGGTCTATTGGTCTATTGGTCTCTTTCGGCCCATCCAGCAGAACATGCCTGGTTCGAAGCTTCCTTGCCAGAGTTTCGTCATTGTTGGAGCTGGTGTCCTCGCCTTCTTCCCCATCGTCTGCCGAGACGTCTCCTCTTGCCTTCCCCAGATATGATCAACACGGAAGACAGGAACAGGTTGCCGGTGCTTTCAATGCGAACTACCTTGCGCCGTGGCCGAAGTAGCCCAGCGATGTGTCGGATGGTTTAGCCTTTATTACTGTGTCTATTAGCACGCGTCCAGCGCTCCCTGCCCCCGCGCCATACGCTATGGTAGATGCATCGTTGAGGCCCTCGGGTCGTCCTTTCCACTCATCGCATCTCCACGCCGCGTCCCTCCGTCCTTCTCGACAAAAATTGGAGGCTGGCAGGTTCTCACCGACTTGTCATGTCTCTCATCTGATGCGGCCTAATCAGACCCAGCCTAGCCTCTGGGTGAAGTCCAACGCCAATGTCTTACCTTTCAACCAGCACCCCCAAGTGGCCTTCTCCAAGCCCGATTCCAAGCCGCAAAGGCATGTGACGGCGGCATGTCTGGGCCCGCAACAGACAGACCACTTTGGCCGGTGCCGCTGGCTTTGGCGGCGGGGGAGGGCACAGAGTCCCGGTAGTGTACCGGAATACCTACCTAGAGCCTTCTGCCCGTACCTAGCGTTTACTTGGACTGTGCTGTCCACCGCCGAAACCTTGAGAGCCTCAACCCCACTACAAACGGTGCCGGGCCAGCTGTGCTCGGACCACTTTGCGCTTCTACCGCCTTGGGGGTCCCACGCTACAGTAGCTCCATAGATGGACGCCCATTGGCTACGTTCCATCACGCTTCGACTGCCATTCTCTCGATCCCAGTGCTAGGTATTCTGCCAGTTGAACCAACCAGCCTTCGAGTTCATCCACCTCACGTCTCCTCAGACATCAGACTAACTCGATCCCATCAACGGAACTAAGGACCCATAGCCGCCTGTTCCACGCCCGCCCTCGAGTTCGACTTCGGAGAATGTAGGGCGTCGGCCTGTCTAGCGCCAATTACTCACTCTGCAGTTCTGTCTGGGCCTTCAGTGTAGCGAGGCCCCGACCATGACCGCTGGAGCACGGCATCATTGACAGACCGGGTCTATTCACCGCCCATCCATGTACATGAGCTCCTTCGTCTGTAATCTCTTATCACTCCCGAGATGGCGCCGCCCGTGCTCCCGAACCCGTCCAACTTCCTGGCTGTGGCACTGGTGATTAACAGGTCTCGTGACGGCCCCAACTTCGTCTTCCACTACCCGCCACATGTCTTGCCGCCCAACGCCCAGTCCAAGAATCACGAGCAAGCTGATGGGTCAGCCGAATATGACGACATACTGCTGGAGCGTTTGAATCAGCCCGGCTCGCTTGATGCCGACAACAATGGCGACGACCTCCAGCAATGGACCGCTGGAGACGACCACCTAATCACTGATGAAGGCACACAGATTGTGCCCTGGGAGCATGTGGCCGGCTTTCCCACCAAGGACCTCGCCAGCATCTTGACGCCGGGGAGAGCCTACCACAAAAAGCTCTTTCAACTCTCTCTGGATCCCCTATACTGCGTCTCTTATCCCATACACGTCCCTGAGAGCGGGACGTGGAAGAAAAAGAAAAAGAAGAAGGGCAAGGCAGAAAGGGCCAAATCAGTACGGACAGAGGAATCCGCGGTGCTGGTCGATTTCGACCCCAACGAGGACAATGAAGATACGCCCAATGGCGCTGATGTGTCGCAGGCGGAGTCAAAGGAGGAGGAAAAGCTTCCGCAAGACGAGACCGACGACAAGCGCGCTTCCATGACGATGTTCAACCTAGTCTTCATTTTGAACCCGAAGAAGCACGAAGCAAAGGAGCTAATTGCTACCCTGTACCTCAACATCATCAAGAAGGTCAACAAGGCCTACAAGTACTGTCAACAACACAGCGAGTTTGTATGGAAGGAGTCGAAGCGCATATCGGCCTTGAAAGACAAGGGCCGAGAAGACAGTAAGTCGGGTTTCTCATCAGCTTCTTCGCTGTGCTGACTTGGCTGTAGAACGCAAAATGAGCTCCCTATGGAACGAGATTCTGGCGACGTCTTCACTCGCAGCCTCTGTCCAGGACATTTACGAGGCCGTCTCCCAGAACAAGATTGCGGCTCTCCAACTTGACACGGCCGCTGGGCCAATCACCCCATCTGTCCAGATCCCGGTGCCGTTCTACATCACGGATCTGCACAATTATGGGCAGACGGAGCAGAGAGGTCTCTGGCTGACGACAGCCAACTCTTTCATTGGCGAAGACACCATCGATGAGCCCGGGTTTATGGATCGCAACTTTGCGTTGCTGCTTATGGGCGACGAGAAGAAGATCATTGCCGAATTACAGGCAGATCCGGATCCTAGCACCGTCGCCATGGTTGAGTTTGCCCGTTTATCGAAGCCAACGCAGTCGTAAGCGCCCCCCTCCCATAGTCTCCACCTCACTAGGACGTTCACTGACCAGTCCAGATTCTACCAAGTTGGCCAGAGTAACGTCCTGACGTTAAGCCAGGTACGCAAGTACGCCCAGCACTTCATCTTCTGGCGCCGTGCCATCGCCATCCCCCCTCTTCACGCCCGCGACATATACATCATGTCGCCAAACTGCGACACACGCAACCTTCCTAAGGCAAGCCTTGAATGGCAAAGGACATTTCCCCTGGCACCGCCGCTTACAAACTTCCTGGCCGAGTTGTCATACGCCCCGCGACCGTATAAACACTTTTGCCCGAGTAAGGCCCATCGCCCAACGTATCTCGACATGCTCGCCTGGCTCATGCGCGGCGCCTGGGTGACGCAGCTATGCACGTTCGCCTACGTTGTTGTCTGGCCCGAAATCATCTACGAAGTCGAGCACAAGATCGAAAGCGACGAGCTGCGCAAGGCCGAAGACACAACCTCCCTTAGCACTAGTAACAACACACTGAGCAGCTTGGGTCTCGACACTCTTGACAAGCATTCCGAGGCCGATGGTGACAACGGCGGCGGCTTGGGCGGCAGCGGCAGCAGTAGCAACAACAACAGCGGCATAGGGGCGCATGTGCCGACGCAAATCGAACAGGCGGCAGAGAAGGCGCGCTTGGAGCGCATTGCCGAGAAGACGCAGCGCGAAGCCGCGGAAAAGGCAACGGCGCACGCGCGCAAGATGCTGCCGGCCGCGACGGATCACCCGTCGACCAACGACGCGCCGCACCTGGCGCGCATGTCACCCTACATCATTGTGGACGCCAAGAAGGCGACGGGCAAGGAGTCATTGTATCTCGCGGCCATCGCCAACCGGCTCGGCAAGGACCCAAAGGTCGCCAAGGCGTGGCAGGCCTTTTGGAAGTACTTTAATGGACAGACGGCGCTCGAGAGGATCGCGTTGCAGGAGGACATGAAACGTAAGGAGGCATGGAATCTGCTGACGGCGATGAGCGAGCACCTTCTCTGCGTAAGACACTGGTAGAGATGGGAGGATGAGATGCCATCTCACACTGCCACTCACGTCAAAGGGGGGGCAGTCCTGCTCCGCGGGTGGCACCGAGACCTGAAAAGACGTAATTGGTTCAAGGCCTCTCGCTCTGCTCCGTGGTCGTGATGGCCACTGTTGTAACATTGTCTGTATCATGTCACTCGGAAAAAAGGGTCGAGGAACTCAAAGCCTCGTATTAATCACCGAGATATTGGACAACTGTCATGATATGGAGTGAGCTATGGGAGGGACGGGAGCGCACACCGTAGACAAGAAAGGGGGGTAAGAGGGTATCATTGCGCATGCGCAGGAACAGGGAGAAGGGGGCAGCAACAGATGGCACTGCCATGTACGCTGAGACGGAAAGCATTCACGCCAGGGATGATGGTTGGAACGAGCTGGGGAGGGCAGGTACAGGAACCTTGTGGATATATGAACAGAATATGATTTAGGCGCACGAAGGCGCTCGCGTATAAGAGCATTAAGAGAAAAAGGGGAGATGTGGAGAGTGATTCCGTAAAAGCGAATAGCCAGACCGTAAGAGAGAACAGCTGTTCTGTGATAATAACCTGCGAAGCCGCCCCGATAGATGTGGTGAAAGTAGGGAAAAAGAAAACCAGTGCAAATGCCTATCCGGTCCCACCAGAGGTATCACGTCTGCCGATAGATGAATGCTCAACAGAAAGAAAGGGTAGAGGAAGAAGAAGAAAAAAAAGAACCCAGAAGAAACCAGAATGTGCCGAAATCAGAAACCCATAAAACCAAATCCACATGCACACCCTTCACCATTCCCTTTCCTCCAAGATGTGCTGCGCTGCCCAGCTGACAAGCCTCCAGCCACCAGACAGATACCCCACAACGCCGTTCCCAGCCAAAATCCTTAAAACCCCCAACGGCCAGATGGATGCAAGAAAGGAAGCAGGCCTACGCGAATGCAAAGAAAAGAGCAGTGGAATGGAACAAGGAGAAGTGCAACTGTTTCTCTGCACCATGAGCCAGGGCCGGGGTGGCGCTGGCGTCACTGCCGGAACAGAGGGAAACCGTCATGGAGGACACAGCCCTATTGTGTCAGATCCATGCCGAACTCATCCTCTTCCTTGAAGTTCAGCGACGCCGGGCCGCTGTCATCATCATCCGGGTCGTTCCAAAACTCGTTGCCGGCTCCGAGGTCGTTGGTCAGGCCCGCATTGTTGCCGCCAGGGCTAACGGACACACCCTCGGCCGAGTTGCCTGAGCCGTTTACGGGTTCGCCGCGGAAGTCGGTGTGATGGGGCACCCTGAGGCCAGACCCGCTCGTGCGCGAGTAACCCATAGCGTCGTTCTTGGAGATAGCCTCCATCAACTCCGTTTGCATGCGTTTCTCATCCTCCGTCAGCTCAAACGGGAAGTGGCCGCCGAGCTCCGCAATGACGTTCATCAGCTCTTCCTGTTGCTGGAGCTTCAGGTGCAGCATCCACATCAGATCTCTTGTCCAGCTGACGGCGCCGTTGAGGATGTCTCCCTTATTGGGGCCCTTGTCCTTGTCCTCGAGAGGGAGACCGGTTGTGATGTTGCCTGTTGCGCCAGCTGCGCGGCGAGCGCCTGGACCGGCGAGACCTGAGGTGGCCTGGGAGGGGTTTGAGATGCCAGACAGCGTCGGTGACAGAGGTGTGCCGTTCTGGATCATCTTGCGAATCTTCTCATCCTCCAAGCGATGCGCAGGCACCAATCGGCTAAGGTCCTGGATTCTCTCGTTGATGTTGTCTCGTCGGCGTCGTTCAACGAGGTTGTGGGACTCTCTGCGCCGCTTGCGCTTCATCTCCTGAGACGAGACTGCACCACCAGGCTGAACACCCAGCTTTGCAGGCATCGAAGTGCCACCCTTCATCATGACCTCGTTAAGCTGAGCCAGTCCGGGCTGGATGGGTGACGAGAAGCCGGAGCCATACGATGCCGCCATACTGCCCGCAGGGGTCTGCATCCACTGACCTCCAGACGGCGACTTCTCGTGGATACCCTGGGTCCGAATGGATTGAGGGCCGAAGCCGGAAGATTCCTGAGTCGCCATGGGCACAGAGTGCATTGCTGACTTGGGGGTCATGGGGCTACGGGTGTTGGTGGAAGAGCTCTTTCGCTGCATGGCTTGAGCCATCCTGGCTCTGTTTTTGGCGTTGAGATAGTTGGCGTCAGCCCCATCGCCAGTGAGATCTGAACCAGCCAAAGGTGAGCCGGAATAGGAGATGGGAGACTGAAGGGAGGTGCCAAGAGCCTGGCGGTGGTGCATCTGGTTGAACTGCGAGTTGTTGAAACTATGGACAAAGGGGCTCTGAATCGGGTCGCCGTCCGGAGTGTTTGAGTAGCCGTTGATGTGGTTTTGGTCCAGGCCATGGTGGGAACCATAGATCGTCTGGTTGAAGCCCATGCCCATGTCTGACATCCCGCCACCGCCGAAGTCCTGGCCATGGCCATGCATGCCAGGCTGAGCCTCGGTCGGGCTTCCGAGACCATCGAGAAGCTCATCGTCGCCGAAGAGGGCGGAACCACTCGAAAAGCCGTTTGAGTTGTTCGCAGAGTTGGAATTGTAGTTGTTTGAGTAAGACGATCCATAATTTCCGCCCATGGCCAGGTCGTTGGGGTCGATGCTTCCGCCGCCGCCGCCGTGGCCACCGTTAAACTGGCCGAAGCCGTGTTGTGCCATTATGTGTGCTACTCGTACGGAGTTGGACTAGGTGTATTGTAGAGGTAGATTGTGGTTCCGCGATTATTGAGAGCCTCGCAGACCTGGTACTACTCACACCGCTTCTTTCGTGTGAGAATCAGGTCAAAAACGGAGTTGCGACGCTCGAGAACGAGTTGTAAGATGGCGAACTTCAGTTTATGACTCTGGAAAGTCACGAGTCAGCGATGCGACTTATCGTAGAAGTGATGTGCAGGTCAGAGTTGCGCCGCACTCTGCAGAATGCGCGCGGCAGTGCTTTCTGTCGCACACACACACAAGCTGGCGGTTGGACATGCGCAGGTTCTCCACAATGGCACAGACAGCTCCAAACGCCACCGAGGCAAGCAAGTGAAGTGCAGAAGGGGAAGCGCGACCAAGGCAGGACTGACTCACCGAGCGAGAGAGAAAGCGGGAGAGAGAGGGAGTGAGAGAAAAGAGTCGGGAAAAGGTATTGTTGGCCGACAGCACACAGAACCGTTGTTACACGGCCATTCAACGCAGTGCGATCGTGCGGGGGGGAGATGGCGCCCTAAGTAAGGCGGCGTCGGGAATCGGAGCGAGGCGAGAGTCGAGAGACAGCAGGACTGTGTCGGTCTGTCGCACAAGGTGTGCAGGTATGTAGAAGTGATGGCTGCCTGTTTCGCTGCTTAAACAGAGCAAATGAGAAGTGAGTCTTGGTAGTTGTCGGGTCTTGGAAAGAGGTGGAAGAAAGAGGGTTGACTCGTTTTTGCTGCGACGAGATGGAAATGCGGTGTCGGGGAGCCGGGGGGTTGTAGTATGAGTAAGAGGAAGTGGAAGTGAAGTGGTGGTGCAGGAGTAGGAGCCTCGGGGCTGGGCTGGGCTGGCTGGCGAATAATTAGTTTGGTACTTGTGTTTTACGGACAGACGTGTGTGGTGTCAAGTATTCGTTGTGTGCACGATGCCCAAGTACTAAAGTAGCCTATGCGGGACACCGACGCCGAGGGCGACGAGGGGGAGGAGGGGGAAGAAAGAGGCGAGGGGTACCAAGGTACCTCGTACCGTACTTTGGGGGGAGGGAAGACGGGGGGACTGGGGGTGGGAAAATGGGGCACAGAGTTGCCTGTGGAGGTGGAAAAAAGAGAGAGAAGGAGAGAGAGAGGCAAAGCTCGGATCGACGAGTTTGGTATGGGTTTTGGTAGAAAGTACCTTTGGGGTAAAGATAGGTGGATAGTGACAAACGCTGCTCACTCGGTTTGGAGTGGAAACTGGGGGTCGTCTCTGCTGTGCTGCAAGGGAGGGAAAAGGGTCAGGACTAACACGACTTGTGGTCTCTGGAATGTGAAGTAGGAGAGCAAGCAAGCCCGTGGATGATGCAGGTTCCAGGCTCAAAGACAAGGGTCATGAAGGGGTTCGGAGGAGGGAGGGGGGGGGGTTTGCTAGGATGCGACAAGACAGCTTGGGGTTCAGGACTTGAAGGTGTCGTCGGGTGTGCTAAGGGCATGACAAGTCCACAGACTTGGGGGGGTGAGGGCATGGGCCAGAATGAGAACACAGAGGAGAGGAGGACAGGCCAGTCGAAGCGACACGGAACAAAAGAAGCTGACTTACGGAATAGTGTAGTATGGGTGGTGGGTAAAAATGTGGGTAGGTGCACGGCGGCTGTTGTTCCTTTCGAGTGGTGACGAGAACGCTTTGGGTCGGCTTGCGCCTGACGTTTGACGTTGCACAAGAAGAAAGAAACCGATGGTGGTGGTGGAGGACGAGGGAGAGAGCAACTCTTCTTCGTGTCTTGTCGGTGGAAGAAGGGAGGGTCCAGTAGGGGACCAGGGCGGTGTGATTCCCTTGTGTGGGTGTGTATGTGGATGGGTGGGTGGTCTTGGTACTGCTGCCGTACGTTAGTTGTGGCGCTGATGCTCTCTGTGAAGAAGCTAGGAAGAGGCGGGATAATCAACTGAGGGAAAGGGTGGTAAGAAACGGGCGAGGAAATGAGTAGTAATAGTAGGCAGTAGGTTGGGGGGAATGGCTGAGATGGACTAGGTGGAGGAGTGGTGGTTGCCGGTTCGGACGGGTCGGGGACTCACAATCGTGTCTGCTGCGCAGGTCGGCGGTGGCTGTCGGTCGTTGGGGCCCCGGGGTACCTCGACTTTCTTAGACTTGCCAACGGCGAGAAATGTACTCTGGACTTGGGACGAGACGATGTAGCGTTGTGTGATGCGCGGACACCAAAACGGAACGTGCAATCAAGTCGAGGCTGGCGACTGTCTTTTGCACCAGTCAGATATCAGATCCGTCGCGCAAGTGGCAGAAACAAGGGAAAAGAAGGGAAGGAAAGTGATGTGAGAAGGAACAGAGCCAGACCGCCATGTATAAAAACCGGTGGCGGAAGCGGCGGTTGCGTGAGGCTGAGTCGTGGGAAGCAGGGAGCGAGGGATGGCGGGCAGGAGTCCACTAACCTTAATGACGATGTGCCTCTAGGTAGCTCAAGAGTCCGGGGTGGTGCAACGGCAACGCGGATTGAATGAAGAGCAGAGGAAAGTGAATACCGCGAGCAGAGTGCTCGAGACGTCCCGGACGAGCGGTGCGGTTGACGTGCAGTGGGCTCTGGGGTCGGGTTGGGTTGGTTGTTGGGGGCTATTTAGAGAAGCGCCTGAGACGAAATAATTCCTCCGCGGGGGATACGGCCTGGGTGCAACTCTGGAGGGTTGGGGAGAGACGAGACTGGAGATGAATGGGGCCAAGATCGGGGTCGGAAGCCGGCTCGGAGTTGCAGAGGGCGATGATCCCTGTCGATCGCTGTTTGTGCGTCTTTCCAAGGTCGTCGTCTCCAGGGTGGTTTGTTTATGCACACACGCGCGAGACAGAGCAGCGTGCGAGGAATATCTCAACTTGCGTAAGCTGAGGTGGACGGGTAAGACTAGATAGGGGGGGCAGGCGTAAGAAAGGTGGTGAAAGCCCCTTCTACAGCAGATGAAGCAGTAAGGCAGTAAGGTATATGGTGGTTAGTGAGGTGGCTGTCGGTGTAAGTTGCGCCGTTATTGTCCAGCGGCTTGCGAGTCGAGCGAGGCAAGCGCCAAATTGAGTTTCGACCTGCCGATGACTGGAGCAAAACTCCCGGTGGTGTCCAGTCGGTATGGAGATATAAAGTGAGTCGCGGACGAGGGTTTGCCTGTTCTCCTTGCCTCGCACACGTCGGTGTAACGCGACAGAGGGCAGCGCGGACGGACGGCGTGTGTCGCTGGAAAGGTCGGAAGTCAGCTCCAGAAAACGGATGGATGTCGCTATTGCTGTTGCAGTGCAGTGTAGTGCAGGGGCTTCGGAGCTGGCGGGCGCAAGTCTCTTGGGCAGCTTACGCAAGAGTACGGAGCTCTGGCCTGGAATTATTCCAACTTCTTCCTACGGATCCGAGCGATGTTTTCGGGCTATGTGCCTTCCCTTCTGTTTGATCTCGCAATCCTATTCCAGCGTTTGGGTTGATGTTGGCGATGGTGTAATTCGGGTGCGCGTTTCTCTTCCGCGTCGGTTTGGTGGTCTGTGCGTTGGCGTATCCAGGTACTTCTGGGTCTCTGATGCATTGGATCAGGAAGTCGCCGTCGGGTTGATATTTCTGTCCTTCCATGTCAACTCTGCGTCCCATTCTCTTTCGTCTTCGTCTTCCTCTCCCAGCTCCAAAGGGATCGTCTTCACCTACCTCCTCTTGAACTCTCGGCCCAAAATCAACATAGATCCGGGTTGTCGTTTCCGGAATTTGGTTCTGTCGTTGTATCCTTTCTTCTCTCTTCCCTTCCCTCCGTCGCAAAGGGAAACGCGCTAGCATTTATATCAAGGCGGCAATCTACTAATAGACACTATATCATCTGGTCGAGGCTTGTCGCTTCACCTGCGTCTCCTGACTCGTCCCATATTCTGGGGGTGGCACCCCCGGTTGCTCCTCACCGGAGCGTTCTGGCAGTCTTTGGTCAGCCATTCCGACAGAGTCGGGATCTGATGGAGGGCACCGGCCGGGCCCCGTGATGCCTCCAGTCAGCCAACTAAGACACCAACCCACCTCTTGGACCCGCGCCGGCCGCAACGACTCACCACGCTCATCGGGACCTGCTTAACGATCGGCCACAACAAGGTGGTCATGCACTTCAGAATGTCTGGCTCGCCTTCAAAAAATCACATCACGAACGAAATTGAACTGGGCTGCTCCATGGCTCCTAGGCTGGCTGGCCAGGAACCCGAGGCCAGAAACGCCCCAGAATGCCCTTGGCTCGAGAGATGGGATTCTGTCTCATCCGCATCGCCTTGTTCAAAAACCAGTTTTCTCCGCTGCGAGAACACCTTACCCATGGCATGCAGGGCGGGTTCGGCTCTTGGTTGGACGGGAGGAGCGCGCCATCGCTTCTGAGGCCTGCGCACTCGCGGCCAGCACTCCCATTCTTACCAGGAAAGGCGCTGTCGTCGCCCAAGCTGTCGGTTTGTTGGCATAAAATATGGAAGGGAGAGCCTGCATCCGAATCCTGAGACTTCAACCTCGTCGAGGCAACCTGCCTGCTTGGGGCGCTGAGGGAGCAGAGAGTCTTGGACGATCCTGATCAGGCACGACATCCTTCACCGCCTTGACTTGTTGCATCTCGCCTTCTCCCTCTCCGGCGTTCCTCCAGCTACGACGACAATGGGCCTGTCCGCCGTATTGTTGCAGTTGTTGGTTTCTTGGGCATGTACGCTTTGGGATGGTGCACACCCACTCACAAACCTCTGCCAGGCAAGCACCTCAGACACTCGAGAGGCCGCCGCGCCGTGATATGATGTAAGGCATCATCGAGGCTTTCCGCCGTACCGTACCGTGTGTGACCTGGGCTGTACAAACGACAACCCCTCAGGCTGAGCCTATCTCATCGGATGATATCGTGAGGCGACGGGCGCTGGTGGCTCTCGCGCTTCACTCCGCCGTCTCTTTTCCGACCATCAACACCCATCACGTTTTGACAATCTACGGGCAATCGCCCTTGGTGAAGATGTGATCGTCGGCATGGTAAATGAAATGCCGGGCGAGGATCCTACCCCAACTGGCCTCGCCTTCTCGACATAGCTTTGACTTTCCCCCTCATGCACGGCTACCAGCAGCAGGTCTCAGAGCTGCAGCCGCACTGTATCAACTGGATTGCGGGCGGCAACCCCATCACAATCAACGTCTCTGCGGTATTCTGAAGGTTGCAAAGTGCCTCTGGGAGGGCGGGTTAGGGGTGGAGAGGGCGAGAGGCTTCCAATCATGTGTTGTCGATTCGGTGATAAGGATGGCCTGCAGACCCATCCCAACCCAGAGAGAGAAGTGGAACCAAGCCGCCGTCAACTTTGGTTGGACGGCAGCCAAAATGTAGTGCGGGCTGTGACTTGACAATGTTGGTTGGTTGATCAACTCTTGCAAGACCCACCACGGCTTGAGTACGTACCCACCCCTTGGCTTGAGGCCGGGGGGAGGGAAGCCAAGGCTGATTGGCCAGGTTCAACCGCACCTGGTGCACCTGCGCTGCTTCGCTCTGAGACATCCTCAAGCTTACCCTGCCTTGCCTTTTCAACCTCCGTTCCATTCCATCAACTCCATCCTCCACCGGCCAGCCAGCCCTTTCGTCTTTGTGTAGCAGCTGCCTTAGCGACCCCCCTCCTTTCCTCAGTTCGGAAGCAGCCTTTCGCCTCTATCTTCGCCTTCGCCGTCGCCCTCCGCCTCTCGACGACAGACTTACGTTGCAGTTACGCGGTGCGGTACGCGCGGACACTAGGCCACCACCAGAACGACCACCGGCCTACGTCGCATTGCAAACCGAACAGGTGGTCACTGAATAGCCCACCCTCTTTGTGTATTTCACCATATGTGCCTTCCGACCCTCCCTTCCATCATGTTCATGGACACGGCCCTGTATCAACCAAGCTGACCGTCTTAGCTGTGGAGAAGGATCTCGACACCCGTTTTCCTAACGCTCATCTGCCCGCGCTACACCAGTCCCTCCCCCCCGTGCCCTCCCAACCACCAACGACGGAGATTGCCCCGGCCCCGTCCTTGGTCCAATCACGCCGCCTCCGCAAACCGACTGAGAGCCAACTCTCTCCCGATACCGTCTGGGTCTGTCACTTGACCATATACTCGTCGACGCGAAGGAAACGTTCCTGCGCTTGCACCCACCATTGCTATCTTCCAAGACTTCTTGAAGGGACGTTAGCTGCGCACAACTACGTCATTGTTACATCTCGCGACTTTCAGCGCTCATCGGCACCATGGCGTCCACTTCGTTTAGAGATTCGATGAACTCCTTGGGCTGGTCGCGGCGGGACCAAGATGTGCCTGTCAACACGGCGCAGCAGAGCGGTCTCATGTCGTCCATCAAGTCGCTCAACCCGTTCCAGAACAATAGCTACATCCAGCTCCCGACAACCGAGGGCGCTGGCGCGCCTCTGCCTGCTCCCAACCGGAGGGAAGAGGAGGAAGGCTTTGCAACGCGTGAGTCACCTCGCCCTCGTCCAACTCCCAACCCGTCAGCTCGAGGAGCTCGAGGAGCTTCCACCCCGGCCCCTAGAGCTCCCGGGTCCCCTGCAGCTGGTATAATCTCTAGCTGGTTCACCATGTCTCGGTTTGCCATGTGAGCAGGCGGACTTGTGAGGTGGTGGTGTCGTGTCCGCTTCTTCTCCGTAACAGCCACACTGACGTAGTATCTACCCTTCTAGTGAGTCGATGGGACCGTCTGCTCATCTTCGGTGCCTGCAACCTAGGCGCCCTTGCCTGCTTTGTCCTTTGCTTCGCCTTCCTTCCGGTCATGTCTGTGCGGCCGCGCAAGTTTGTTATTCTGTGAGTTTCTACTTTGTCTTTGTCTCTGCCCCGTCGCCTGGGATTTCCGCCGTCTCTTCTTCCCTCCTCCAACGGGTGCCTCTCGGCCAGGCTAGTTGCCGGCACGGCAGATCGACGAAAACAAGGTTGGATCGGGCAACGAGGTGCCATACCATGGAGCTCTGCCCCTCTGCACCTACCCGCCTTCCATGCCAGATGATCTCGCATGGCCCGCTAGTCATGAACACCTCATCCGGTGACAGGACGGCGTGATTAGGCTCTCCCCCCTCGCCAGGAGGAGTCAGATCTCGTTGCGACGGTCGTTTCTAAAGATGCCCTTTAGTAGCTAACATTGTTGCTCTTTCCCCTCAGGTGGACACTCGGCTCTCTCCTGTTCCTGGCGTCCTTCGCGGCCATTATGGGCCCGATGGCTTATGCCAGGCACCTCGTCTCCGGCACACGCCTGCCCTTCACTGCTGCCTATTTTGGATCGCTCGCGCTGTCCATGTACTTTTCGCTCGGTGTAAGTTTGACTACGACTGCGCGCACGCCGGCAGGACCCTCGCTGACGTTTCACGCCACAGCTCCGCAGCACCATCCTCACCTTGATCTCGGCTCTCATCCAGCTCGCCTGCCTGGCATGGTACCTGGTCAGCTACTTTCCCATGGGCTCGAGTGGCTTGCGGTTGGCCACCACCTTTGGAGCCAGAAGAGCGGCTGCCTGGATGACTGGTTGAGGTTGAGAACCAAGTTGTACATTGCGTGTATCACCAAGGAAACAGGAGTAAAGCGAACTTTTGATATGTCGAGTTGTGCAAGAGACGATTAGGGCGAAACATGTACCAACAGCTTGATAATTTACGTCTCGCAATCGCATACAGCACCGGCGGGGAACAGAGGAGGGAGAGTTGTGAAAATGAAGAATCTCAACCTTTTACTTTCCAGTCGGCGCATATTCTGTCCGCCATCATCCAGTTTTGACCGTTCCGTGCCTTCTGTTCTGGAGAGACGTATCCCGAGCGCATCATGCGATCCAAAAGAGGCGTCATGAGATGAACTTCCCAGCAGAGTCCTCGGCGAGTGCACTGCAGGTTTGGACGGGCGGGCAACGTTCCTAGATGTCAGAGCTGAGGCGTCGGGCAGGCACCCCTCGCGGCGACGGTAGATGCGTGTCTCGCGCGTGCGGTCTGCTGCTCTCCACGCAACAGCGCAAGACCTGGCTTTTCCATAGGTGCGTCTTGGAGCCGCGCAGCGGAAAGACGGAGAGAGCGCCGGCAAGAGCCGCATGGCTGGTCAACGGGGGGTGAGGTTGGGCATTGCGGCGGTCTGTTTCGGCCTGTTGCCCGTTTCCCGTCCTCTCATCCATATGACCTCTGGACTCGGACAGGTGGCTTGGTTACGGAACCGGCTCCGTAGTGCGATTTCATACTTTCAGGTGGCCGGGCCCCTTTAGCGTAGCAGTTTTAGCTGCTAGGCAGATGCGGAGATACAAAAACACGCTCATCGAGCCACACGCAAAATGAAAATAAAAATTAGGCCTGATAATTAGGCCATGGCGGTACTGTGATGTACTGTCATACGGAGAGGCGTTGGCCTTCAGACGTTAAGCCACCAGACGTTGGGACAAAATCCGCCAAAGAGTAGCCCCCAGCTCAGAACTTTGGCATGTGAGTGCTGTCTTCTCCAACCTACTTCTTCAACTGAGCCGATGAAAGTGTGTTAGAGCCTGGCTTGCCCGTGTGCTGCCGAAAACGGCGACACCAATAACATTGATGCGGCACTTGAGCAAAGCTTTCTCTCTCTCTCCCCCTCGGAGTCATGCGCTGTCTAGGCTTTTCTTTTCCTACGAGTCTCTCGCTGAGTCGGGCAAGGTCAGGGTAAACCCCCGCAATGATCGACAGATAGTCTCTTGTGTGCAGCATGAGAAAAGCAATTTCAGACATCTTGCCTCGGAGACCCTTGACGCCCATCCTCTCCCAATCGACCTCACCAACATTCAATTTCCAAATTTATCCATACTATTCTCGCAGATAGGGGTCACAGAAGGACCCCGCGGGGAGGGAAGTTGGGCGCCGTCTCCACAAAACGGACGGTCGAGTCCGGCGCGGCTAGGAAGGCTCGGAAGGCGAGTCAGCCCACTTTGTTCAAGAAAAATTCCCAGGGCCCCCCGGTGGAGAACCAATCGCTGACAGTAGAGATCCTGGGAGCGTAGCCAAAGGGGGAAGTGAAGGAATGGCGTCGTTGGCCGAGGCTTGTGTGCCCAAACCCTCTTCAGACGATGCCTTCGAGGGTTGTTTGATTGCAACAGCAACAACCCGTCCTCCGTGGCCCTGCCGCTTGCCTTGGTAAACGTTGCTTTTCCCTGAGTCTCCAGCAGAGGGTCCAAGTGTTGTCTTTCAGTGCGTTGCTTTATTCTTGCAAGTTCCTGGATTGCTGAAAGACGCCGGTGCGTGTTCTGGGCGTTTGCCCGATGGGTGGTGGAGCCGTCCGGCTTCCCGCAACGACAGGCCATGCGACCGCCGCTCGTTGTTCCAATCACGGCGCCCCAACTTGCGCCATCCGCGCGGTGGCTGGAACTCGAGAAAGGGAGAGGAGAGAGAGCTGGCCAGCACGGCGGTTCCTCGCCAGTTTGACTGTCCGCGCAAGGCTTGCTGGTCCTGCCCGCTTTGAACTGGCGGACAATGCATTGCCAGCACAGCTGTGTTGTCCATATGAGTGGAACACGTATCCGTGTCTCTGTATCAAAAGGGGCGGTCGGCCGGGTTGTTGTCAGTACCATGTACTGCGGTAGGTGTACGTAGTGTACAGTATCACAGAGCCGGCCAGGGATCGGGGATTGCCCACTACCTGGCACACCAGGCATGGACAATCGTTGTCTTGGAAAAGTCCCATGTCTTCGTCGCCCTGGGCCCTGGGGCGCACAAGGTGTCGAGGATGACTAAGACGGGGTTACGAGGCGGAATTGGCCGCGCTTTCCTCGCCGGCAGATTAGATAGGGACCATGCCGAGTCCATGCATGAGGCTGTCCGAAGGCCGATCCTCGAATGCAGAAAGTTCAAGGAGGGAAGAGCCCAGCGGGCGGCCCAAAGCGAGTGGCCAGGCTGCCAGGGAAACGCCTCGTGGCGGTGTGTGTATGTGCGTGTGCGCGTGTGTGTACGGCACTGACTGATGTGAAAACACAATGACTTGTGGCACAGCGCTGTTTCGGTGATGAGTACATCATTCAAAGGTGGTTTGGTGACCTGTAGACTCGGGCTGTCACCCATTGCCCTTTATGGTCCACGAATGCAGGCAGGCGGCAGACAACATCGTCGAGGAGAATGTACCGTTATGTAATCTGGCAGCGAATGGGGGCCGAAGGAGGAGAGTGTGCCAGTCCACGGCTGTGTAGCCGCGGTTACCCTCGCCGTAGGTCAAATCGGCGTGGGTCCGGGCAAGGTTGCGTTGGGGATGCGCGTCTGGAAGGCAATGGTGCAGTGCTGCGGAGGGTCGGAAGATGGCTGCGATGCGGGCTGCACAGGTGGAATCTAGCCCTCAGCCCTGCTATTGCAAATGGGAAAGGAATTTGTGCGTGCAACTCGCGTCTGCATGTGTAGGCGGCCATGTCCTGCGTTCGGTATGGATGTATGTGCCAAGGCAGTCTTGAACTCGGGGAGAAGCAATCCACGGGTTTTGGATTGAAATGTGCATCCTGTCCGCGGTACGTACCGGGCACGCAACACCGCTGCCCGTCATTCGGAAGGGGTTACTGAGCAAACATCAGACGAGACCTCTTGAAAGAAGACGACGTGTTGTCAGTAGACTCTTATTCCTCTAGACATGCACAGCACAGTGCCCGAGGCAGGCAGAAGGACGGAGGTGTCATCCTCGATTGGTTGCGTACCAACTGGGAGGAAAGAACGGAGAAGGGAAGGAGGACAAGGCCCGTTTGGTCGAAACCCGTCCATCTGCCCGCTCGAGCGGGTAGTGCGTTGCGTTGCGTTGCGCTGCGCCGCGTTGCGGAGCGTCTGTAAGTCGGCAACACTTGCATCGCATCGCAAACTCCATGCCATGACACACGACGCGAGCGAATAAGGCTCCGGCAGAAAACCATCACACAAAAAAAGGGCACATGAAAAAGAGACCAAAATTGCCTTGGCCGAGTAAATAACCGACTTATATTCGCGCAACCCCACCAAAGCCGACAAGGAACCGGAGGCATGTAGGCATATGCAGAAGGTCGCAGCGGGTATGCCAGTTGAGGGCACGAGGAGCAGCAGCAGGAGGAGGAGCCGCCGGAAAACCTTGGAGGGTCCCCAGGGTTGGACTGGTGCAAAAGCGAAGGTGGTGAGTGTGTGAGGGACCGATATCGTGGTGGAGGTAATTAAGCACTTTACCCAGAGAGGGGAAGAAGAGGAGGGGTAGTTTTTTTTTGTTTTTTTATTACGGGCCTCGAAGTTTTTATGTAACTCGAGACTCGAATCTGACGATTAGTGTGACAATGGCGACGGGCTGCTGCCCGTCGTCGCGCCCTGCCGCTCAGTCCCAGCACATGGCAGCTTGTCGATGTGCTGCTGCTGCTGAGGCTGATGAGGCTGCCTTTGCGTGCGTGTTGTCGGCGCTTGTGTTTGCCCTTGCGCTGTGCTTTGCTTTGCTTTGCTTTGGTGGTGGTGATTGCTGGTGCCCTGCCAGAGAGACGGACTTTTTCTGCCGTTGCTGGTCACTTTGCTTTGTGTCCCCGCTACCCTGGTCGTCCCTGGAGGCCATCAGTATCCGTGTTTCCTGACTGGCCAAGATACCTTGTCGACCCTGGCTCATGGCCTCAGGTAGGAAATAATCCGGTCACCGCCCGCTCCGTCAAGGACGGACGGGACGGGATACTGGAAACTGCAAGCTGGAACGGGTAGGAAACCCTCCCCAGGGCAGGGCTATTCGTTCATCTCTCACTCTTACCCCCTCCGTCCGATACCCTGTCTTTGCCGGCTCATCACCGCCCCTTGCCCCTATGGCGCCCCGAGACACCCGTGTGAACGCACTTGCTTTCCGTTAATTGCCCTTCCGTTACCACCTGGAGGTGCCCTGCCTCTGTCGCTGGCCACTGATTCATGCTTTTTTTGGCCAGCGCTGTGAGCATTCCAATGCATCTCATTTCAGGCGTATGCTTCACCGTAACCCGCCCGATCATGGCCCTGCCCTCCTGCCTAACGTTGAGCCATGTGCCCTGGAAACAATTCACCAAAAGGCGGATGAAGCACCTCCCCCCCCATTCTTCCTGTGCTGGACGTCCCTTCCTCAACCTGCCTGCCTGTCTGTCCGCCTCAAACATCGCAGTCACCGTCACAGCCAGAGAGTTCCCCCCCTCCCCTCCCCTCCCCGCTAAAAAAGTCAGGTCAACAAGCTTGCCTCCACCTTTACCTCAAGTGCCAACCTGGTAGCGGCTTTCCGAAAGGAAAAAAAATTCATTCACAAAAAAAAACTCGGGCCTCAGATTTTATTCCTGCAACCTTTCTCTCCTCTCCCACAACCACACAATCTCCTCTCTCTCTCCCTCCTCTCCACAAACCTACCCTTACCCGGCATCTTTGTGGTCATTCTTCAGTTCTCTCGTCCTGCTCCGGCCGAATTCCTGTTCGTCACACACATAGCGGACGGTTCGTACACGACCAGCGAGACCCCTCAGGCCAACAACAAGGTCGTCCAATCGAAGCTTTGCGTTTACCGTCGTTCACATTTTCCTTCAGATCGCCGCAACCCGAGCATCTCCGGAACGCCTCGCTTCTTTTCTTCCCAACCCAAACCTTCCCGTTGACTTTGCCTCAACCCAACCCCGCCACATCGTCACAAGGAACACGGCTTCCACGTCCCCTCGGACAATCTCGTCGTGCTCGCTCTTGCTGAATTTCAGTCCTCGCGTGCCTCCGTCGGAACCTCGTCCCCGCATTCGCCCAACGGAAGCCACCACGTCGGCTTCACTGGACTAGCACCTCCCGCTCGTCCGTCACTTTTGGGCCTTTCCAAATCAACTCGCGACCTCTGACGACGCCAATCGACCCTTGATCTCCTCGACGGCCTTCCGAGCCGCCCGACCGAACTTTTTCCTCACACGCCGCGGAGAGGTTGGTTCGCCCTCCCCGGTCTGTCTCCGCTCGGGGAGTTGCTGGTAGACCTCGGTTTACCCTCCAGCAGGATATACAACAGCCCGCTCGTGGCTACCTACTTTGGGGCCTGGCAGGATTAGATCCGTTGATCATCTTTCCTGGTCCAATATACCCCCACTAGTCTTTCGAGGCATGCCTATTTCTGCATCAGACCTAGCATCAGACACGATGGCTACTGCATTTTCTTACGCTCAAGCCGCCAAGGGTCAGGCGGCCACCACATCCGCAACCCAGCCCACTGAGAACGGCAAGGACGCCGCCAACTCAGTAAACGGCGAACAACCCACTGCTGAGACCAACGCCGTCAAGAGCAGCGAATCCGTCGACGACGAGACTTCGAGAAATACACCTCTCAAGGCTCAACTCGCCGCCAAGCTGGACGCTGCTTCTGCCCCGGCCGAGGCCAACACCAACAACACATCCGCTGCCGCCTCCGTCACCGACTCTCGACGCGATGACGAGGATGCCGCCACCGAGGGCTCCGCCCGCCGAAGCGAGAAGAGCGTACGGTCGGCAAGCGCGTCCACTCGCGTGACCGATGATGCCGAGCCGAAGAAGGGCTCTAGGAAGCCGAGAAAGGGCAAGGCAGGAAAGGAGTCGAGCGAGGATGCCAAGAAGGATAAGGCGGCAGAGCAGGAGAAGGAGCAGCCCAAGATCGAGCTGGTTGAGGCACCGCTTCCTTCGGTCAACATCTGGACCCAACGGAAGGAGACACAGGCTGCCAAGACATCCGTCACCCTGCCCACGAACGGTGCTCCCAACGCATCCAACTCCGCTGACACCTGGCCCAACAGCCAGGAGTCCAAGAAGAAGAGCAAGGCCGCCGATGCCACTGAAGCGACCAACGGTGCTGCCGGCCCCAACAAGTCCCAGCGCAAGGTTGGTGATGGCGAGGCGGCTGTACGCAGGAACGGTGCCCGCGGCTCTAGAGTGATCGACAGAGAGGGTCGACCTACCGAGGTGCCCCCTCCCGTCGGTGATGTTCAGTCATGGCCCACGCCAGAGACGGCGGTCAAGGAAACGGTCAAAGAGGAGAAGCGCAAGCCCTCTGACAAGATCGAGCGGACAGAGACCGAGGCCCAGGACGACGCTGCTTCCAAGGGACGTTCCAAGGACAAGTGGGAGCGCATGGACTTTGTGCCTACCGTCCAGTTCTCTACACCCATCCCTTCGGTGAGAGGATCTCGAGGAGGACGCGGTGGCGCCCGTGGTGGACGCGACGTCACCTCCCGCGGCGGTCACGGCGCCGCCGCCGCCGCCGCCGATAAGCCTGCCGGTGCTGCCGCCCCTTCCGGCAAGGCTGGAAGCGAAGCTCGTGAGCGTGCCCGAGATGGCAATGCTCCGGCCAGAGCCAACTCCCAGCCTCCTGCCGCAAACAAGCGTGCTTCCATGGAGGCGTCCAACAAGGAGCAGCGCAAGCAGTCAGCACCTAGCTCGGGTGAGCGTAGCAAGGAATTGCAGTCCACTGCCACCAACGTAAGTTGCATCCCGCTCTTGTCGTCGTGGGATTAATCAACAACTGTACTAACCACAAAGCAGGAACAGGCCGGACCTGTTAGAGAGAGGGGCGAAGGCCGCGGCGACAGGGGCCGTGGCGGATATCGTGGCCGCGGAGGTCACCCTGGAAACGTGCCCATGCACTCTCAGCAGTCTTCCTACATGGGCAACGGCAACTCTTTTGGCTCTCAAGGTCCCCGCCAGTTCACTAGCCCCCTCTGCACCAGAACGGTAGCTTTGCCTCCTCGTACGGTGGCTCCCAGTCTCGGGGTGGTCGCGGCGGCCGTGGTCAGTCCAACGGTTCCGGTGCTTTCCGTGGGGCCGGCGGTCCTCCAAACTCTGGCCGCATGCGCCAAGTTCAGACAAACATGAACCAAGTTTCTTGGGACTACGGCATGCCCATGACCCCCGGTTCTTACCCGGCTTTCTACGAGCAGACCAGGCACCTCATGATTCCTCAGTTTGAGTACTACTTCTCTGTCGAGAACCTTTTGAAGGACGAGTTCTTGCGTAAGCACATGGACAGCCAGGGTTTTGTGCCCTTGGAGCTTGTACTTGGCTTCTCCAGAGTCCGCAGCGTCGCTGACCCCCAGACTCTGCGCGCCATCTGCGCCGAGTGCCCTCAACTGGATTATGTCATCGGAGACGATGGCGTCGAGAGATTGCGCTCCCGCACACACTGGCAAAAGTTCGTTTACTCCAAGATGGAGTTGCGATTCGAGTCTGCGCGCAACGCAGGGCCTCAGTACTTCTACCCGCGCTCGCTTCACGCCATGGCCCCTTACGACCACGGAATGTTGGGCGACTACCCTGTTGTTTCGCCGTCCGCCTACCCCAACGGCACTGAGAACGGCTACGTTGCCTACCCTAACGAGGTCCCTGCTGGACAGACCAATGGCGCGGTGAACGGTGCCGGACCTGAGACTCAGCTCTCAGCTCAAGTCCCCGAATTCCAGCCGGGCACGTCTGAGCAGGCTGCTGAAGCCTCCACGGCTGCCACCAACTCGGAGTCGGAGTCCAAGACCCAACATCTCGTCAATGGCTCCTCTGAGGCTCACGCGGAGATTGCGCCCCTGACCAACGGCAACCACGCTCGGCCTGCCGAAGTCCTTCAGTCCTAGTTGGATGAAGGTATTGTCGTGGGCTGTGGCGGTGAGGCAGCATCAGGTGGCTGCGGTAGCATCAGCAGCAGCAGCGGCATGTCGAGTCCGTCCCAACGCACACATTTGATGATGCGTGTCCGAGGCGAGGACTCGGCTACGGAATCTCGCATTGACGACATCCCGTATCCTGAATTTCGTACACGCGCGCTCTCCAAATGGCGGGACGCTTTAGCCGGGGAGGTCCCCGGCAACATGATATCCCTTTATCGGTTCTGGTCTCATTTCTTGGCCCGGCATTTTGATTTGGAGATGTTTGAGGAGTTTCGGGCATGTGCAGTGGCGGACGCCACGGGGGAGACGGTCAACACAACTGGTCTCGAGAACTTGATTGCGTACTACGAGGCTGTCCTCCAAAGCGACGAGGGAAAGCCTCTGGATAACATTGAGTTACTCTACGGAGAAGCGAAAGAGCTGGCTGCCAAGGCCAAGATATCCTAAGAGCCGAGGTCGACAAGAATGTTTTACGAATTACGCAGCTCGTATGGGAGTTTCTTCGACATCTGCCAGGCTCTAGAGGTTGCGGCCTGACGCAACCTGATCTTGGGCAATGTTTCACTCTCTCCCAGTGCCGTTGAATTTGCAACGTTTCTTGGGATCAGTCGAAGTGAACCCGCTATTACTGTCGTCATAAATGATTGGAAAAGTTCTTTGCTTGTTTCTCGCCAAGGAGGGGAAATCGCAAAGAGATTGCTGCCAGGTGGCCAGCGATACGCCCATGGGAGGGGCCGGATCAGGAATAATCGAGAGAGTGCGGACTAATCAGAGGCGAACAAGATGGGAGGAGAGGGTTGGGTCTCGGGTTAAGTGTGAAGCAAAGCTGCCCTTCCGCAGGGGAACAGCTTAGGACACGGGTTGATGAAAGTCTCTTCTCTGGCGTATTCGGCATAGGATCGATATGACAACCATCGGCCTACTTTTTTTCCTTTTTTTGGCGGTTTCTTCCCCCTCACCTTCCATGGATGGATTTATCTTCATCCTCCCGCCTCTTGCTGCTAGACGAAGAAAAAAGTTTTCTTCCCTTTTTCTATTTGCACATAGTTTCTGCATGCTCTTTTCCAGGGAATCACGGGGGGACAAAAGGGGGTGGGCATGAAATGCATTCGAGCGGTCACAAGAGGAAATTTCGGTGGCGGTGGCTCAAGGTTCTAGACTTTTCTCTTTTTCTTCTGGCTCATCGGTACAAAGACGAGGGAAGAATGAAAACAGAGCATCACCACGCAGAACGAGTTACGCTGGTGTCGAATATGTAAGAATAGGACCTAAACACAACACAAAAAAAAAACCCACGAATAAACACGGAGCGGTTGGCGTTCATGCTGGGCAAATACACTTGGGTTTTGTGCTCCTATGCTTTCGTGATGGCTCCCGCGATGGCTCCCGCGATGGCTCCCGCGATGGCTCCCACGACGGCTCCTGTGATAGCCCTACTCGATTGCGTAGAGGGAGGTGAGGCTCATTGTGAGAGGTGTATGTAACTTAGCGATGTGCTCTGCAAGTGCCGAGCTGGACGTCAGAGCAGAACGCAGCAGCGCCAAGCGGTTGCCCGTCCCACCGCGAGCCTCTGAACAACCCAACCACCAACCCCCCAGACTGTAAGGCGCGGTCCACGTTAGAACCCGACGCCAAGCTCGTGGCCGAGGCGCAAATCTAGTTGCTTGTCCCGGGTCCTGGTTTCTCTGTCCGCGCCGCATTGCCAGTGTCTGCGTACAACCGAGCCTCGGCCGACGGCTGTGTAGAGGGGAGCGCGCCCGGCTTCGTCTCCGGCGTTGACGGTATCAGACAGGGAACATGGTGCCCCCGGACGTGTTGTAGCGGAGACGGAGGCCCACGCCACAAGGCACTGTCCCTGCCGGCGCTGGCTCTCGCTGTAAGTCCACGAACTAGTCATGATGAAATTGATGGCTGAGCGGCGTTCCTGACTTGGCGGAGAGCAAATCGAAGCCGACCTGCCGACCTGCCGACCTGCCGACCTGCAAAGTTGACGAGAGTCGGAGGCGGGGAAAGGAGGGGGGGGAGGGAGCAAAGTTTGCACACACAAGGTACCTGCAAGGTATCACCAGATCACATCGGAGCAGTAGGTGCGTCCCTGTTCAGAGATATAATCGCCTCGCATTAATCATTATTACATTGCCGTCTATGGCAGAAAGGTTGCTTCGCCTCTACCGTAGCAGGGCACGTAGACACCGCTAGGAGGGTGATGGAGAGTGTCGATCCAAACAGTCATTATCTACAAGAGGTCATGCCGTTGCCTCATAATCCCAAATTTTGATGTTGGGGGAGGGGGCTTGTGTTCCCAGTCGCTCTAGTTGTTGAGTCCCTTAGAGGGCCATGACGAGACCGAGGATGGCGGCAACACCAGCGAAGGCGTTGACCTTGGCAGTCGGAGCAGCGTTGGGGGCGTCGGTGGAGGCGGGGGCGGTGCCGGAGGCGTCAGTGCCGGTAGGCTCGGCGGACTCAGTTGCGGAGGCGTCGCCAGTCGCGGTCTCCGTCTCGGTAGCAGCGGTTTCAGTGGCAGTTGCAGTGCTATCGAGAAGTGTTAACGACATGACGGCCTGGATGAAACCTCGAGCAGAGAAGGGCGCTGAGAGGTTACTTACGCAGTGGTGTCAGCCTCCTCGCTGGTGTTCAGGACAGTTGAGGTGAAGACGCTGCCAGCGGAGTCGGTGCCGGTAACGACACTGGGAGATAGTGTGGGGACCAGGTCGGTGGTGATGGTAGTCGGGACGGGTGTAATGGTAGCCGAGAGACTGGTGGTGATGGTATTGCCCTCGCTGTCGGTGGTAGTGACGGCAATGACGGTGGGCACGGGAGTGCCAGCGGCGACAGTCGGGCGGAGGCTCTCAATGGCAGACTCCAGGGCGGCATACTGGCTGACGTAGGCGGTGGGAATGGCGGCGAGGAACCAAGTCGGGGTGCTGGTGGCCTTGAGCACGGAGTAGACGTAGGACTTGACGTCCCCGGTGACACCGGCCGCGCTAGCAGCGGAGCCGAAGGCCGAAGTCAGGGAGCTCCACTGGCCCTCCGGGATGTAGGCCGAGATGAGAGCGTCGGCAGCTTCGGTGAAGGCGGGCGCGTCCGAGCTATGCCTCTGTTAGTCTATGTCCTAGTAGCTTTGAGGCTCCCGCCTCTTGAGTTCGAATAGCTTACGCTTGGCGGGCCTGGACAGGGTTGGCGGCGGCGAGCTTGGCGGCGAGGGCCAGGGAGAAGATGGCGGACTTCATGTTGATTGATGGTTGTTTTGGAAGGTCTCCTCGAAATTGAAGGTTGGGGTATCACAGGTATGTCAAGATGGGATTTCTCGAGGGGTATCACTGGCTGGCTGGAGCAAACGGGACGGATAGAGAGACAGCAGTGCGAGAGGAGAGAGCTACTGGAGACAGCTTCGAACGGCCGACCGTTGGTTTATATACTAGGCAAAGCTCAGTGATGCGGTCAAGAACTAAATGACGCCGTACACAGTCGAACAGGCCGGGTACGACCAGACCAGCACGAATCGGGAAGCATGGCGACAGCGGCGGTGGAAGCGAAAGCTGGGAAATGCGCGTTGCTGCGTTTGCGAGGGGCGAGACAGAAGGAAAGTGGGCAAAAGCCATGGTGTCAACCCCGGCCTGTAATCCTTGGAAAGCGGAGGTTGGGTAGAGATGCTCTATTCTAGGCCGATGCTCGATGCCCTTGCAGCTGCAGAAACAGCAAAAGGAGAGAGCTCGGCACGGTAACGCAAGCATGGCGCGGCCAGGGTGGAAAGCAGAAGCTGCAATTTGCGGACGAGGCAAGGAAACACAATACCAAGAAAGCAGGGCAGAGCAGCAGGTGAGGCCGGACCTGAATTCCTGGCGTGACGTTGACGGTTGGCCCGTTTGCTTGCGCGTGTCACGCAGGCCATCGAATCAGGTCCGGAGGTCTTGATGGCCTGCCTCGCACAGCGTGAAGGATCGCACCAAACGGGAGCACGATGGCATCACGGTGTTGGCTCATTCGAGCGGGCGGGGTATTTGATTGGCGCCGGGTTGCGTGTTTGCCGGCCTCGATCGTGAAATATGTTGACGGGAGGCTGGGAAAAACAGAACAAGGATCAAACTACCAGGCCAAGAACATACGTCAGCCTCTTGTTTCCTTTTGGTAGAATGAGCGCCTTGGCTGTCCTTCAACCACTGCAATGTAGTTCTGACCCTGTCAGTGCCTGGAAAACCCTTCTTTTGACATTCAGGACTCAAGGTTCTTTCTGGGGAGGGGATGAATTATAAAGCACACAACGAACTTGCAGTGACGCTGAGAGCTGCGGTGCTGCGTGGAGGGGTTTCCCACTGTGGTCTTGAAAGCTGGCAGACGATGTCCCTGGCATTTTGTTGTTCGTAAGAAGGTGGGAAAACAGCAGGGAACACGCCAGAGTGGAGGGATGTGGTTGGCGGGTAGTGTGGGATCCACTCTATCGGTCTTGTTATTGGCTGCCACCGTCATCGACGGACGAATCACACAATAGTATTGTTTGATCTGGCGAGCCAGGAACAAGGAAGCCCCACCCTTGGTTGGGTCCCCGTTTCGCCGTTTGCTGGCAACGGTGAGCCAGCTTTCTTTCCTTCTTTCTTTCGTTCTGGAAGGATGAACCATTCAATAGGTGCTTACCAACGACGCCTCCTTCAGCTTGCTCAAGGCACGTGACCCTGTTCATGTGGGTGAAGGTAGGTTATGATAGTCGAGTCCTTCGCCCCTCCTCCCTTCCTCAACACGTCTGGAGTGAGTGACAGGTGAACAACCTGAGCCACGCTACTGCGTTGGGTGAGGGAAGTTCAGAACAACATTGGGCAGATCACGATGGCGGCGGATCAACAGCTGAAAGATGGGAAATTGTCACTGCATCATTGAGACTGCGAAAATCTACCACAAGAAGGCGACGGGCGTTGCGCAGCCACGACATCCCACCGTTCACGTGTGGCATTGAGGGTCTGCAAAGGGCCCGCTGCGCCACGCAGTCTAGCCTCAATTCTGCGTACAGGTGTAGGCGACGGACGCTACGTCACCGGCTCTTCCCCCTTCACACTGCAGGCTTCCCCTCTTCGAATCCCGTCGTCGCGGGGCATCCCACTTTCCACTTCAGCTCATTCGTCTATGCCCGCTCGTCACTATGACACTGTTCCCCATGACACCGTCCCTCACTCAGGTCTTCTGTCTGCCAACTCAGCCCATCTATCTGCCTATCTTAGCGCGGTTCTTCGCAAGACTTGCAATCTACCTGATGGACGCGTATATTGATCTACTATTTTCTCGATGCCACGAGGTTGTTGGAGCTATGCCGTGCTTTGGGTCACCAAAATAAGAACGTCCTCCCAACTTATTTCTGGCCGCCGATATACATAGTTCCATATACGGATAACCTGTCAAGCGGAAACTGGCCCCAGGAAAAGAGGACCTAGATGAGCCTATCAGTCACTGTCATTGCTAGGTAGTCAAACAGGGTGCATTCAGCGAGAGTACCACCGTACGTATAGCGGGAACACTCGCGGACTCACCGAGCACCTTGCAGCAGAGCCCCTCATACCAGCACAAGTGGCCCTTTGTCGGCGCTCGGTTACAGGCAAGGCTCAACCCATCTCGATGTTTCATTGGTCGAAATGCCTGCTCTTATGAGGTCATTTTCCCGGCTGCCTCGCTGTCCCTCCCTCCTTTTTGCACAGGTTGCAGGTCACAGGGGAAGAGGGAACCCGATGCTGCATGCACTGCTGTACCTGTTGCTGCCATGTAGTTATTGCTGCTGCACTGCCAGAGACATCCGAGGCCGCGTAGGCGCTTTTTCCTCTTGGTTGTTACCGTCTTTGCTCTCGACTCGAGGCGTTTCAAAGCATGCAGCTCTTGGTCCTGAAAGGTGGTAGCAGCCGATAATCCTCAACGGCCAACGCCCTGTATCGCTTCCGTCACTCTCATTGTAGTTTTGGTGCGGCGTCGGGCTGTCGCAGGGAATACCCGTCCTCGGAGGCCACTTGTAAGCACACTAACACAGTATTCGGGGCGTACTAGGAAGCCTGACCACCGTCTTTCTCGTTCTTGGTGCCCAGCCCATCTGGCAGAGACCAAGTGGAAAATTGGACGACCACAGGCAAGGGCACACGCTATTTTCAGCTTGAGGGAGGGGGCGCTGGGGATCAAACGGCATGGCTAAGTGACTTTCTCAATGGTTTTGTGTTGTGTAGATGGTCATTCATCTTTCGGATGGGAGAAGGGTCCAGCCAATGTTCGCAAGTACCTATCGCAGCAAGTTTGGCGATGAAGATACATGTGTTTCCTGGGCTGAGTGTAGCGCAAAGACCGTCCGTTGTGTACACACGCATCCCTGATTCCCGCACCCTCCGCCTCTCCTGCTGCAGCCGCACCTCTGCAAGCAATGCTGGCTGAGTCGTCAATACGTTGCATCCATGTCTTTGGCCACCCAACCCTGTCCTGCTCTGCCCAGTTGTTCCAGTCAACCAGTGCAGGCCTGAAGGGGACCTGTCTCTGGCTGGCTGCTCTGCCTGAACTGTCCACCTCAAGCCTGACATCCACGACTGATCTGCCTTTCCTCCCGTCTCCTACTTGTTGGACCCTGGCCTCCCCACCCACCTCTCCCAGCCCTGGCCCCCGGTCCGCGGTCATCATTTCTTCCCCTCCTCCCTCTCTTCCTGGGCTATTCTTCATCCTTCTACCCTTTAAACAACTCACAGACATTGCGACGAAGCCAGTCATAGGCTTCTCATTACACCACCGCGATCTCATAACTTTCACCAGCCGCACCTCTGTCTGGTGTTTCATTTGTATTCCATATCGACACTTTATCCTTTCACTCAAGAGACTTACAACACCCCGCTTACCAAGACATACCACAGAGCCTTCTCGGCTCCTTCAACTACATTCATCGACCGGCATGAGTTACGACTACGAACCTCCACGCACTCGTCGCTACGTGCGCGAGGAGCGGCGTGAGGAGAGGATCGATCCCCGTTACGCGGACGACGGCTACCTGAAGGTCTATCAGTCTCGCGAAATTGTTCCCAAGGGCCGAGAAAACAGTGATCTCTCCATCGAAGAAGTCCGCCGCGATTTTCCTCCCCCGGGCTACCGAGACTCCCGCAGAACCCGTTCTGCGGAGCCAGGCTACTACGACGACTACCGAGGCTACGACGACCGAGATCGATACTATGACCGCGATCATGACCGCCGCAGCAGAAAGGCTGGCAGCCTTCTCTATGCTGAGGAGGAGAGGTCTCGTAGACGTGTGCTTAACCAACAAGAAAAGATTATCGCTGCTGTCGCCGGCGCAGCTTTAGCTTTCGGTAGCAAGGAACTCTACGACAGAAAGGAAGCCAAGGAACATGGCAGCGAAGTCGAGCGCAACTACTTGACTTCTGCAGCCTTGGGCGCTGCCGGAGCCCTCGCAGGCTACCAGGGCGCTGAGTACTACAGCAAGCGCAAGGAAAAGGAGGAGGACAAGTCCACCTACGTTGTCCATCGCGGCCGCGACGGCAGGGTCACTGAGTACTACTCTGACGAGGAGGGAGAGAGGGAGAAGAAGAGCAACAAGTCCTTTTTGGAGAATGCTTTGGCAGCCTCCGGCCTGGGAGTTGCGGTCAAGGCCCTCACAGGAGCTGGCGGTGATGACCGACGTGGCGACACTCGCAGCCGACGAGGCAGCCCCGACTCGAGGGGCTCTCGGTCCAAATCCCGTGGACCGGGCGGAGAAGCCGCCAACAAGATGCAGAAGGCGGCTATGGCTTCCCTTATTGCCGGAGCCACCGAGGCCTTCCGTGTTGCCAAGGAACCTGGCGGTTGGAAGGGCGAGAAGACCAAGCGCATCATTACCGCAGCTGCCGGTGCTGCCACCATTGATGCCGCCCAAAGCGGTGAGAAGCAAAGTAAACTGGGTCTGGCTGAATCAGTCATCGGTGGTTTGTTGGGCAACCGTGTCATCAACGGATCCAAGCGCAACATCGAAGAAGATCGAAGGACCGGCCGAAGTCGATCCCGATCGCGCGCTCGTTCCGATGGCGGAGGCGGCGGGCCGGGTTTGGCTGCTCTGGCTACTGCTGGACTGGGTGCTTTCGGCGCAAAGAAGGCAATTGAGAACGTTCGGTCCCGCAGCCGAGGCCGCAGCGCCGACTCTTACGACAGCCGAGCCTCTAGCCGCAGCCGCGACGGTCGACGCCAGCGAAGCAGAAGCCGCAGCGTCGTCGACTCAGCCCGGAAGAAGCTCGCCAAGTTCGGCCTTGGCAGCGACCCCGAGGAGAAGGAGAGAGATAAGTACGCACGAGACGACAGCTACTATGACGACCGTAGCTCCCGCCGCGGCGTCAGCCGAAAGTATTCTGACGAATATGACGATGGTTATGATGGAGGGCATGCCCGTAGTGGACGCGATGCCTATGACGACGACAGATCTTCGTACACGAGTCGACGTCGGGACCGTTCCCGCCGTAGAGGAGGAAAGTCGGACGCGGGTTCCGACTCGGACCTGGGAGACTCGGACGATGACGAGAAGCGTGCTAGGAAAATGAGAGGTAAGCAAGTCATTACAACGGGCCTCGCGGCCGTTGCCACCATTCACGCGGCACATGGAGTCTATCAGAGTATGGAAAAACGCAATGCACGGCAGAAGGCTGTGAGAGAAGGGCGGCTCAGTCCAGAAGAGGCGAAAAAGCTCAAGACGAAGGCGCTCATGCAAGACGCTGCATCTGTTGGAATCGCTGCTCTCGGTATCAAAGGGGCATGGTCAGAACTCAAGGAGGCCAAAGAGATGACCCACGAATGCAAGCAGTTCCAGCAAGAGAAGGCAATACGACATCAGAAACGGCTCGAGAGGCAGAGGCGGCTCAACAGCGGCTACGACAGCAGGAGGAGCAGGGCTGGTGACTGGCACTCTTCGGCGTCTCCGCGAGAGGACCGGTACGATTATGGATCTACATACTACGACGACAACCCGTACTCTGCCGGACGCTTGCCTGCACCTGTCGACTACGATGACAGGAGGTACAGAGACTGAAGAGATGGAGCGAATGGGAGCCAGTTCTCCTAACCACCTTGTCTGGTCTTGCCACACACACAAACTGTGGCGTGTTCCACACTTTGCTCCTCCCTGCCCTCAACACACAGTATTATTACGAATTCCATGCCTGTACCAGATTCACGACGTTACGACATTTCCACACATCACTGTTTTTAAGAATTGGAAACTTTGGAAGATTAAGGGGACGTAGAACTGGCGTTCCACACATGCCCTCGACGAGCAGCCGTCTTGCATTGCGTTACTCAGATAGATGGATTCCCCTTTTCCCCTTTCTTGCCAAATCAACACGCATTCTTTTTTCTATTGTACTACGAGCCAGACTGATTCTAATTGGATTGTGACAGACCACCGCCGCCGTTACTAATCGGCCCACGCCGTCATCTAGAGCCAGATGAATCAGCACTGGTCGGCCCGTTGCTCGTTACCATCGGGCCCTGCGGATGACGGTGGTACCAACTACCCCGAGGGAAACTGGCAACGTGCAGCTCAGACTGGATAAGTACATGACGGGTCGAGATCGAGGCTGATCGCCAGGGTTCGATTGGAATGAGGTGTTTTTGCTGGTCTCGGAATTGTAGGGAGGGGGCAAGACAAGAGAGGTCTGGCCAGCTTCCGTCGGGAAGACGCAACTCATCGAGCAGCCTTGCAGCCAAGCGGAAACCGACAAGAAGGGACCCCTGTTCCTGAGACAGGCCGGACATTTTTCACTAGCGCGGGAATGGACAAGCGGCGGTGAGGGGAGGGCGACCACCTTTTTGGAAAAGATTGGGGAATAGACGGAAAGGGAGGGTGCCAATATGCGGGATGATGATATACGACGGAAAAGACGGCGATATGGGTCTCGGTACTCACGCCAGCGCACGACCAGCAGCAATGGGGCGATGGGGGAGACATCTTCTCGTACTTGTCGCCTCTGTCGGGACTGGAGTGCGATGTTGTCACGTCTCTCTCTTCGTTCCTCTGTACTTTTTTCTTCGTTTTTTTTTTTCCTTGGACGGGATAGGCTTTTTGATTTTTGATATTACGCTGGGCAAGCTACGTAGTTTCCGACGACCATGAGACATGAACTTTTGCGCCTACTTACCTCCCGATCTGCGTGCCCATCCTGTGCCGGCCGCCCGTTCGCCTCGCTATCTGACACCACCGAGTATGGTACATTGGGCCCCTTGGCGAAGGCGGTCGGCTCCGAAACAAATCCCACGCTGTCTACGCCTGCCAACCCCCCTCCCTCCGGCAGTGCCTAGAAGCCAAGAGCTGCAAGCACCGCGGCAAATCGCCTGATCACCGGCAAGGAATACGGATTCAACGCTGGCGTACGGCCCTGCTATTGTGCATATGCCACAAATGCGACAAAGGCACGCTTTCGTCCTGGCCGTGGTTGACTTTGGCCTTATCAGCGAGCCACAGGTCAAGAGTGAGGCGCCGAGCAGACCGAGGGGAGTCGGATGTGTGGTACGAGAAGGGAGGGGGAGAGCCTGGACTCATCCGTAAGCCCGTTTGGCATGTCTTGCCCAATCTGCTTGCCGTGCTTGGATGCCTTGCTTGACCTGCTTGCTTCTCAACCAGTGGGCCAACCTGCAGAGCTGAGCGCATGAGGAACCCCGGCATCCTCTGCGCTTGGTTTGACGCCAGGCAGTAGGAGTGGGGGGCTCGGTGCACAATTGACGTTGATGGCCGACATGCAGTGGAGGCATCGGAGAACGGGGTACGGACCCTTTCGAGTGGTGTTTGTGATAATGGTTGTCTGGCGGTGACAGGCGGCTAAGTGGTCAGGATGAGAATGACATCACCGCGCATGCCTACGTGGGGCCTGCGGCCGCGATTGGTGAGGCATCGTCAGATGACTGATTTGGCATGTCTCGCTTGTCGGTGCCGCCATCTCGATGTGTCTCTGGTTTTGGCACCCTTCTTCTGGAGCCGAGTGCTAGCTCAACGTCGTATTGCTGAGTGTACGACCGGCCTTGAGGGTCTCGACGAGTTTTTGGGTTCGCCGGCACATCATCCGACGGAAGCTTCAGAGTACTAGCAACCCGGGATGCCCTTGGATCGAGCAACGTTTGTACGATGAGATGAGACATGCACTTGGTCCGAACCATTCTTTTCTCTTTCTGTCCGAGGCAACTCAATTTGAACATAATTTGAACAATAGGTTTTGGTGGTATGATATACAATACTAATAGGCGACCCTCTGCAACGCGGATGAGCATGGTTCTTATGCCGCGGCGTCTCCACCCTGCTGCTTCCACGCCTGTGCCATCGCCAACAGATTGGACAGGTTCTGGGTCTGTTTGTCGTCGGCCGGGAAGACGTAGTCGATGTACTCCTCGAAGCTGTCGTCGTCGAGGCGCCTTCTGCGCTTCGTCTTGCGCGGCATCAACTTTTGCACCTTCTCCACGTCGTCGTCGGCGCCGTGGGTTCTCTCGAACGACAACCAGGCGTTGAGCAGCGTGACAGCCTCCTCCTTGAGATCCTTGTCGCGCATGCTCTTGTGTGCGCGCTCGAACACCTTGCGCGCCCGCGCCTTGGCCTCGTTGCTGATCGGCGCCTCTTCCTCCGCCTCCTCCTCGTCCTCGGGTATGTTGAGCTCGAAGTGCGCGAAGCTGATCCACACCTTGACGTGGTCCGTCTTCTCGAGGAGGCGCTCGTAGAGCTCTCTTGTCCTTTCGTACTCTCCCTCCTCTTCCTCGAAATCGATATACGCCTTCCACAATAGTTCGGGCATATCCAGAATCGGTTGGCTCACAGCCAGCTCGAAGATGGCTCTGGTACGCTCCAGGTCATCGAGACCGCGCTCGAGCTCGGCGAACTTGATCCAGGTCTGACAGTTGGACGGGTTCCACTCAATGTGCTTCTCGTACAGTGTCCGGCACCGCAGGAACTCAAAGAGCTTCAGCTCCAACTCGATGTAACCCCTGAACAGCTTGTCTTTGGGGCACATGCCGATAGCTTGACCCAAAGTCTTGCGAGCCGCGGTGAGCTCGCCTTGCCGGATCTCGAAGTGCGCCTTCAGCAGCCAGATCTTGGCGAACGTGAACTTCTTGTGCGGTATCAGATCCAAGCACACCCTGTAGATTTGCCGCGCGCGCTCGACATCCTTTGCCTGTAGCTCCTCGAAAATGGCGTAGTTGATCCAGAGGTAAATATAGCGCCTCCAGAACCTCTTCTCCTGCGCTGGCGGTACCTGGGCAACCGCCCTCTCGTATACATCTCGGACTCTGTCGATGTCACCAGCAGTTTCCTCGAGACGTGTGTAGTCGAACCAAGTATCGTAGTTCTTCGGGTTCTCCTTGACCTGGGCTTCGTAAAACACGCGTCGCTTCGAAAGCACAACATCTTCAACGCCGTCCTTGTCTCCAAACTGCTTCTCAAAGGTCGTGTAGGCCTTGTGGAGAGCCATGGATCGGGATCGAGGTAAACGGTCCAGGGCGTACTTGTAGATTGCCCTGGCTCTCTCGTACTCCTTCAACTTCGCTTCGTATCTTGCATAGGCAATGAAGAGTTTCTCATCCACGAATTCGTCGCCCAGCTCTTCAATGGCAGTTCCAAATACGTCACGAACCATGTCGCTAGTACCAAACTCCTCCTCGAAGCGTGCCCATTTGATCCAGTTTCTGGGTTCCGGATGGACAAGGGTGAAGGCCCTGAAGATGTCCCTGGCTCGGTCGTACTCACCATACCGCTTTTCCAGTTTAATGTAGGCACTCCATGCGGCTTCATCGGGCTGCCACTGCATCCAACGGTCGAAAACCTGGCGAGTCCCTGGAACGTTGCCAAGCATCTCCTCCATGTACACGTATTTGTACCAGAGCTTATCAACACGGGGTAGCCGCGTGACGGCTCTGTCGAGGAGGTTTCGCGCATGGTTGATGTTTCTGCACTTCACTGCAAAGATGTTAGCGTTCTGGTCTAGTATCTACTCGAACGTGGCTTTCTTACTCTCTGACTCAATGTACCTGATCCAAAGGCGGATTTCGTTGGGATGCACATCGAGCGCGCGCTCAAAGACTGATCGAGCGCGCGCGAACTCCTTTTGTTCCAGCTCCCATTGCGCATATCGCATCCAGTTGTTAAGGTTCACTCTGTTGCGCCGGACGTAATCCTCAAACTCTCTTCGTTTTCTGCCTTGGAACTCATGGAGCTCCTCCAAATCGGCAAAGCGTTGAGTCGGCGCTTGCAGCGCAACTTCTTGACGGTCAACCGCTTCGCGAAGCAGTTGCTCCGCGGAGATTTGAACTGGCGCGGCGGCCTTGTTCTTGACCTTGGGCGGTCCCCGCGATGCCTCCATTGTCGCGACTTGTCGGTGGAAGGTGGAGTCGTCAGTAATTGCGCGGTCGCGTGTAGATCGGCTTCGGGATGAGCTTTAGTATTCCAGAAACCCAATTTTCGGTGAAATTATGGAGTCGAATCGCGTAACCTTGTGCCCTTTGATGATTGGCAATGCCTCGAGGCGTTGATCGTGAATCCCGACGTTGATGATGCCGCCCAAGGCTGAGCCGTGGTTGGAAAAAAGCAGCTCTTATCGGGGTTCCAGCCACTCCGATAACAAGCTTGTGTGGCTGGAGACCCACCCGCCACGGTAAAAGCTACGCAGCCTCGCAAGGCTTCCATACAGAAAGATAACTTTTCGTCATTACAGACTCACGTTCCTCGTCGCGCCGTTTTTTCATCACACGCGATATTGCGATCAAACACACACTACAGAAGTTGCGACCGGCATCATGGCCACTCTCGCAGACGAGCTTCTCCAGGATTTCGAGGACTCTGGCTCTGAAGCCGAGGACACTCAGCAAGACCACGATCCTCTCGGCCTTCTCGACAATGCGCCCGAGGCAAACGGCCGTAAGGCCTCCGGCGACATGGAGCTCGACGGTGACCAGAGCGAACCCGATGATGAAGATGAGGAGATGGGAGGCATATCAAAAGGCGCTGTCGACCCTGTCGAAGATGCCGAGGATGCCAAAGCCAAGGTTGAGAAGATGCAGCTGGGCAGCGTCAACGACGTTCGCAACGTCGCCAGTCTCATGCAGACCCTCGAGCCCGTATTAGAGGTTAGTTAACCCCCTGAAAACACGGTCGGCTCTCTTGAAGCAGTGTTTACATCCTCTCTTGGGAGAACTAGCCCTGACATCGTGACTCGAACGCTACAGAAAATCGCACACTACCAGTCGCAACCGACCCCAACACAGCTTCTCGGCAACATCGAAGACCATCCTGAATACCACCTCCTTACGCAATCGAACAGTCTATCTACGCTCATCGATAGTGAGATAGTCTTGGTGCACAAGTACATCCGAGATCATTACTCGATACGATTCCCAGAACTAGAGACGCTCATCACCAACCCGCTAGAATACGCAAAGGTAGTCGCTATCTTGGGCAACGGGCCGTTGGACTCGGAAAATATCAAGAAACTACAGCATGCGACGGAAAACCCTCTCAAGGTGTCGTTGCGATCAGTTCTCGACGGCCCATCCCTGATGATCGTAACGGTGGAGGCCACGACAACAAAGGGACGAGAAATGTCACAGGATGAACTGGAGCGCGTGTACAGAGCATGCGAAATGGTCATCTCCCTCGACAAGGCCAAGAAAACCCTTACGGAATACGTCCAGTCGCGCATGAATCTGTTTGCGCCGAACCTGACCGCTTTGATCGGTTCGTTGACGGCGGCGCAGCTGCTGAACGCTGCCGGTGGGCTCACGGGTCTGGCCAAGACACCCTCTTGTAACATCCCAGCATGGGGCTCGAAGAAGGGCGCTGGTGCCGCGGGCTTGGCTACGAACATCGGTGTTAGACAGCAGGGGTTCCTCTACCATTCACCCATCATCCAGGGCATCCCCAACGACCTCAAGAAGCAGGCCATGCGCATCGTAGCAGCCAAGCTCGTGCTCGCGGCGCGTGTCGACCGCATACACTCTAGCCCCGACGGCTCTACGGGTGAAGACCTAAAGGAGCAGTGCCTTACACGGCTGGAGAAGCTCACGGAGCCGCCCCCGAACAAGGGCCCACGAGCTCTGCCAGTGCCGGACGACAAGCCATCCCGCAAACGTGGTGGAAGAAGGGCAAGAAAGGCCAAGGAGGCGACGGCCATGACAGAGCTGCGCAAGGCACAAAACAGAATGGCCTTTGGCCAGGAGGAGAAGGAGGTCGGCTACGGCACGGGAGAGAGCACCGCAGGCATGGGCATGATCGGCCAGGGCAACGACGGCAGGATTCGCAACCTGCAAATCGACCAGCGCACGAGGGCGAAGCTCAGTCAGAAGAACAAGGGATGGGGCGGCGCGACGCCCATGAACGGAGCCGCATCGTCGCTCAGGGGGTTCGGGCAGTCTGCGAACTCCAACATTGACCTCCGCGGCAAGGGTCTGAGGACATCAGGTGTCGGCACGTCTCTGGGCGCGGGAGCGGGCACGGCGTCGTCGCTGGCCTTCACGCCCGTACAGGGTTTGGAGCTCGTCGACCCCAAGGTCCAGGCTGAACTCAGTCGCAAGCGGAAGGCGGAAGAGGACCGGTGGTTCAAGGGCGGTACGTTCACGCAGGTGGCCGGCTCCTCGTCCAATGGCGGAGGGTTCAAGAAACCCGACTTGCCTCCCAACAAGAGGGTAGACACCGGCGCAGGGAAGATGGGACCTCCACCCCCGCGCAGCGGCTGAAAGAGGCCAAATGGACGAGGGAAGGGTGAGGGGAAGCGAGATTCACGCTCCATAAAGCAGGAGACGGAGCAGGTGAGGGGGAGGTTAGCCCGGGAGGGGAGGGTAAAGAAGGTTCACGAAGCGTATCTCTCACCCGAGCAGCTGGCCCTAGTAGATGGAGGGGCATCACCGCGAACGGGGTCAGCGGCAGACATAGCACTCATCCGGCATAGTCGGCTTGCGGCGTTTTGGGAGGGTTATGTTCAAAATTTTTATCCAGTTCAGGTCAAAGCAGCAAACAGCATACCCTATGGGGGGGTGAGGGAATGGAATGAGACGATATCATTGCTCAGGTGTGGTACCTATGCCGAAGGAAAGGCAAGGGGAGGGGTCAAGACGTGATGTTTGTCTGCGCTCGCCTTTCACCTCCCGGCCACAATGCGAATCGCAATTGTATGACCTGCCCTGTCGGCAGTCCCATGATCTCTCTCGTCTCGGCTTCTAGTTGAGAAACCTTGGGATGTAGAACGGGAATTCGCATACATGGAATACCTCAACGGTCGTGCCGATCAAACGTCTTTGCTTCATAGCGTCAAAGGTACATTTGTTGTCGTCAGTAAGCCGCCATGAGCTTCGTCTGCAACCTTGACGTTTTCTTTCTCTGAGCGTCCTTGCGGTTCATGCTAAATCTAGCCCCCTCGCTATGCCCTTCTCCCCGCCCGCCCCCCTCTCGTCGAAGCTTTTTCGATGTTTCCCGTGACCCTTAGAAGAAGGAGGGGGGGGGGGGCGTCAACGGCGGTGATGATCCATGTTCTGTGCTGAAAATGAGTTGGGTGCGCAAGAGAGCGGACACAGAAAACGCTCGTCTCTCCAATTGGAAGAGGAAGCGAAGAGACAAGAAAACCTCGAGGGGCCAGCCGTCGGCAGCCCGAGAGTCTGTCCGGGTCTGGAAGGGCCGTGATGGCCTTTTTTTCTTCTTTTTTCATGGCCCTTGCGGCCATGCCTGTCTGTTCTGGCCGAGGCCAACGGTTCTACTCCCTCTGTGCGCTCGTCCCTCACCCCATGGACGGTGTCCTATCCGCGCCGCGTGAGGCCTTCAACCTAATATCCTCTGATGGCGGAGGTTTGGGGGGAGGGGGGGTTTGGATTTGTGGTGTATCATGGTGATTCCCGAGGTTCAGCTATTGTTAGGGTTTGCGGAGAAGCTTACTCCCCACCATCTTTCGCTCCCCTAAGTCCCTTTCCTTACCTGGTACTATGCAGAATCGACAAGCCTGCAAAGCTCGATTTTACATGAGGCATTGAAGGCTCGAACAGAGCAGAGCGCACGAGACGGCGAATCAAGTGCGAGGACACGAACCACAGAGGTTGAGCTCAAAACCCTCACCTTCATCACCACCACACCCCAGTGCCATGCATCAGACCACCCAAGCTGCACGCCGCCACGCGATCGAACGCCCGAGCCTATCGTCGTTGCGAGCAGCTGGGACCCGGAAGGGATTTCCGGGGTATGCGCATCCATGAAACAGCAGGACCCCCGAGCCTTCACCTCCCCCTCACCTTTTTCGCATTCTCCCTCCGTCGCCTCCCACTGGACCCCGAGGACGCCGGAGTCGATTCCGGCGGCGAAGAAAAACCACGCCAGGCAAAAGGGAGCAGATCGACGTTTGGCATTAGGGTTTGATGGGGGGCGAACGTTGACGTGGAGAGATCCCCGGGGTGCCTTCTTGCGCAATTCGCTGGTCCCTGGGCCGCCGTCAACCAGAGTCTGTACTTGGACGCACTAGTCATTGCTGGTCGCTCAGTGGGCGGGGGGCGTCGGGGCGCCTGTACAGTTTGGATTGCTTCCTCTTTTTCCTTTTGTTGCTTCCGTCTTTTCCCCTTACCTTTTTGGTGAAGCTGTACGTAGTACTTGGGATATTGGGCAATTCCGGAAGGCTGAACTCCCGTTGGCCCGGCATCTAGCGAGAGTCATCGGTGAATTTTGTTTGCGGCCGAAGGGGAAGCGGGGCCGAGTGTGCATTTTCCCTATGGCATAATGACGTACGGAGCGCGAGGGTCAAAAGTCACAGCCCGGTCCCTTGAGAATTTGCAGGGTGGAGTGGGTATCAAGACTGCAGCTTGCATCAGAACCACTGCATTAGGCGGAGGAAGGGACTGCCTCACATGGATGGATTCCCCACCCCGGTGAGGGTGAGCTCTGCTGAGGTCCCTGGGCTGAGGAAAAAGGGGGGTTTCTGACGCGCAATCACAGGAGAGGAGACGAGGAGAAGGGGACCAAGTGCAGATTGACAAAGTCCCTGCTCAACAACCCAGAGGCATCACAATGGCAACCTCTTGTCGGCCGTGGCTTGTCTCATCACCTTCTCTGTGGCACCGTGGACGTCTTCTCTTGCAGCAGCAAGGGCCTCGAATCTCATGCTCTGGCAGTTCGCTTTGATGGTAGCTCCGAGATTTGACTTTGGGGCTGCAGCTTAACCCCATGTCGGGTAGAAGGTCCAGAACTTCAGGGACCAAGAGATCGTCCTGATGTCCACAGGGGACGCCCCGGTTGAGAGCAACCCTTTCCTCGGAGGAGGTACCTTAGGCTACACACACAGCAAGGGGGGTGTTGAGGAAATGGGTTGGATGAAGGAGGAAATACATAGTACATAGTACGTACAGTACGCAATGGAAGGGCCAAGGCCTGGGAAAATCACAGGTTTCCGTTGGCTGATTGGTAACGGAGTGGACACCGATGGGCATGTCTGTATCCCAGGTTCAAATTGGTTTGGCTTCTCTCCCCTAGGGGGCCGTTAGTTGCGGGAATCTGACCCTCGACTTGCTAGTTGCAAAACAAATGCAACGATGTGGCCACTTGCGAGCGAGCGCAAAGCGTAGGGTGCTCTAGTATTCACGTCCGAATGAATGAGCCTCGAAGTCGACAAAACCCGATAGACAGACGGACCACTTCAGAGGGGCAACTAGGTACTGATTGGTGTACTGTGTAAGGATGAAGGACCCATGACGCGTTGATGATGTTAGGTTCGAACTGTTCTGATTGCCAGCTGGGCTGCCGGAGGGGGGGGTACCTCTTCTTACCCGACGGACAAGCCACAGCACAGAGGGATGCCTGCTATGCAATATGGCAGCAGGGAACAACCACTCCCCCAACTGGGTCAGCAAAAGCGCCGGACGCCTGTCACTCAGATTACCGAACCGATAATGAGAATGAGCAAAGCAAACAACCAGAGGAAGGTTTTAAGGAAAGAACAAGAATAGAAACCGGCCAGAAACTACGAGTAGCTCGTCCGCCGAGGTGAAGCCGGACCGATCGGGCACACGAGCCCAAGGGATCCGAACGGCAGGCCCGGAGCCAAAGCAGCAAGGAGTTTGAGACGATGGAGTTTGAGTAGAATGGTTTCAAACGTTCTGGACGACAAGTCGGCCAGTTGATTGATTCAGTCAGCGCCTGCAATCTCTGTAAAACCTCTGGCAGGTTTAGACGCGGGCATAGCGAACCTGTGCCGTTCCACCCTGCTGTCGTTGCTCTAAGCTGTGTCCGGTTTGTACGGAGTACAGTGTATGCTTAACACAAGGATTAGGCGCAGCGCAGCCTGATCCGGATCTGTCAGGAATGAAGCTCCATCTCGGGGTGGGGAGAAGGTACCGCTTCACAGTTTGCGGTGGAGAAGAATTGAGTTGCGGATTAGTCCAGGCCTTGCCAAGGTGTACCGATGTATCCGTCCGGCACGGTAGACTGGTGAAACTACTGCGCCGGGGACTTTGAAAGGCTAGGATGCCTGGGCGTGGTGCCGTGTGTCGCTTGGGAGCGAAGGCACGCAGTGGGTTGCCAGAATTACGGGAGCGGGAGACTTTACATCTTGGGGGACCCAAATGCGTCGCTGAACGACACCACGACGTCACCCTGCGCGAGAAAACAGCCCAGATGACCTGCCCCCTCATACCGAACGTCGAATCCGATCCGAGCAACGGGGATGGAGGCGGACGGGAATTGCGCCATTGACTGATTAAGGTGCACCGTATGGCGACGGAGGGCTGGCCAAGGCTCGAGATCCTAACGTTGACGAGGTCCAGCTGTTCAGCCGATACGTGTGAGTCGAGAGTGGGAACTGGTGCCCTGTTTTACTTCCTGGCGTGGCACCTCGACATGTATTCTAGGGTGCGTGGGTGTGTACGTGTGGTAGGTAACGTGCAGATTGATCGAGCAACAAATATGCGATAGCAGGCGTTGCCGGAGCAGGCACTCCGGACTGCATTGCGTACCTGTCAATCGCGATCGGTGATCAGTTGTGATCAGGCGGAAATATTCAGCGGCCGGTGCGACATTGTCTTCAGGGTCTGAGGATGGCGCAGTAGGTGGGTTGGGCTCCGTCGACAACGAAGAACCTTGGTACCATAGGGGTCGTGATCGTCGATCTATTTAATGGGCGGGACGAGAAGGGAGACCAAGAGAACAGTTGGTGGGAGGAACGCACGAGTCCGCGGCGCGCTAGACCTTCTCAGAGAGGAATGGGATAACCAAATGGGGGCGTGCGCGTGGGGCTCGCGGATTGGGCTCGTAGTTTAATGGGGTAGCTCGCGGATACATAGAGAGGGGGGCGAGGAGCAAGCCGAGGCGGGTCGCCGTATTATGATTGAGATAAGCGGAAATAAGCACGTAGCGGACAAAAAAACAGGCAACAGACGGATACTGAGGGAGTACGATACAGTGGAAGGAGGGATGGAACGTGGAGAGGAGGAGAGGGGCCTCCGTCGTCATCATGGGGCAAGGGACCAAAGGCTGCAGAACGGCGACAAAGAAAGATGGAGGAGTGGAATACTTAGACGGAGAGGGGGAACATAAAAAAAAACCCCCCCATGTAAAAAGTGAAGGGTGATACGGCGAAAACTCAGCAGGATCCGTATCTGAACGCTGCTATGGGATTCCCAGGCCAGGGATGGAGATTTGATCTCTGGGAGACGCAAATGCCCTGACCGACGCATGATTGACGGGAAACGGAACTGGTGTGTGTTCCGTG